TGTGTCTCTAGCGGGCTCAGGAGTTTGATACATAAGCAAGGATGAGACGTTACTTTCCAATCAGCCACAATGGACTGACAAGCTAAAAAATTGATGGCTGCTTCTGACGTGGCAGTCCGTCGATGAACGGCCTCTACCTTCTGTGGATGGAGATACCGATAGGAACCTGTCGCACCCATTCGCGATTACATGTGGCTATTGGCTGCAGATTGCGTTGCTTGTGGCCCAATTTGTCTACTTGCGCTGACATATTCAGCTGAACCTGCATTTTTGGGGCAGATTTCCCGCTGACTCCCTTGCAGCTGCTATGATAATCTCAATATACATACAATGGCCGCGAAGAGTACACTGCGGTTTCTGCTACGCCACTGAAATTCAAAACTGGGCTACATCCCGAGTTGTTTAACTTACGCCGACGAAACTTGCTCGCATGTCCAATGGTCTCGCTGCATACCCTTGATACAGGTTGGAACATGATCAAGTCAGGTTGCTGAATGTTAACTCTTGTCTGTTTCTTATCTAGTGTGTGGATGGGTAGAGTGCCTATTGGCCCCTTCTTGTCGGTTATTTGATTTGAAATCCACTCGTCTCTTCCTGTGATGGGGAGTTGCAATAGCAAGTTCAAAGATATCTCCCAACACTCGTGATGTTGCATAAACACAGTGTTCAGAAACAACTTTTTTTCCGTGCGCAGGGAGAGTGCATCGGAAATATAGTAGCTGTTGACTATGTGCTGTTTGAATTTACTCGACCATACGTGTGTCAACTCTGTCCTTGTACAAGTGTATACTTCAATGTTGAATCTGAGACCCTGGTATGTGCCTAGATATTAGACCTCGGGAAATTCTCCCTTCCCACCTTGAAAATGAAATTCTACCAATGAGACACCCGGTGGGCGGGAGACTTCCTATCCACAGAGGCATATCATCGTTATTGCTTGCTCTTCTCATGAGTGTTCCGTTGAATGTTGGCCTGATTTACAGGGCACCATACAGCTCATCATGTACACGTGACCCCGGGAAAACATACCAGACTAGTAAAGATATTCCGGCCGCTAAAAATTATCTACAGAAAAAAAAAAAGCGGCAGCGCAACAGTCGCAAGGAAAGCTTCGGCACCACGCTATAATCACCCATTTGTGTTTAAGAGATGACTGTCTAAAGGCTGGTTTTACAGCCCGAGCTGAATTATTTCTGAATTGATCTTCAGCACCCCATTTCTGATCTGCACAACGTTTAAAAACATCCGAAACGAGCTTTCTGGCTTCGAAGCCCTTATCTTCAAACATGGATATCCACCGTTGCCGTTTCGTTTCTTATAATCCACAAGCGATCAATGCACTTGCATTCTCGCATCCCCCGTCAGCAGATCTAGCTGGACGTGGCGTACCCACCCTCCGACTCGCGATCGGTCGTGCGAACGGTGATATCGAAATATGGAACCCGATGCGCGGCGCCTGGTTCCAGGAGACCGTGATGCGTGGAGGCAAGGATAGAAGTATTGAAGGACTTGCATGGACCCTGGATCCCCAGGAAGACGGCCCAGATGGCGCCAAATTACCGGGAAAACTGCGTCTGTTTAGCATTGGATACTCTACTGCTGTCACCGAATGGGATCTTGAGAATGGCCGCCCCTTGCGCCACTCCAGTGGAAACTATGGAGAGATTTGGTGTCTTGCTGCGCAGCCTCGCTGGCAGGCGACCAAGGGCAAAGACGGAAAGATGATTCCTCCCGCCGAGGGCGAGTTCACAGGTCAGCACCTCGCTGCAGGATGTGCGGATGGGTCAATTGTCATTTTGTCTACTGCCGATAATGATCTCAAATTTTTGCGCCTAATGCGTCCCTCAACGAAAAGAGCGCGCGTCCTGAGTGTCACCTTCCAGAACCGCAATACCATTGTTGCCGGTTATGCTGATAGTTCTATCCGTCTTTTCGATATTCGCACCGGTCAGCTGCTGCGTACGATCTCTCTTGGCAAAGGTCCTACTGGTGGTCCGAAGGAGTTGCTTGTTTGGTCGGTGAAATGTCTCCCGGATGGCACGATCGTTTCCGGTGATTCTGCTGGTGAAATTCGATTCTGGGATGCTAAGAACTATTCTCTCGTTCAACGGATACAGGGTCATCTCGCCGATACTCTTGATATTGCAGTGAGTGCCAATGGAGACACTGTTATCAGTGGTGGTGCCGATCAGAGGACGGTCGTCTACCGCAAGAAGGAGGGCGAGAAGGGCGACAAGAAGGCTCGCTGGGCTGAGATCATGCATCGTCGTTACCATACCCACGACGTCAAGACATTTGCTGTCTACGAGACAAAGGACATCAGTATTGCTGTGTCTGGAGGTATGTAAACTTCCCCCATTGTAATTCGACGTGTCCTTAGAGATGCTAACCTGTTTCGCCCAAAGGTCCCGACGCAACACCGATCGTTCTTCCTCTTCGTGAATTTGGAAAGGAACATCACCGCAAGCTTTCGAGTCTCCCGCAGATTCCCCAGCTCACCTCCGCGCCGTCGTCTCGTTTGGTTATGAGTTTCTGGGACAGAGAAGTGAGCTTGTGGCGTGTGTCTCGAGGCCCTGCGTCTTTGCATGAGAACATTGATGGCCAACGGCATAGGCTGGTCGGAAAGGTCCTGATACAGGGCGAGGAAAACATTTCATCCGCAATGCTGTCCTCAGACGGCAAGACACTCGCCATCGCAACCATTGCTGAGGTCAAATTGTTCTCTCTCCGTCGGCGAAAGGGCGATGAGAAGGGTGCTCTGCGCATCCAGAAGATCGAAGTTCCCAAGGTGCTTTCCGATGAAGGCGCTCGCCTTGTGTCCATCTCCCCTGACGGCCGATGGCTTTCGGTTGTTCGCCCCAACAGCGACATATACATGGCAAGGATCCAGCAAACCTCTGTATCTAATGAGAAGCCTCAGGTGATGCCACAATTTGCAAAGCTCAAGAGAGCCACACGTCACGTACGACACGAAAAGGCATCCCACGGAACATTGGGTGACTATGAGAGAACGATACGTTCTGTAGTGTTTTCAGATGACGGCAAGGTTCTGGCGAGTGGCGATATCTCTGGTTGTGTCGACACTTGGGTCCTGGAAAAAGCGACAGCACCCGCAAACGCTGCGGTCAAGCGTAACGGAGCCTCGGATTCTGACGATGATTCATCCGATGATGAGGACGAGGATGTCATAATTGAGGGCGAGCGCTGGACTACCGCTGCCATTGAATCGCCAATTCCTCGTATGAAGTCTGGCATTACCTTGTTGTCCTTCCGTCCCAATTCTGCCCCCACACAAAAGCGTCTGGCTAATGCCACGCATCAGACTGGCGAAGCTCGGCTGATGGTCCTCACAAGTGAGCACCAGCTCATCGAATTCGACGCCCGGGACGGCAAATTATCCGACTGGTCAAGACGCAATCCCAAGGCATACCTTCCTGCAGAGTTCCGAGGAGTCAAGGACCGAGCTATGGGCTGCATGTGGGATCTCTTTGAGGGCCGCGAGCGCCTCTGGCTCTACGGAGCATCATGGCTGTGGATGTTTGATCTGCTCCAAGATTTCCCCTCCCCCGAGGAGGCTGAAGCTGGAATCGAAGAGGGCAAGACCGCGGGTCAGCTTGCCAAGGCATCGAAGCGCAAGCGCGAAGCCCTCGATGACGATGAAGATGAACGGAGGAAACACAACACTGGTGCCGGTGATCGAATCCCCCAGTCACAGATGGATATCCACTTTGGCACCAAGGTCCGCAAGATCGTCGGCAGCGATGAATCACAAGGAGAATGGATTGCGCTGGATAAGGAACGTACCCGTGTCCCAGGCGAAGATGACGAAGCCTACGAGTACGACGAGACCTTTGCAGCCACCAATGAGTCAACCCTCGCCCGCCTACGACGTGGAGATGGAACCGTGGTCGAAACTGGAACCCCACAGAAGGGATCTCGGAAGCACCAATCACTCCTTGGTGCCAATGGCGCTGGCGATACCCCGAAGAAGCAACTCGTGGAGGTTAACGGTGCCTCAGTTCAGCCTACACGTCGGTGGTGGCACACCTATAAGTACCGTGATATCCTCGGCATCGTACCTCTCAACACCTTGGCAGATGACGGCTCCGACGACCAGAGCCCGAGTGGGATGCTGGAAGTTGCAGTGGTGGAGCGACCTATGTGGGACATTGAGCTGCCCGGTCGTTATGTAAAGGATTACGAGTGAAGCAGAGAGATGTGAAAGGGCTTTCTGTAAAAATTAGAATGCAGCTGATTCAGACATGTAATTTTGTCATTTGAGCATACTTGGAGGAGCGCATGTTACCGGCGCCTTATGTACAGGGATTCTGGATTGATGATTACCCCAAATAACTTGTCTATACCCAGTGCAGTCTCGTATTTCCTATGTAGATCTAAACATCTCAAGTGAAGTGACAAAGGGAGCTTTCGGGGGTTTGAGACCAAGTGCGGGGCCTCAGGCACGGTTACTTCAAAGCCTCCGAACTCACTTGGGATCAGCTCACTTGACCTTTGAAACATCTGTACACCCTGAGCCAGCTGATCTTTTTGAAAAGTACCCCAACCCATCTCCTGTCTCCGTGAATCCCGATTCTCCTCCCGATCCGCTTATCGGCTTATCGTCCACACGTCAGCTCCAGGGCTGTGAAGTCCGACACATCCTCCTTCTTCCATAGACCCTCTGCAAGACCAGGAGCATACTTTCTCATAAATTTTGAAACCTTACACTTGACAAAGCATAAAGGCCCAAAGCTACTAGGGGGGTCAACAGCAGGACTACGGCAGAGGTCCTCCCAAATCGAAGTCAGGGCGGGCCCAACTACTACTCCATATCGAAGAAAGCAGGCAAACACGCTGCCCCTTTTCAATAAAGGGCCCGCATATCCCCCTCTAGATTCAAGTGTCAGCACTCTGCTGCATCGAACTCACCTCTCAGGACCACGACTGCACTCTCAGATCCTACGCCTCTCCGGCAATAACCGCATAACTACACAGCCACCATGGGTCTCTCATACAACGTCTACTTGACTGCCAACAAGATTTTCGGGTGTAAGGGATGCAAGACCCATCTGGCAGATTTTAACGACATCATGAGTCGGGTATGATAACTCATTAAATCCTACTCTTCCTACACACCTCCTGCTATGAATAACCTGTTACTGATCCATGACCTTCGACTCCTTAGAACTTCCGAGGCCAGCACGGCAAAGCATATCTCTTCAATAAAGTTGTCAACGTCACGCAAGGCGAAGCTGTAGAGCGCAGCATGACGACAGGTCGACATATTGTCCGCGACATCGCCTGCAGACAGTGCAAGGAAACGGTAGGGTGGAAATACGACAAGGCATACGAGAGCAGCGAGAAATACAAAGAGGGCAAGTTCATCCTCGAGGAGGAGCTATTCTGCGTCGTTTGTTAGTGGGAGTGATCCTTCCTTCCACTCATGCGATGGCCCTCATGTGTGACGATCTTGATCTTCAATTCGTGCATCTGACAGGCCAGTTTTCGGGTTTATGATAAAGATGGGATTGCATTCTTTGCATTCTCTGGGCATTCTTGCGTTTTCATGCTTTTCGAGACTGATTCTTGCGGCTTGCTTTGCTTCCTCTTTTCCAGCTTTGGTGTTTGCGAAAGGCGTTATAAGGAGCATTTGGCCTTTTTTGTATGGTTTCCTTGGGCCAGCCAGAACAGGAACCAGCTACACATATGCAGAGCAGGACTTGAGTGCCATGCTGAGCTTTCTGGTGTGTCCTTGGAATACAGTTTGATGGTTTATCTCTCTTCCACGTAGCATCAACAAACTATAGGATTCATAGCCTGCTTGGATTTATATCTGCGAACACATATATCGTATAGAAGGGGACCGTCGTATTGGAAAATCAACCATGTCCATCTACTTTGTATCCTAATTTCGGCATCGCTTTCAGTGGATACCAACCACTGTGGGCACAGTCTACCAGCCCCACCAGATGATTCGCACAGAAGCCTAAAACTGGAGAAATTAGTCAATAGCCTTCTTTCATCCCATTCGGATCCGTCTGCAATTTGATCGTTCGATATTGAAGAGATTTAGCAGTATTCATTATCATCGTAGCAAAGGTCAATCTCCGAAGTCCCCCACCAAATCCCAAAGTAAGTCTCTGCGATCAGATTTCAATTACCGGAAATTTTTTGTAAGAGAGTGGGGATTGACATCGTTAGAATGACTCCTGCCCCCTCAGATTCTGGTATGATGCAGGCGGTCGTGTTCCACGGCCCCTATAAGGTGGCTGTTGAACAGAGGCCTATTCCCAAGGTGCAAAACCCGAAGGATATTGTAGTCAAAGTGGGATATACCGCGCTTTGTGGAAGGTGGGATTGATCTATACTCATTTGGAAGGGGCATCGGTGCTAATTTTCGTAATATTCGATAGTGAGTTGCACGTGTTCCGTGGCGTGGAGCCTGCAGGAACGGGATTCATCATGGGCCATGAGTTCGTGGGCGAGATTGTTGAGATGGGCAGTGCCGTCAAGACTCTCCAAAAGGGTGACCGGGTCGTCACTGCATTTACTACTTCCTGGTAAGTTGTATGCTCACCAGATGGTCGTTTTGCGCAACTATAGGGGCGTTGTGCTGATATCATGGTAGCGGCGAATGCTTCTACTGCAAGCAAGGGTGGTCTTCTCGCTGTAATAAGAACGAACTTTTTGGATGTGACAGCTTGAACGGCGGACAAGCTGAATATGTGAGTTTCTAGGTATATCATGCATTGGGTCGATATTCTGATATCAAGACTCAATAGGCCCGAATCCCGAATGCTGAGGGTTCCGTCATGAAAGCCCCCGAGGGCGTTGATGAAAAATATCTGGTGCTCATGGGAGATATCTTCCCCACAGGCTGGTTCGCAGCCAACAATGCATTCAAGAACTCGACCCCAGAGCAGATTGCGGAACAAACAGTAGTCCTCATTGGATGTGGACCTGTCGGTCTCTGTGCGCTCATCAACGCTCTGGAGTACAAACCCAAGCATATCTTGGCAATTGACTCGGTCCCGTCGAGACTAGAGCTTGCCAAGTCACTCGGTGCTGAGCCATGGAACTTCCAGTTGGACCGGGCTGGTCTAGACAAGCGTGTTCAGGAGCTGACGAATGGGCGTGGTGCCGATGCTGTCATTGAAGTCGTTGGGCTGAGTCCTGCCTTGCGCACTGGCTTTGAACTGCTGCGGCCTTGGGGAACTATTAGCAGTGTGGGTGTTCACAATGGAGAGGTAAGTAGATCTGGATTTGGTTATAGTATTTCTGCTAATGAGATACTCAGATTCCCTGGGATGGAAATGATGCCTATTCCAAGAACCTCACTGTCCAGATGGGGCGATGCCCTGTTCGGTCTGTTGCTCCTCAGGCTCTAGAAGTGCTCAAGAGGAATCAACATAAGCTTGGCTTCATGGCTGATCATATTATGCCTCTCTCACAGGCAGTGGAGGGCTATAAGATATTCAACAAGATGCAGGTGCAAAAGGTGATATTCCAGGCTGATCAGTAGAGAATACCTAACTATATAGGGTGTTGATACAGATACCCCCGGTCTGGATTAGACATACCGCCTTCCTGGTTAAAATTCTGCCCCATGTTTCTGCCACTCCATATTTCTTTCTGCCATGTATTCTGTCCATCATTAATGCTGGGTTTATATAGCACAAAGGCCTGCATTTTGAACATGAAAAATGTTTGTTCCCATGACTTGAAATCATGAGTGATTTAAATGTAAATGACAGGTATCTGGTGTCTTGTTACATGTAGATTACATGGGGACTTTCACAAAAAGCGGCATCTGAAGTCAGAAGGCGGTAAAAGAACTGGTAGGCAGAACCAGGTGTCAAGGCAGGAGCGGTACCCAATTAGGAACTTCCACCTGAAAGCTCAGGCAGGGAGGGGGTACGTTTATCCTAGGGGGGGTATATATCTCAATTTCCCTCTATATATCACCAAGAAGTAATATAATATAGAATAAGCAAAAGAAGAATACCAATATTTTTTTAAAAAAAACTCATAAAAAAAGAAGAGGTCATATAAAAAAAGAGGTAGATTTTCATAGGTCTCCGCTTAAAGCAAAACACTCAACTTCAACCTCTTCAACTCTTTCACATCTCCATCTTTCTCCTCACCTTCTTCCTTTCTCTCTCTCTTCTCCCCTTTTCCCCTTCTCTCATCGGGTGCTTTTCCTATTCACTTCTCTTCTCCTCTCTCTCCCTCTCTCTTAACCCGAGATTCTACCGCTTTCCCCTCCAATCCATTTCTCCGCTTCCTAATCTCCCTCTGTGAGTCCTCTAGCAGTTCGATCCCAGTTCACGCATTTCCCCCACTTCAGCTTGCGCATCTGCGTATGTCTCATGCGCACTTGTCTCTACCTCTGTTGCAAAGCTGACTTTGCCACTATTTGAATGTGAAGTCTGTACCGTCCGCATCCCGCGACCGTACGGTCTTAAAAGAAACCTTCTATCCCGCCACTCGACTCTTTCAAACCGCTTCTCCCCCACCTCCATCGATTATCAACAAAAATGGATTCTACTGAGATTCACCAAACCACCGTCGTGGACGAGCCCATGACCGATAACTTCAACGACAACGTCGCCGAGGGTGACCTCGAGGCCCCCCTCAAGACCGAGGAGGAGTATGCTATCGCTGAGCTGACTCTGCGTGCTATTGTCTCTTCCAAGGAGGCTGGTGTCATCATCGGCAAGGCTGGCAAGAACGTTGCCGACCTCCGCGACGAGACCGGTGTCAAGGCCGGTGTGAGCAAGGTAGTTCCCGGTGTCCATGACCGTGTCCTGACCGTTACTGGTCAACTGCGCTCGCTTGCTCGGGCCTATGCGATCGTGGCAAAGGGTCTTTTGGAGGGTGCCCCGCAGATGGGCATGGGCGGCATTGTCTCTAACAATGGGACCCACCGTAAGTGATGTCTTTAGTTCTGTTTCTCCGATATGTTGATTTGGATTCGTGCTTCTGTATGGGGAATTAAAGGACCCATACAGAGGACCCGAAAATTTTCGTTTTAATCCGAGCCTTTTTCTGACTTTCTTCAGCCATTCGCCTTCTGATCTCCCACAACCAGATGGGTACCATCATCGGTCGACAGGGTCTGAAGATCAAACACATTCAGGATGCATCCGGCGTTCGGATGGTCGCGCAGAAGGAAATGCTCCCCCAATCTACAGAGCGCATTGTTGAGGTCCAGGGTACCCCCGAGGGCATCGAGAAGGCCATCTGGGAAATTGGCAAGTGTCTGCTTGACGACTGGCAGCGTGGAACCGGCACTGTTCTCTACAACCCCGCAGTGCGCGCTTCTCTCAGCGGCTCGCAGCCAATCAACAACAACCCCCCGGCTGGAAATGGGTACCAGAACAACAGCAACAGCCGTCAGTACAACCGCACCGGCAATGGTGCCGACTTCAGCGATGGCAGCTACAACCGCCGGTCTAACTCCGATGCTGGAAACCGCGGCTATCCCCTGGTTACGGAAGATGGCGAGGAGATCCAGACCCAGAACATCAGCATTCCTGCTGACATGGTTGGATGCATCATTGGCCGAGGCGGAACCAAAATCACGGAGATCCGCCGAAGCTCTGGCGCTCGCATTTCGATCGCCAAGGCTCCTCATGACGAGACTGGCGAGCGCATGTTCACCATCATGGGAAGTGCTCAGGCTAACGAAAAGGCCCTGTACCTTCTCTATGAAAACCTAGAGGCTGAGAAGACTCGCCGCAGCCAGCTTCCCCAGGAGTAAATCCTCTGGGATCCTCTCTGTGTGTGTGTGTGCGGATGAGACGGTCCTAGCAGGGCTCCTTTGTGTTCTCTGACCTTACGACTTCCTTGGAGACTTGTCGGTCACGATCAACGGCGGTCATGTGCTAGCGCTTCTTTTATTTTCTTCTTATTCCTCTATTTCATTCTGCTTTAAATCTTCTTCCTCGGCTCTCTTCTGGGGTTCTAGCCTCACACGTCTCATTCACAAAAAAAGGCAAAAGTTCACTGCGATGGATGGAGGGTACACATGCGTATTAGATACCAAGATTGTGTGGTCTTTATCGACCATTGTGCGTTGAATTGAATCGCAGCCCGAATGTCTCTCGATCCTAACCCTCAACTTTGTCAATGCCAACAGCCTCACATCATTCCCTTCCTCGCTACCCACGTCCAGCTGAACTGTCACCGTGATGTCCTTAATCCGTCTTTACCTCGACTCCTGAACACAGACCTCTCCGCCACCATCCCGGTCTCTACCTCCTCCTTGTCATCGTTCCACCTTGTATGTCACCAGCTCATAGCTGGTGACGTATATTGATCCTTGTCTTTCCTCTACCCTTTATCTCCTCGACTTATGTACCCTGTTCTCGTTCCCTTCCGATCCCTGATTTACTGCAACGCTATCACCTTTTACCAACCCTACCCTCTCCTTATTGTGGTGTATCTTGACCCTTGAAAACGAAACCTTGAAATAATTAAAAAAACGCTTTTCGTCTCCTAATTACCCTTTCATGTATCTCCTCGCTACGTACTACCTTGGCTGTTCTCAAATATGAATATTTGGCGTTAGATGTCAATCAGGACATTGCCACTATCTGAAACCGATGAAATACTCTAGGGGGTGATCTCTTATATACATGTAGGTGGACCCTTTGGTACATCTACCAACATCTCTTTGTGCGGATGGTCTGTCCAACTGGTTCATATTAGAGTGTACTACAGTCTCGTGGTTATCCATTGCCTTTGTCATTCTTTACTGCCAGCTGGGCATATAACTTTCGGTCCTTAGGTCCGCAAGAGTGGCTCTAGTCAGCAGTAATAGGTTGACATATATGCCGTGGGCCACACGTGGGGTGCCGTGTGCTCGGAGACATTGGCACAGGCGATGGAGAGAAGCGTAGTTGCCATGGATTGATAGAGTCCTCTTATGGCCCCTGTATTGCCAACTGGTCGGTGCGGCTATCCCCACAATGGGATGGCTTCATGGAAGACCTCTGGTGCGTAATGGAGCACCCTGCAGAGATGATGGCCGGTGGATGGCCCTTCGAGTGAACATGGCTAGCGTCTTTATGATTGTTGACCTTCAACAGTGTCTCTAGAGTGACTAGATGATATAATGGGCCGAATCGCAGACCTCGAGATCAAAATTTTGGGACATAATGACATTCAATTGAAGCAGCTAAGAGCTCCGGGTTCTGGTATCATCAATCAAAAATAAGAAAAAGTCGCGCCTTCAAAACGACTAACTTGTTCGTGCTAAATTATTTCATAAATAGGTCGTTTTCTTCACGCTCTCGACCTAGCGCTGAATATCTTGTACAGACCTTCGAGCATTACCCATTTTGATGCCCTTTCCAATAAAGAACCCCGGATCTTGATCCTGATAGACCTGCTTAAGGTCGAGACCATTCTCAAGCATCATAACATCCATAGACCTGTCGAAATACAGCCTTGATTGCGTTATCGGTGATATTGACCTTAACATCTACTACTCACCGTATTCCTTAACAGCTTTATCCAGAGATTTAGGAGTATCGAACAAGCCTAGAACTATTAGGTCAATATCCATCTAAGTGGCAGAAGACTGTGATGGATAGACAGAGGTTGATTGTAATAGGAAGACACGGTATATCATTTCGTATAGTATATTCTCCCTTGCGGCCGTTTTTTTCCACTTTCTATTGCGCTCCTATATATAGTTACGTAGTAAGAGTCTGAGGGGCAAGTTGTGAAATTGCATCGCTTTGAATTACAGACGCTACGCTAGGTAGGGTTTTGTCTAGAAACGTCCTATCCCGTATTGAGTTATATATCTCTCTCTTCGAGCTTCCTTTTCGCGAAAGACGACTGTGCTCAAGATCTTGAATATCTCATTTCATTCCATTTCATCATCATGTAAATTCTCATCAGTGACTCACGGACAAAAGAGATAAGGGAAAAAAAAGACCAGCCCACAGGCAACAGACCTAGATACAAAACGTGCCTGCAAGCAAGAGATGTGACAAAAGAATAGACAGGAAAAAAAAAAAAAAAACAGAGAAAAGTAAAGTGACATCAAAAACCCTAGGGCGGGTACACAAATGAGATAGTGCCACGCGGTAGAGTATTATGGACATAGAGACGCCGCCAATGGTAGGTTTTGTACATGAATTTGACAAATCACCTGTAGACATGCTAGTCCGCGGTGGTGAGATGGTGTGTCGTTGCTGTCATACCCGTAGACGAATATCAAATACGCTGACAGCGTGAATTCGTCTCAGATCAAAGAATACAGAGGAGATTCGTTAGAATGCATAGGGCAATGTTGTGAAACTGTGGACAGACAAAAGATGAACTGCCGTGACTGGTGACCGTGACTGATGAGACATGCATATAACGAGAACGCCGATGTCGAAGCAGATGTCCGAAAGAGGATCAGATGTGGGGTCGCTGCGTAAAAGAGTTGAAGGTAACGTAACCGGATTTGTCGACGGCATGCATGATGGGATTCAGCCAGAGGATATGAGGGGGGGGCTGGACGTTAATCGATGCTGTCGTCGAGGTTTACATTGTTGAGAGTAGCCGAGACACGGTTTCGAAGGCCAAATCTCCGTGCCCCCAAGCTGTTTGTTCGCAGTCGCGGTGTTTGAATTGGCGTGTAGCTGGTTGCCACTTTGCTCGATGGGGTGGAGATTCTGGTCTGGGATGGTTCCATTTGGGGCAATCGCAGAGTTTCTTCAACGGGGGATGCCTGTATGTTATTGGAGGAGAAGCTAGGGGTTAGGCCGTAACGGCGAGACCCAGCTTGGATGTTGGAGCGGGATGTCGCAGGGGTGTACGAAGCAGGGCTCATGTAGCTTCTACGGAATGAGAGACTGGATGAGAGAGTCGGTGTCCGAGGCTCTGATGGCTGTGTCTGCGACTGAGGGATTTGTGACGATTGGTATTGCGGGGAGCGGGGGGAGTATCCTAGACCGCTCTGGTCCTGCTGCATACTGGAAATGGAGCGGGACACAGTCTGACCTTGGGAGAGTCGTTGCCGAGGAGGAGGTATGGTTTGCGCAGGAAGCGATGTGCCAATCACTGTATTGGCTCTAGAGACTGAACGACTATGTGGATTTTCGGCCTCTCCACTTTCCTCACCAATGGTCTGCCTGCGGCTGCGGAGGGAAGTCGACATGCGATTGAGACGAGTGGTTGGGTTAGACATGCCAGGAGATTGGCTTGGACTCTGCTTCATATCCGTCGTGTTTCCAGGGCTGGTATTGACTAGAGATGCACGACGTGCCTCAAGGCGACTGGAGATGCGAGTCGTGCTATGACGCCGCTCAATGGCCTCGGGCTCCTGGGTCCCATTTCGCTGATAGGTTGGTATGGACATACGAGCATCCACCCCCGTGCCATTCGATAACTGGGGCTGCACGCCTGTGTCGCGGCTGGACGACGGTCGGACATTCTTTAGCTGCTCATCCGTCAAGGCTAGACAAAGCTCGGTCAGGCTACGGCACACACTGTCCGCTTTGCGACGGGCATGTCGTTCAGGTGAAGTGTATCCTCCATTCACAACGGACATGGTGCCTGACGGTGCGGCATTGACGCCCAACGCGGTGGAAAGGTTCAAAGCATCGGTTATCGTCGCCTCGAGGGAGGTGTACACGTCACCGCTCAAAACAACTTTGGCCTTGGCCAATGCGGATTGCAGAATTGGGTGCACTGGGTTATTTTCGGTATCTGCTGTTGAGGAGCTGGTTTTGCGGCGTTGCCTCGGCGAAGAGGACAAGGTGGTAACGGCAGTGTTGGCAGTCCGCGGTCTCTCATTGGTAGGGGTGTACATCGCCGCCGAAGATGAGGGAGGTAGCTTCCCTGTCAGTTCCAACTTTTTGATCCGATCTTTGAGATCATCTAGCTCGTCCCAAACAGTCGAGGGGGCCGTGGTGGACAATGTTGACTCGGTTCCATCAGCGCGCGATCGTTCTGTATCGGCTCGCGGTCGCCCGGTCACTTCAGAGCCCGAAGGCTGTCGACTGCTTCGAATCGTGGAGAGTCCCGAGTGGCGATTGATGCGCGGATCATTTAGAGAGGATCGACGCTCCAATTCCTCGGCAGCAGAAGGTGTGCGCGGTGAAGTTTCTGGGCTCGTACGGCTGAACCGGCTTCGTGGAACACCGACAACGGATCGCGCACCGGATCCGAGGCTACTATAGCGGAGGCGACTTGAGTCGTCGAGAGGATGGGCAGATGACGCCGGTGTGTGCATGGAGCTGTAGGGGGTAGTGGGGGAATCATTTTGGAGATGCAAGGGGTTGTCGATATTGCTGTATCGCTGATCGGGTGAGGGGGTTTGATCTGTCGTTGGCGACCGTAGACTCTGGCTAGAATAACCAAGCCGTGACTAGTTCATAGATTCTCGTTAGCTATCGGAAAGTCGCGAGAATGGATTGAGCGGATGCCACGATCAATGGAATGCCCGAGCGATCAGGAATGCGATCCGCTATTATTCTCACTTACCCGTCTAAAATCCGAGCGACCTATCGAGTCGCGACGGCCCGAATCCGCTCTCGCAATGTTCAGAAACACATCCTCATTCTTTGGGCGGCTCTCGTCCATCGCAGACTTGTCTTCGGTCCGAGTACCGTTTAGACCGTTCACAGAACGAGCATTGTCATTTAAGGTTCTGGTTGCTCCAGAATAAGCCAGGCTTGATGGCATTGTTCTTTTCACATCAGGGCGATCTTGGTGTAATTCGTCCTGTCTGGGCCTCTTCGAGGCATAGGGAGATTCAGAAGCTTGGGGGCTGGGTGAGCTGAAGCTTAGGACGGATCGCCGGGCGCGGTGCAACAGGGAGCGTTTGGTGGTTAGATTGGCTGTTTCATCGGTGGGGCTGTCGAAGCGAGTGTGCAACGACAAAGAACGCGAGTGAGGAAAATGTTGGAATTGTTGCTGATTGACCTGGTTGGGCTGAAAATGGTCACGGGAACCTGCAGCCATTCTGTACTTTGTCCTCTCAGTAGCACTGTACAACTTCTTCTGTACAGAGTACGGAGGACTGAAGGACTCTCAAGTAACGATTCTGGGGAAAGCTAGTATTGTATAGTTCCGACGGGTTAGAGATATGCACCGTTCATGGTTGCAGGATGTCAGTAAGGACTTAGGGACTTGACCTGTCAGAATCTTCAATGCGGGTATACTGTGTGGGAAAATTTCAATATTGACGAGCCTTTATTCACTATTCGCACTATTTAGGATCTTATTGGGAATGGACACTACCACTTTGAATGGCCTATAGACCCAATATGTTGGACACTATGTACCTATTCTAGTCTAGTAGCCCCTACTCTGGAAAGTTATTCTACATGAAATTTGAGGTGTGAAGAGATGGAAAAAGAAGGGCAAAAGGGAAGAGAAGAAGACGAAGAAGAAAAAGAAGAAGGAAAAAACAAAGCATTGAACCATGGTTCAGCCTCACCGAAGACCATGGTTACTTTGAAACACAAACTGAATTTGACAGAAACGGTTTTTTTCCAAAACAAATTGCTCTATGTGGTATACTTCAAGTTCTGCCAGTTTATATCGAGGTACCTAGGCAGTATCTGCATATTACTTTGCCAATTTCAATCTTGGAAGAAGCGGAGTGGGGTCTTCGGGGACCCTTGATTGCACTCTACAATACATAGAGTAGGCCTATCGTGTTGACAAACGTCATTACCTTATGATGCGATTTTAGTATGATACGCTTACAACCTTGGAATTCTTGGAAGGAATGGTAAAATACCAAGCAGGTTGCTTGGACCAAGAACAGTATTTTGAGTGTTATCACTTGTTCTTCATTATGCTGTTCAAAGGTCAAGCAACAAGGTACGGAGTACTCCATAGTAGTGCGGTCAACCTCCCGGGGTTAGAATATTGGGCTATCCTTGGAGATAAGCAAGGTGCCAATAAAGGGGTTTGTTTAGTGATCTCTATTTTAGTGTACATCATATTCTTTGTGGTCTCGCTAAGATCACAACATGGATTCCTTCGGTCCTGGCACATAAATAATGCTTTGTCTAGATCCCTATGGCCATGGTCATATAGTGATGTACTCCGTTACCTTGTAATCTAAAATCCTTCAACCTGGGCACTGCCACTCAATTTGCGTGACAAATTCCTGTGGAAATTACAATCTACCTAAGCTAACTCCGGACAATTAGTATTGAATAAGACTCATTTGGTACTTTGTCTGGATTTTCATCTTGTCGAGTCATTAGGTTTCTAGTTGTGGCATAGTCTGCAGAGCTTCATGTTGGAGACGGGCTGGGCAAATGATAAGATTTGCAAATGATATCAATCATCAAAGGCGTGATCGGGACTCCCCACGGAGTAAGTGAATTGAGCCCTTGGGTGCAACCCAATGAGAGGGTCCTTTAAGTCTGAAACACGAGAATTCCCGTAAGCTGCTCAATTCACACTTATTTTTAGAAAAATGGTGAAACACCTGGAGTTCCCTGATTTCAGGACCCCGGCGAAAGGAGGTCATCTATCTGGGACTAACGCATAAGCTAGATTTGGGGTTACATAATGTATTTTTGGACCTTGGAATATCCTCTCCAGATTCGGTATATCGCAAAGTGAAGATCCAGTCTCAGGATTGTTCCCACGTGGAAAAGGGCCGATCCTTTATTGCAACTGTACGTGGGCCTTAGGCTTCAATGAATTCCCGGATACGGAGTACGGCAGTAGAGACTGAAGATCCATTCAATGTACTAAAATGTACCTCTCCTCTCCATATGGAGTATAGATACAAATGGAAGATACCCTAATCCCCGTCCACATCGACCCAAACTGCCAAGATACACTAGTTTCCCACTAGTGCCAAATTGGTGCGTTTCATATGCCAAACCCAGATCCATGGGGTTTCAGGATGAGCCTTCTCCTCCTGATGTCATCCAATCAGATATCATGGTCTTCCTATTTGGGGATTCTCCTTAAAAGTGTTGAATGGTCCAATGGTATCTAATCCATGGATCAGCCCAGCCCACCGTTCACCCGTTCACATTCGGTCTTGACAACTCCGTAACGTGGTAATGTAACTTGGGATTTCCGATTTGGAATATTCTTGACTTCGTATTCTATACTCCGTACTCCGTATATCTCCACCATATATCCCGTCTCCCTAAGGGTGACTGAACAAAACTGGACAAAGTGATCGTATTTTCCGAATGTGGATTGTTTTATAAAATACGGATAGAGATTATAATATACACTAAGGTAGGAAGAGGCACACTATCGAGCCTCTCATTTGCCTTCGTTTGACGCCGACTAAACATTCCAGGGCGGCTAAAATTAGAGCAAAGGCCACTGATTGGTGTTATCTCCATCTTTTGGATCGGTCCCCTTTTTTTTTTTGTATTGTATGTTACCTTGATCTCCAGAGTCCAAGCCTTTTTTTTTCCCTTTTCCCTTTCTACATCTATTCTCTCCTTCCAGTTCCCTGGAGGAACCACTTCTTGATCATCTCTTATTTTCTTTTCTTTTGTGATCTGGTATGTTCTTTCTCTTCACATCGTTCTCCTTGTGATTTACATCGGATCATTAGTCTCAAACACCCTTGCATTTCACTTGCCCTAGATTCAATCTAACTATCTTCCCCATAGACCCATTTGCGCAGGTAGCAGGTGTATCTTTTGATCTTGAATGCCATTCTAGCTCTTGAGCTTGAGAGCCGGATTGAAAGGAACTTCCTTTCACAGTGTCAGCTCCGCGGACAATGCCAGTGCAAACCAGCCAGCCGTCCTTTCCGGACTCGTTTCCGTCTTTCATGTCTGTATTTGGTGGTCCCCTTCCACGATACAAAGAAGAAGCAAACACCATTCATCCTCTTCAATACCCAACCCATGTCCCGGTCAATACACGTCCACTTCCTTCCCCCATCGCGAAAGTGTTTCATCTATGACCTCGGCATCGACCGAGTCCTCCCCGACCACTACCATCTCGCCCTTTGATTCGCCCGGCGGGGGTGACATCTCTCCCAGCTCATCCCCGGAATCTCCCTTTGCTATGTCTGTCTCATACCCAAAGTTCATGCCTTCCACACGGCCCTTGGAGCTTCCTCCGCGCCTTGCGCCGGTCGGTGAACCGCGCCTATCCCAGCCGACCCCTCATAGTACGCGCTCAGACTCCCCAAATCGACGGGCGCGTAATCTCAAGAACTTGTCATTGCGAATGCCGCCCCCATCTCACTCTCGCCCACCTATCGCGACTGCATCGATGACGGAGACGTCAAAACCACTCGACGCCGCACCATCTCCCCTCCTGATCCCTTCTAAGAGCACGAGGCGACGCGCCAATCTCACCATCCAGACCCCCACATTCAATAAACCGCTATCTGGTATCACTGATGCCGTGCCCCCAACTCCATCCCTGCGTCACGCAGAATCCTCACCTTCGCTTCTAACAATTACATCGCCCTCGTTCGCCCCACGGGGAGGTATGCAGCTTCCCCGACTAATGTCACATCCTGGTATGCGCCGTTCGTCTAGTGCGTCTGAGGATGTGTCCTCCACTTTGAAGCCGGTTGACGGATCTGGCTTTTCTCACCGTGTTCTCCATGGTCTAGAAGAAGAGGATGACCACCCCGACTCGCGCGAATCAACCCGCAAGAAGGATCGTGGCTACCCGGATGGACCTATCCGAATTCACGACTCTGGTGTCTACTTGTACTTAGAGCCAACAGCAGAGGAAGCTTCTCAATTCGACGTGGTGATCAACGTTGCCAAAGAAGTGGTGAACCCATTCAGTGCTAGCAAGGAGGAGCGGAATGATACAGTGATGAGCACATGGCGAAACGCCTCCATGGCCTCGAAACGCTTCTCCCGCGGGGAGCCCCAGACCGCGATTTCCGAATTCTCTTTCAAGTCTGCCTGGGAATTTCAACCCTCGGATTCCGAGTCGCCAACCCCTACTACCTCAAGTCCTACAACTTCAGAACCGGAGTACCTCCATGTCGGTTGGGACCACAATTCTGAGATTCTCGAAGACCTGCTCCCGCTATGTGAGCTGATTGACGACCGCATCGCTGACGGAAAGAAAGTTCTCGTGCATTGCCAGCTAGGCGCCAGCCGCTCAGCATCGCTGGTCATTGCCTACGGATTGTACAAAAACCGACACCTGGATTTCAACTCGATGTACGAAGCAGTCAAGGGACGCAGCCAATGGGTAGGCCCGAACATGAGTCTCATCTATCAACTCACAGACTTCCGCTCTAAATTGCTGCGGGGATCTACATCTAAGCCACCACCCCAGGAGTGGTTCGTCCAAACCGGTCGGCGAAGCTCAGAGCCCCAGGTTGCCCAAGCTGAGCGCCCAGGGTCCAACGAAACAAGCAGGCCATCCTTCCGCGGACTACCGCAGGCACCTTCAGCCAGCTGCCTCTCTATCCCAGAAACGACCTCGATGCGTCCCGCTACGAGCGACGACAGCAGTAGCTACAAAAAGTTCAAGTCCTATTCCCCTAAGCGGAGTCTGTCCCCCCGACCGCTCCCATTCCGACAGAAGTTTCAGTCCGTGGAACCTGCCTCGGGTCGGCCACGAGGGTTGCCGCGCAGCGTCAGCAGTTGTGACCCGCTCGTTCAAACACATGTGTTTGTACGTGATGCGCCAGACTCTAGTGGCATGTTTTCTCCAAGGACGCACGAATTCTTTTCGCCAACTCCTTTGGCGCCACCCTCGTTCCACCGGATCGATCGTTCCGCAGCTCTCTCTCCACCTCCCATCCCCCACGCTATGCGGTCTGCCGCCGAGCTGGTAGACCCCCGCTCGCCTCCATCCGGCGGCGAGCCCCTGATCATGAGATCAATTGATGAATTCTTGTGATCTCCCCACCTTGTGTCCCTTTAAAGACCAGACTTGAAACGATTCCATGACCCGACATATTTTCCCATGTCTCTTTCCTGATTTGGAGACCATCATTCCAGCCACTCCCGGGGACCCCGGGGACCCGGGCATCATGCCCCGGGACTCAATGCCACCCTTCTATTCTCATTTATTAATTTCTTCCACCCATCTCAATCAGATGACTGGCTTGATGATACTCATGACCAAAGCAGGCTTTGCTGTCGCTCATCGCATTTTTTTTTCCAACTTGCATACTTACTGCATATTTCTTTTTGTCATTTGAACCTACGGGTTTTACCAACGCCATTACTGGCCACCATCGCTTGAAACTTTTCTCTTTTTTTTTTACCATTGGCGTCTCGGGTGTCCAAAACGGACAAATTTTGATACCAAGGCCAGGTCTTGGAAGATGAAACAGACCTGTCTGCTTTCTTTCCGCTTGGTACCTGTAATATTATCGGCGGATCCTTGTTTTTTGCCTTGCTTTACTTTGGCTTTCGTCTCTGGCTTGATAGTTTCATGTCATTCTTCTATCTGTCTATCTTGCCACTTAGATACGGCCTTTATGTGCCTTCCTCTGTGTGTTCAGCATCCGTGTGATGAAGCTGCTCAGCTCCTCTTGGACCTTGTGGCATGCTTTATGGGTGAAAGATTGGATGATGAATACCCCCCTTGCGCAGTCTCACAATAGAGTTCGACGTTAAGCTTCATTTGTTTCGCATGACTCTGTAAACACGTATGGCATCAAATCTAGATCTAGTAGATCCAAATCGTGGCTTCGGGCTATTTGTTGATTAGAACGGAGATAGCGATAAGCCCCGAGGACACTCCGGGGCCTCCAACCCAAATTTTCCCTTGCACATCCTCTCCGCATTAGCGAAAATGGCCGAAGAATCTCATCCGGCATACCTCTCGCCTAGCGAGCTGGGTACAAAAGACTAGTATGTGTCCTTTCTAGCCGCACCCTCTGCTCTTCTTCGACGCAAGAACGGGGAATTCCCACACCCCGCTCTGCCCCTCTATGAGTGCTGTATACAGCAAATCTCCCACAGCAAATGCAGCAATAGATCAATCGGGCCACCAATTGATATATAAAATTACCTCAGATATCCAAGCGGTTCTTCAAACGGAAACTAACAATCCAAATCTAGCTGGGAATCCTACTACGCCCGCACACTAGCCCACATCTCGCACGAAGCTCCCAGCAAAGACCCCAATGCCAATGACAAAGACCAAGATGATGACGATGCCGCATCCACCGCTTCCGATCTAAATGAAGAAGATGACCCTGGTACATCCTGGTTCTCCGAGCACAACGCCCCGCAAAAAGTCCTCCACTTCCTCACGCGCAAGTCATTCCCCTTGGCGCCGCGCAATACAGCGCACAAAAAGGGCGGCCGCCAGCCGACTGTTTTAGATCTTGGGACTGGGAATGGGAGTATGCTTGCGCTGCTTAGGAAGAGGGGTGGGTATACGGGACATCTTGTTGGTGTTGATTACTCGCGTCAGAGTGTTGAGCTTGCGAGGGAGTTGCAGCGTGTGAAAGGGCATTCTGCTTATCGGAGTGACTCTGAGGATGAGGATGATTCGGATGATGAAGAGGAAGCAGAGGCTGAGGTCGAGGCTGAGGCTGGATCTGATGATTTGCCGAAACAAGAAACACCCATTCGGTTTGAGGAGTGGGATATCCTCGGCTCTAAGGCTCTTCTTTCTGAGACCGGTCTCGAGGTATCGCCCTCTGCTTCCGAGGAAACACTCCCCTGGTTCCCCTACCAGGAAGGTGGTTTCGATATCGTGCTAGACAAGGGGACGTTCGATGCTGTCTCGCTAGCTGATGATGCGAAGACCACTCGTGTCTGCGAGCGATATCCTGTTATTGCTCGGCGCTTAGTGCGTCGTGGCGGGTTCTTGATGGTTACTACCTGCAACTGGACTGAGGAAGAGCTGGTGCATTGGTTCACTAGTGATCGGAAGACTGGAGATCGGTTGGCGGTTTGGGGACGTGTTGAGTATCCTCGGTTCCGGTTTGGAGGACATGAGGGACAGGGAGTTTGTACGGTGTGTTTCCAGAGGGTTGGGGATGCTTGATACTAAGTAGTGGGTCTGCGGAATACCATGCGAACTATACCCCCAAGCAAAAAAGAATGGAGTGCAGATAGCCAGTATAGATATGCTGAATATAATACAGAAACATTTCAATCATTCCAAGGCAGATTTCTCTATTTAATGCTCATCTATATATACTCGTCATCTCATCATGCAAAATGATAGATCGCTCAAAAATGCACCTGATACCATCATCAAAGTCACAAGTATAACTTACTCTCCCTTCCTCTTCAGGACAGCAATAACACACCACCTCTTCTGGTTCTCCGTACCCTCCCCTTCCCTGACCGGTGCCCATTCCCTACGAATCTCACCCCCATCCTCCAACCTCGCAACCAGATCCCTCTCATAGATCCTCTCAGTCACAAACCCATACTTAGCAACCGTCTCAAAGAAGCCGGCAACGATCGCTCGCCCCGTATGGAACCCAGCAACGACCCACACCTTTCCACCCGGCGAAAGGAACCACTGCATCGTGCGCGCGAGGTTCTCATGCTGCGAGCGCATCCAGAAACAATCCGCCGCGACAATGCGCGTGAAGACACCCTTATTCGCCGTCGCGAACGAGTCATCTAACACACCCCATTCGTGCGGATGCATGGACACTTTCCCCACAACCTCGGGCGTGCGCTTCGCTAGGTTGTGCTCAATATTGAAAGCGATTGCACCGCTGAACGCAGGCGAGGAGGGATGGTCAGTTGCTGTAACCATTGAGGCGTTGGCTAGGGCGCAGATTACGGAGGGAAGAGCGGCGCCTATATATGATATGAATGCGTTAGTCGATGTTGAGGGTTGAGAGGTACAGTATAGACTGTACCGAATGCGAAAGGTCGAGCCACCACTTACCAGCTCCTAACTCGAGCACACTCTCGCCCTTGACACCCCACAGCTCCCGGTTCTCTTTTTGCGCTTCTGTCTCTGTTTCACCTGGTGCTAGAGGCGTATCCGCTTCCTCGACACCCTCTGCAACGACCATCGCCGCGCTCCAGAGGAAATGCGCAAAGAGCTTGCGTCCCTCGTCGACTTGGTTCACTGAGCCATCTGGCTTGGCTTGGCCTGCGGCGATCTCTTCGGAGCGTTTCTGGCTTTGGCTTGAGCTCGGGTAGCTGGGGACCATGATGTTGAGGTCGCCATAGCGCGGGGAGCTGTAGAGGAGGTGTTGGCCTGGGTCGCCGTGGAAGGAAGGAGCGTCGTCTGGGAAGAGGTGGGGGAGGGAATGCACCGAAGAGATCTTCGGGTTCTTCGTCGGGTTCGCTGTTGGCGTCTTGATTTTGGAATTCTGGTGCTGGTGCGCTGGGTGTGGTGGGGTGGTTGCGGCGGGGGAGGGGTCGTAGACGTGAATGAAGCATTGCTGCGGTTTGGAAGGGAGTCTTTTGGCGCTGTTTATGGTATTGGATGCGTCGGCATGCAACGTAGACTTCCGGAAGTTTGGATTGAAAAGTCAATTGGCCTATTATGTGAGGCTGTCGCGATCGGGATCCATGGGTCTGATCTTTATCGCTCTTATCTCCAATGAGGATTTTCTTACATGTTTGCACTGTTTGACATATTAGGTAAGATTGCCTCCACCTCGGCGCTTTTCAGCCCTGGGGGTCCGACCACGTCATGCGAACACAGAAATGGAGAAAAAGAATAATGGGGCATATGAAATTCATTTGCATTGGACTGGTTGTGTTTCCGTTGTAAAAAAAAAATAAGTTGGCATAAAATAATTTCAGCAGCTACGGTACCTCCCGGCAGCTTTGAGAATTGGATCGACAATGATCTGACTTTTTAGCCCAATGATACTAACAAGAGGAATGTCCCGAGGGCCTCAGCCGCAGGGCAAGAATGGCGGGCCAGGAACATTAGGAATGTGCCAGAATCAAGAAAGACCAGGGGGTTCAATGGCCCTCCTATTGCGCAGGCCCTGAAGGGCGCCAAAAATAATTCCGCCCAAGTGCTCGTGCGCAACAGGGTAGTGTGACGCTCGGAGTAATGATCCTCTCTTGCAGGCGTTAGCGTGCGAGATGGCGCGACCTGATCGTAGGATAGTTATGGTGACCTGAGCGATTACCTAACTGACACTTGTCCACGGGTTCCAGGAAGGGACGGATGTTGCCTTGCGCTAGACGATAAGCCACAATTCTTTGCCACAGCACAGATGATGTACTTCCTGAACTCCATACTCCGTACTCCGTACTCCCTATGTTCCTGTCCGTAACAAAGTCTATACTCAGAAGGGAAATCGAAATTATATAATTTATATCCGTATCCGTTATCAGGTGATTCCATTGACTAAGCCCAGATGACATCATTGGCTCCACCACGTCCATTGGTCTTTCACGTACTAGACCGGCCGATGCTATGCAGGTGATCTGGTCGATACATGGGAAACTGGTACTTTCCAAGTCACACTAGTTCAGGTTCTTGTGGTCATCTCCTATCAATACATAGTCGTCATGACCCGGGTGGGAACCAAGTAACTTGATTGGTACTTGGACCCAGAGTCCAGTTGTTCAATCTTGTGACCCTAGTTGATCGTCAGGCAACTGAGAATTTTTTTTTTGTTCACGGATATCATTGTAAGAGTTGAATGTTATATAATAACCTTGATCTATCCAGAATTGAAATAATATTTTTTTTATATCCTGAGCCTGGATCCATGGCACTACCCTTCCCCTGGAACGCCATCCGAGCGCCAGGTATTATAAGACATTGATAAAAAAAAAAGATTATGCCCAACATTCGCCATAGGAGAATTCGCTTTCAAAGGGTTTGAACATTATGTATGTCTTTAGATAAGTGGATCCACTCTACTCTCAGAGTCATCGCGACCCTTGGACAATTTGAAGGATATAGGAATCTATCGCAACGTAGCCAAGTAGCAAAGTAAGAGAGATTGTCATAGTCCCAAGTCATATATAACTTCCAAGTTAGTAAAAATACCAAGTGTATGTGTGACCGGTGATCGCCTCTTTTCCCCCCCGCATGCTCAAAGGGAAAGGCCCCCGCAAACCTGAGCGATTTTGGCTCATACCGGCCCTCTTTCTCTCCTTTCTCTTTTTTTCCCCTTCCACATTTCTTTTTTTGGATTCCTTCACATTTTTTTGGTTCCCTTTCCTCATTTCTACTCGCATTGCTCTTTACCTCTACATCTCCGTCCCGGAACTCTGCCTTATTTCATCTTCCCTGAATTGAGGGCAACTGTCCTAGACGATCAATTCCATTGGAAGCTTCCTACCTTTTTTTTCTTACCATGGCCTCATTCAAGGTAGGTGTCCAACATGGCAATCTTGCCTACCACTTTCTCTTTGGACCAGACTAATGTAGCGGCCTCTTTGGGCCATTCACAGGAATTATCCATGTCGCGCCCTCTCCCCAATCCGAGCCAGCGGCATCAACACGCGCATTCGATCTCGCTCGGTGCTCTCAATCCAAACCACCGGGTAACTCGCCGAAAGAGTGTCACCACCGCCGCTGCCAATGCTGCCGCCGCAGTCGCTGCCTCCATGGAGGATGGGGAGGCTACCTCGCTCCCTATGGGTGCGCACCGCCGCAGCCTCGCCGGCCGCAAGGGCCAGGAGTCCGGCTCCGTCGGAAACGTATCTGGCTTCAGTTCCTACCTCTCCCGTAGCATCAACAGCCCCAGTCAGGAATCACCGGTCGCTCGCAAAGGTTCTCCGGGCTCAGACCACTCTGATGGCAAGCCCAAGAACCGAAACCGCCGAGCCAGTGAAGGTGCCCAACTCAAGACCGAAGGGAAGCGTGCCTCGACGGCCATACGTTGCGATCGCTGCGGGAAAGGGTATAAGCATGGCAGCTGCTTGTCTAAGCATATGTGTGTATCCCCCTACCGCTCGGCCGTCTTCCTCTAGCTCGATCGGGAATATGCGCCACGTCGGCTCTGTGCAGGTCGCCCTCGTGGTTATTCAACTCCCCATTCGTCATTGCTCCCCTTTCTTCCATCCCTTTCAGCAACATTTGATTGACGTGTCTTTTTCCCGTGGTATCTTAGGTGGGAACACGACCCAGCATGGTCCGTTACTTCGAAGCTTCTTATCTCCAAGCATCAGCAGGTTCAACTGCTGGAGGCCGCCTCCGTTTTGGTTACCATGAACCACGATGATCCACCCGATGAGTCCGCCGAGTTGGAGTCGGAATTATCGTCTGGATCGCCCGACGCCCTGTCTGAAATGCGAGATGGCATCAGTTCCACTGAGACCACGCCGCCCCCAATGGACTCGGAGGATGATGACGACTTCGAGATGTCCGGCATGCCGGCACAGTGGGCCAAACGCCCCAGCGTAAGCAACGCCTCCGCTTTCTCTCGTTCCTACCAGTCCATTCCCTCCAGCTCGTACAACGAAAGTGCTCCGCTGCACTCGCCTACATTCTCCCACTTCCGCCACTCGAGCATCGACACCCGTCCCTCGACTGCGGACACCCGGTTACACGAGGATGATGAGGCAGATCTTGCGGCGGCCATCGGCCTGTGCAATTTTGGGACTCCTCGCACGGGGCCTGTCTCCATGACCCCCGACGTGCCACCAGTGCCTCCACTGCCGGCGCGCTACTTGGACTCAGGCAGCCACCCGAGCAACCAGGGTCTCTTCTCCCCTCGATCACGCCCCTCAGAGGAGTTCGCTCGCCGAGACTCCGAGGTCAACATTTTCCTGGCCCGATCGCTCAACCCGTCGCTGTCTTACAAGGTGTCGGATGAGCGTGAGGCTCGGACTGCCGGTAATGAGGATGCCCAGAAATCCCGTCAACGTCGCAACGCCGATGTAGACTTTGGTAACCGCTCCGCGCCGGTCGATGACGACGATGGCGGTGTCTTTGGCCACATGGAAGAGTAAATCTTCCGTTGGCCTCTGCGTCTGCGCGTCTGCGTACCTCCAACCCAATTCCTGGGTCAAATCGGCTGATGTCGAATGACCCCTTCACGATTCTCATGTACGAGCTTGAGCGAATTTTTTGAACCTTCTTGTTTACATGTTTATAACCACTCCAGGTGGAGAATAGAGCTCATGTCGAATAATCGTTCAGTGCTCTTTTCTCAACTGAAGTGTTTCACAATTCTCGGGACCTTTTTTCTCTACCTTTTGAGATCCCATGTATCAATCATGTCTCCTTGGCCCGCTTTGTGCTTTTTTTTTCTTTGTGTCCTGTTTTGCGGCTTATTCTGGAAACCCCCATAAATGGCCTACTCCGTATGGCCGGCGCATACTTATTATCCCCATTAAATACTTATATCCATAAGGACATGACACACTTCCATGTCCTCTATGCTTCTCGTTTGTCTTTTTTTTTTTTGTTCTGTTTTGGTCTCTCACCTCGCACATATATACCAAACCCACAAATTCTACGATCCGCTTCCCTACTTTTCCCATATGTGTATCTCGTCCGTTCTTTTCCCTCTGTCTCCTTTCCCAATCTCTTCTATATCTCTCGCCTATGGCCCCTCACTCTTGTGAACTCAACTAACCCTCGGACGGGGCATACAATGAATATATCTCATGAACGTATATTGTTCTAGAATGTAGATCCTTATGTCATTTTTGTATCAACGTACCTGAACATCATAGGCGGGGACTCAACGACCCACTACGGGGTAGAGGTCCAGCTTTTTTTTTTTGTGGAATCTCTCTTTCGTCATAGATGAAGACACAGGATGAAACATGAAGTTCAATGTGCGACAACCCGGCTCTAATATAAACTATTATAGGTGTTGATCTCTTTTGGGGAGAGTCCGCCGTGGTCTCCGGCAGAGCAGTTGCAGAATAATACAGATTTCTTGTTGTTAATGATTCAATTGTGTTCTAATACGTTAGTGAGGTGTTGGGATGTGCCAAACTGAGTATCCATATGGCATTTTCTAGACCACAGGTCAACATACATAGATCTCTCCTCCTCCTCCTCCTCCTCCTCCTCCTCCTCCTCCTCCTCCTCCTCCTCCTCCTCCTCAATCCAAAAAGCGTGAGCTCGATGAATCTGGCATTCTTCAAAGCAACTTAGCACCCAACGGCATATATAGTAATGGTGAAGTTTAATCAAGACAATGGCGAAACGGTATCAAGGATATCATGTGCATTCTGGAGTCATGAGCAATAAGCATAACTTGAGCTAGTTCGTTAAGCAATCAAGGAATGAAGCACAAGTATAAAAACAGCAGAAACAAATAAAGAAACAGGGGTATTAGCAGTCTTTGGATTAGCATCCACCTCCACCTCCACCACAACCCCCTCCTCCACCTCCACCACCACAGCCTCCTCCTCCACCTCCTCCACAACCACCGCCGCCGCCGCCGTCTAAGTAACCAAGTCAGTATGTGCAAATATTTCTATCGAAGTCAATGAAGAAGACTTACCACCACCTCCTCCTCCTCCGCAAGCGCCACTGCCTATACAGAAAACACATTAGCATTGATTGTAGTATACCGAAGTTCATTGAGAGACTTACTGCATCCTCCATTACCATTGCCCCCTGCGCAGCTACCTGCGGCTGCGGCACCACCTTTTGACCAGTCAGTTTCACGTAATACTTCTCCAAGGGTGTCAGAAGAACTTACCACACGTGCCGGCACAACAGTTTCCAGCGGCGCCTGCAACGACATTCATGCAGCCAGGGTTACTTGCGTACGAATCACAGTTGATGGATGGGTCCATCATGTACGGTCCATAATATGGCACCACGATCGGGTACCCATATGCATAAGGCATGTAGTAGGGATAAATGTCGGCTTGATTATTAGATGACTTGGAGTCGGATCGCTGACGGCCACGCTTCTGGGCACGTCGAGCTGCCTTTTGGTAGCTGCTTTGTAAACGCATATATTTCAGAGCGCCAGCCTTCTCAGTCGAATCGGACAGGTTTGTTGGCCGGACAGCGTTGTGAGAAGAGATATGCGGGTTTTTGTTTGGGTCGGACGATATATCGGGGCGATCGTGCAAGAGATCTGCAGCGGCTCGGGCGCGAGAGGCCGAGCCAACAGTGATCAAGCGGTCGTACAGGTCTGGTGTTCGTGTCGCCTCGCAGTACCAGCAGGTGCATTCGCTATATATGCCGCCGTCGGTGGCACGGCGGTACATTTTGCTGGTCCAGGCAAAGCCGTCGGAGAGTTTTCCCTCGTCGACTTTATCGTCGTGGTCGATGAATACGCGAAGTCCAGTAGCTGTTGACTTGAGGGTGCTGTATCTATAATACCACGATGGGCTGAGTTGGTGTGTGTGCCAGGCCAGGTCGACGTCCAGTGTGGGCACGGCCATATTCTTTGGGTAATCCATCATGATCTGGAAGAACACTTCGTACTTTTTGATCAGCCGGTCCATGGTGTCGAAGACTGTGGGCGAGTGCAGCCAGTCAATTTGGTCCATCTTATCTACGAAGGTACCTTGTCTGATCACGGCGCCCACAAGGTCTAGCGCGAAGGGACCGAGATTATCCCAGTATCGAGACATCATTCGTCGGAAGTGAATCTTCTCGGCAGGCCGGATAACAGTGTGGCTGGTACCATGCGCGTTCGTCAAAATCTTTTGATCGCGTAGCTTGGTTTCGAGTTCCTCCCTCAGGCGGGTGACGTTCTGACACCAATCCACTCGGCCATCAGTGAATTCCATCAAGCTCTTTCCGGCAGCCTGGAGGACTCGTGTGGGGAATAACATATACCGGATGGCCCGGTGAGTGAATCGAACCTTTGGGCCCTCGGGAATTCCTTGGAGGTTGGTGAACGCCCCGGGCATAGGGAATCCATCGTAAAGGGTTTCTGAAAGGTCTTTTCGGAACTTTGCCACCTTGAGCCGGCCGTGGTCGATGATGTGGTCACAGCCGACGCATTTCACTTCAAATGAATTATCGGCGTAGCCATTGCCAAATTTGAAGGCGTTAGCAACAGTGTCCCCAAAGTAAGCATCTGTCCACGGGACAGTGTTTACTTTTTGGCAGCACGGGCAATTAACCTCCTTGGTTGGCTGGTCATGCAGATTGTTCCACTTGAGATTCATTTTTTCCTCGAACTGATTCTGGGCTTGTTCGGAAACCGTATACTCGAGAGTATGGTTGTTGATGCAGCTATCTATCACTTCCCATGGGAATCCCGTTGCCCAGGTGCTAATTTTACCATATCGAATGCAATCCTCAAGGAAGTTCCGGGGATTCAACGAATGAGCATGCCAGACCATTAAGATATCTATAGAGTAATTAGTCGACGGCCTTTTCGCCTTAGAATTATTACACTTACCTAGCGGGGGTAGATTGTCCTGGCTCCATGCAACTACTGTATCACAGTTAATGATATTTTCATAGTCAATATCCTCCAAGTCACTGATAGTTGCCATCGGCCTTGACCGGGGAAGGCCAATAGACCACCACTTGGTATATCGATCAACCGCACGCGCTGTATATACGGCCCAGCGCTTTTCGCGAATACGAGCCCGCGCTTCATTCAGCGAATCTGGGAATCGCTCAGCTTCGGCATCGTTGATCCCAAAGAGGCCATCGTCACTAGAGATAGTATCTCGCAGGTCTGCGAACACAGCCAGAAGCTTGAGGTGTGCAACGCACTGATCGCGAGTGACGGTAGTTGAAGAAGACGTTGGGGGCCCCAGATGCAACTGTGGCAATGCTAATGGCGGCTGCTCGACCTTGTCGGCGGAATAGGAAGGTGGTCGCTCACTGGAAGACTCGCTGAGAGCCTCCGATTGATTGGGTGCGTCTTTGGGTTTTTTATCCGTTGACACGCCCATATTGGCATTTGATAGAGGTAGTATGTTATAAAGAAGATGTAAGTTATTGGGGTCTGACAGGTGTGGTCGGGCTGGGTTTTATATTAGTTAGTGAGCACTAAGTATCCCATTCATATCCGAGTACTCCGTACAGTCCGATGAAGCCAAGTCAGCAGGGCGTTTTACCTCCCTGATCTTTCATTGCCTGAAATGGACAAGTTAGACGAGATGTAACGAGGATGATGGCCACTAATTGCCCCGGATAGTTCAGACCTATACCACATTTGGCCAAGCCTCCTCGGAATACAAAGCTTTTATGGAGAAGGAAGGGCTTTTATATTTCCAAGCCAATGATCTGAAAACATCTTGTTCAATCCCATACTGGATTGGATACAAAATCTAGGGCGGAGCCGGGCGCGATTGCACTGCCTTGCTGCCTGGGTGGCTTTTGTCCGGCCCCAAGGCTTACTTTTTGCTGATCAAGTGGGGAGATGCACTGCATTTTGTGAGCATGAGGTTCTAGTGTCTTTCTAGTCTTGATTTCATATGCTTGTACTTCGTATTGATGATGACATGAAAATAGTAATTTCCATGTACAGCCCCGTCTACTGTCACGTGGGATATGGAGCCATATAGAGTCACGTGGTAAGCCCCTCTGTGCTGAGTCATCGATATTCCGGGAAGAAGTGCGCTCACCGAGTGAGAAACCAAAGAAAGTTGAGATTGGTTTGTTGGAGAAAGACAAGGCAAAGGAAAGGATCAAACCAAATTGCAATACCTGGATCGAGACTCAACGGTGTCCGTGAATCCGTTCAAAGCTCTTTCGCCGTTCAAAACAGAGTTCTCGACCAGCAAAAACGTCATCCAGCCTGGCTTCTCTCGGGCGATCGAACGGCATCGGAGAGGGCCAGGCCCAAACTCTTGAACCGATTTCGAGCGTTGATAATGCTCCTATTGGCACCAGTCCCGTAATGGCGGGTGTAAATCAGTTGCCAGTCTCAGTTGCCGCCGATGGCGTGCATGGTCGCAAACGCAATATGGCAATTGCGGGGATCGACAGTTCTCCGGGGAGTATGGAAGATATGGATGATAATGATGCGCGCGAGGAAAAGCGACGCCAGCCAGTGAAGCGCGCTTGCAATGAATGTCGACAACAGAAAGTAGGTTTAGTTTATCACTGCAAAGTTCTCGCGATTCTTCGGTTTGACTAACCTTTTCGGATTGCCACAGCTCCGGTGCGATGTTATTCAAGATCCATGGACCGATTGTTCGCGATGCCGTCGACTGAGGCTTGACTGTAAAATTGAATCCAACTTCAAGCGTGTTGGGAAGCGCAGCCGAAATGCGGAAATGGAAAGGGAAATAATGGAGCTCAGGAAGCAGATTGCTAGTGGCCAATCTGTCCCTGGAATGTCACAGCAACGAGCATTGACCGCAGGACAATTGACTCCCAAGCAAGAATCGAGTCAAGTCAGTCCTGCAGTCTATCAAACCCCATCAGCCATGTCCGCAGATCAGTACATGGGATCCCAAGAAGCTGTTGCGTCCCTCCTGGACCTTCGTTCTGGCTTCGATGGCGCCAACTTCATGAGGAATGGTGGACAAATCAAACGAATTGAGGATGTTATGGTTGTCCCCGAAAAAGTGGCAGAACTGTTTAATATGTGAGTCCTAATCTGTCAAGTCCTCGTGATGGATCCTAACTTGTTTCTGCCAGATTCTTCACATACTACCACCCTTTCCTTCCATTCTTGGACCGAAACCAGTCCCCCGAGGATTATTATAGCTCCTCTTCGTTGCTTTTCTGGATAGTCATCAGTGTCGGTGCGCGACGCTATCAAGGCGATTCAAATTTGTTAAACTCCCTCGCTGGTCCCGTCACCCGCCTGGTCTGGAGCACTCTAGCAGATATTCCTCAGAGCTATCATGTTGTGAAGGCCCTCGCTCTACTTTGCTCATGGCCGTTCCCGACAAGCAGCACCTCAACAGATCCGACCTTCATGCTATGTGGAATGATGGTACAGGTTGCTATGCAGCTTGGTCTCCACCGGCCTTCACACACCCAGGACTTTAGCAAATTCCGAGTGGAACTGATTGAAGATGAGTTGAAGGATAAGGTGCGAACTTGGGCGATTTGCAATATTGTTGCTCAAAGGTATGTACAAACCCGCAGTAAATTACTGCTCGCCTTTATCTCATGTTTTACTTTGCAGAGTTTCCACCGGCTATGGACAGCCATCATCCACTCTTTACGATTGGACATTGTCCTCGAGCGATTCGCTAGACCCGAACTTCAAGCTGCCTGAAGATATAAGGCCAAGATTGGAGATCGAGAAGTTTTGTGACAGAGTCACCCGAGCGCTTTACACAAATCGACGTGATCCGGTTGGTTTAACCAGCGACCATGAACGCTCAACGATGATTACCTTTTTGTCGCGAGACTTTGAGGAGTTGGAAGAACAACTTAAACCGCAGAATGACTGTAAGCTTCCAAGCTTCAAGTTGGGATACATAGGATGCATGACTAACGATTCCAGGTATTACTGACTTGTTCCTCCGTGCTGCTAACCTTCATTTGCACCTTTCGGCATTCTTTGATGAGCCAACTACTAAGAATTATCGCGAACGCCTCTTATCTTTGTATGTCGCGACGACGACATTCCTCGAGGTCGTTCTGAACCTCGAGACTGACGTCGGCCCGGTTCTCTCTTACACCCCATACTATGTCTACCAGATGATGGTTGCCGCCGGTTGCACTCTTCTGAAGCTCTGCAAGAGCTTCTTCGCTTCTCACATAGACATGGAATATACCAGGAACCTATTCAACCGTACAATATGGGCCATCCGGGGGTGTCAGCATCCAGCAATGACCTGCCCGAACGGCTTGCTGAAGTTTTGGCTCAGATGTGGAGATTGGGAGGGGCGACTCACCGGTCTAACAATAGTACCGATGTTGATGACTCCCTGCGACTCAAGGTACGCTGCCGAATGAGCATGTCCCTGCTTTTCGATTCTGTATGGCGCTGGCGGGAGGATGCCAGAACGAAGGGCCGAAACATTGAAGGTCAGTACCCCTTTATAATCTCAGGTATACATACATCTCTGACCCTCCATTATAGCCTATTTGAAAAATCCAACAAATCCTGACTCGGCAGCCGACTCTTCGGCCACTTCATCTGTCGGGCCTGCACACACATCTACACTAACCCCTGGAATCTCTGGGAACGATCCAAGCCTTGCCCCTGCACCCCTGCTATCTCAGGCCAGTCTTGGGATTCAACCATCTACAACCCAACCCAGTGGACTCCCAAGTGGCTTCATTGAACCTAATTACGAAGTCTTCGATCCGTTGAACTGGCTGCTTGACGGCTTGGTAGACTTGCCTTATTCATACTCCACAATGGGTGGGATAGAATCCCAGGGCATTGTATAGATTGGCCTGCCTAATAATTACTTGGCGTTCTGGCTTCTTTTTTTTTGCTTTTCCCCCTCAAGGTTGCAGGCGTGGCTTGCATTGTCTTGTATCATTATACCACACATTCTATCGCTGATACTTCCCAGTGAGTTCTATGTTCTTTCTATATCCGTCTATATTTCTTTTGGGTTTCTTTCCAATATGATGCTATATTTGGCCAGAACTCCTTGTCTGAAAAAATCCAGAGTATAGTCTGCAATTATAAAGTCCGGTACATTATGTAGGTATATCACACTGAGTTATTTTTGTGGCTTTTTGTAGGCTCAGATTCGCTCCGTAGAAGCAATCCTAGCCTGACATGGTGATATTATTGCTTTTCTCTCATTTCATCCTTTTCTACTGGACGAAATCTATATAATCTCAATTGCTCGCCCTTCTTGTCCATATTTTCTTTGCCTATTGTTTCTTACATCAAAATGGCTTTCCTTTATAAGCTTGATTGGACCGAGGTGGAAGGTCGAGATTCTGCTATAGCACTGTGCCTCTTCATTCCCTTTATCTTTTGCTCTGTGGTTGCAGCCGCTTTGGTATTTACTTCATATGCCATGGCTAACGTTGGTGACATCCCATCTATCTGGTGATAGTTGACCAAAAAACAGATTCACATGCTAATATCATTTTCTGAACCGACAGAACCACGTTCCTTTTCCTGCATGCAAAGACTGTTTCTCGATATTATACCAACAGTACAAGTTTGTGGTGGATGGACCGGGTATGATAAAGAAGGGCTATGAACAATTCACCAATGGCTTATTTGAGATCCCGCGGACATTCCGCTTCGGGCAGGTCATATTATGCCAGCCAGAGTTGATTGAAGAACTAAGAAATAAACGGAGCACTATTGTCTCTCCCGAGCCATGGATTGATCAGGTAGGGCTTTACAGTGCATTGTCGACGTTTACGCTGACAAAATATTCTACACAGCTCCTTCAGATCTCTCATGTTATGCCTGGCTATTTCCCAAAGGGGATGGGATGGCCAAAGATCGCTAAAACTACGCCTGGTCTGATTCGTGTCACGGCTTATAAACACCTGCATCGGTACATGCCTGCTATGGATCAGGCAATTATCTCGCAGCTGCAGACCCTAAACTTCAAAGACGGAGGTAAGTGTGAGCATTTTTCTAGTAGAGACAGTCTCTAACGTCCTGAAATTAGAATGCCGCATTGGCTGTTTTGACTTGGCATACTCGATCGTAGCCCGCAGTGGTAGCTTTGCTATTGTCGGTTCGCGGCTTTCTCAGAATGAGGAATATCTCAAAGCTGTCAAGGATCACATCCTTGGGATGATAGTGACCACTCGTGCACAATTTCTCATTCCAGATTTCCTAAAACCGTGAGTCAGATGCGTCTCTAATCTTATTTTCCGTTATTTTCCGTGGGCTAAGACCACAAACAGCTATATTGGTAGCCTCATCAGTCGTCTCGCCACTCTTGGGACTAGTTGGGATATGCACGCCTCGCGCAAGATTCTGCTCAAGCACTTCGATGCACGCGCGGCAGAATATCACACCGATATATTTAGTGACAATGGACCTAGTGAGATTAATCTCGATGAATCCGAAGATCCGGTATCCCTGCCTCCTCTTCCACCCCCAATAGCGCCATGGCTGAACAAACTATAGGTTGAAATCTTCCAATGGCTGTATGAGAGCAGCATTCTTCGGAAGCGATGGACATACACAGAGGTGATAGGGGAAATGCTACTTTTGCAATTCGCTTTCATCTATACCACGTCCTATGTAGGTATTCCATACGCATGTCATAGACCTGCAACCTGCTGATTTAACCACCAATAGGGGCTCTACGGCGCCTTGATTGAGCTAGCTCGGCGTCCCGAGTACATCGCGCCCCTGCGTGAGGAGATTAGTTTGGTTTTTTCCGAAATGGGACCAACCGTTCCAGCCTGTGATGGCATGGTTTTGACAGATAGCTTCTTGAAGGAATGCCAGCGGCTGCATCCCCCTTCAGCACGTGCGTCTGTATGCAATCAACAGCGGGAATTGCGCATGGCTAATGCAAGAATTCCTAGTCTCTGCCCATCGGGTCTGCGTCACTGACCTCAAGCTATCTAATGGTTTGTTCTCGCCTATCTCCTACCAGGCTAGGAAAGAGATGTTGAGCTGATCAAGTATGTGATGGAATAGGCATCACCCTCAAGCAGGGTTCCCACGTTGCGGTCCCAAGTGGAATCATCCAACGATCCAGCGAGCACTATGCAAACCCCGACGGATTCGACGGTTTCCGGTTCGCCAAGCGTGCAGCAGCTGGAGCCAAGGACTCCCGGCTAGTCGACCTGAGCCCTGACTATCTGGTATTTGGAATGGGCGCACATGCCTGGTAAGTCTTGTTTCTGGCTGGCCTCTTTTCTTCTCATGCACTGGTTTCAAAGCCAACCGACCCGAGCCTGTCAGCTGATTTTTGCTCGTGTTTGCAGCCCTGGACGATGGATGGCTACTGCACTCATGAAACTCGCCTTCGCGCATATCCTGAATCAGTATGATATACTCCTGCCTAATTCGGCTTCCGCTCCCTTGACCGGCTCCCTTTCATTCGAGGAGTTCTATGTGCCCAACTTCGGGCTGAAAATTGCTCTGCGACAGCGCTAGCAAGGATATCTTGAGGTGATGGACCAGGATGTCTGGGCGCACGCCAAAGCAAACAGGTAGAATTCTGATCATGTTTCGGCCGGGACATATTCATATTTATTTCAATCAATGTAGTGCTAATAGCATCGAAATAAAGTGTACACAAATTGGCTAAACGCTTAAACACCGCTCCGTATCTGATAAGCTGATAAGGTCTTAGCTTCGCTTATCTCCCAACTGTCACAACTTCATCTCTTCATCTTTGTCCATGCCTACTTGAAGTTATCTCAAATCATGGCTTCATCAACCTCCTCGAAAAAATCCCGGCCTCTGCTAATTCCACATAAACGCGCTCTCTTGCCCTTACCAACCAACAAGATAGGTCCGAAGGTATACAAAGTCCTCAATCCTAGCGCCACCCCTGCAGGAATAAGCATCAAAAAGTCATACGAAGAGGCCACCGAAGAAAGAAAAAAGCCCACAAGTTCCAGCAAGCATAATAAAAGCACAGTCGAAAACGAAGAAGACTATGAGCCCCAACCGCCGCGCTTCGAAGTATCATTCTCTATGCCGCCACAACCTTTCCTTGACCCACCAACCTGGGAAGCGATGCTCAAGCACAGCCGCGAGAGACTCTCAGCTCAGTCAGTAGATGATGGATCGGGTTCGGGGGTGGATCATGAAGATGAATCGGCTGAGCGAATGAGACAACAAGTGGAGCGCGAGACGGAGTATGGGTCCATGGCTATTCGGGGCCGGTCGAGTGTACGTGGGCGTGGAAAGAGAGGAAGGGGAAGAGGCAATGTCTACTGGGGTGGTAGACGCTGATATTCATGGGATTGGGATGAGCTAGATCTTTTTTTAGATACCCAATATTTGGTTAATATGACAGGTATGACCATCTCAATAGCCAGTTGCTTTATAAAACACCTAGGCTTCGATATTTCTTTCCCATAATTCTTTGGTTAGAATAATTGGTGCTAAATTGGTGCACATCCGGGTCCGTGTGCTCATATATCAATACATTACTCAATAAACCCAACATCTAGCCAAGAGGTTGTTGCTTTGTAGACCGACATACCCATGTCACACAAGTGACACAAGTGAAAGCAAGGGAGGTTGAGATCTTGGTTCTGTCCTGGGCTGATGAACTAGCTGGGAAGTCGATACGGATACATGCTAGAAGTGAACAAAACAGGTTAATGATACATCTAAGATAAAGAAACTTGACAAAATCAGGCATAAAAACAATAATATCATCATCATGGGTTCATGTTTCATCATCATCATCATAGATCTCATGTTCAAAAGATCATCTCGGGGCATCGCAGCAATTTCAAAGACCAAAAAAAAAGAAGCAAACGCATCATGAAATCGTCGGGTAAGTGTTTGAAACATATCCAATCATAAATATGGGAATAACATGAGAAGGGGAGAGGGACATCGTTTAAGTTATCTCATGGCCACTTCGGCTGTAGCACTAGATGCCACATAGACAGGGCCACCAATGCTCTGCTTGAGGGCTTCCCTCCGGACAGCCCGTTTTCTCTCGTCTCGTCGCTGGCGCACACGGCGCAGGCGATTCCGCACATTACGCCATGACATCGACTGGAGCCGCAGTCCCCAACGAGAAAGAGACCGGAAGCGACCCGGGTTTAATGGGGATCCTGTTCGGAACATGCCCGGATCAACCAAGCTACCATTGCTGGTCATTCCATTGAACAGGCGTCTCATTTCTGGGCTGCGACGTGCCAGAGCAGGTGGGCCATCAAAGATGATGCGCCGCTGTGGCAAGCCTAGAGAGTTGTTTACAATCAAGGATTCATCTGGACGTGGCAAAGATTGCCGCGTCGGTGAGATTTCTTTCTCTGGGGACTCCGGCACGTCCTCCCAGAACCCGCGGGGTCGCCAAAACGGATATAAACGACTGTCCATTTCCATTCCTGCGGTTCGGTTCTTGGCTGACTTCATGGAAAATGACCGCGCTATATTGTTGAAGGAATCCGACCGAGGGCGTGCACTCCAGGTACGACGGACGGAACTCCATCGTCGACCAAGACCTTTGTTGTCATCTTGAGCTTCATGTAATGGAATCGAGGGAAGAGGCCTGGCAGATGGTGGCTTGGGCGGGGTGCGAGGGTTCTTTAAAGGTGAGTCGGCATTGAATGTTGCGATCTGCGGTGCATTGTTGGGTGTACGAGGGGGTTGGGGAAGATCATATGAAATTCCAAACGCATGGAAAGGGTCTCTTGAGGAGGCCTGTACCCGAGGGTCAACAAGCAGCAGTGATCGGTTATTGTGTGCGAACAGACTGACGGCTGTGGCCTCTTGAATTTCGATGGGCCCTGGCGAAGATGATGGAATTGAGCCTTGGGTAAAAGGCAAAGAGGGAGGACGCAGGGTTGCCATATCATCTGAGCCAGCAAAAAGGGTGTGCATATTGGGAGCTTCGAGTAGGCCATGGCGATCAGGCGAAGCCAAAACGTTGTGGCGAGGCGGGGACACTGGCTGGTTCTCACGACTCTTGTGCACCTCGAGGTCCATGGCTAAGTCATGGCTTCGTAGACTGTCGGAAGTGAGAGAAGCTGCACGAGAATTGTTCCGACTCGTTGGCGCAGAAAGCGACGAGCTTCGTGGTGGTATGACGGGACGATCTGTGGGACGACTTCGCAGGCTGTTAGAAGTGAGAGAGGCCGTGCGAGAATTGTTCCGACTCGTCGGCGCAGAAAGTGAAGAGCCCCGGGGTGGAATGACAGGCCGCACCATGGGACGACCCCTGGGATCGGTCTCGCGAGACCGAGTTGACACTGAATCAGACACAATACGTTTCTTCTGCCCTGGAATATCTGTGCGGCCCGTTGATGCTGTCGGAGGACGACGGGTTGATCGCTGAGAGCCAGGTCTAGAAGAAGCATGACTGTTTGGACGGGACTTGAGAGATGAAGTCCTTTCCGGTATGACCACCACGTTGATAGTTTCGATATTGGGCTGTATTACACTGTTGCTAGTCTTGGCCGAGAACGACGTCTCCGGTGTGCTGCTTCGGAAATCCTGGTTGGAAATACGAGCAGCCTTGTGGACTAGGCGGTGCTGGGATTCAGGGATGGAGCCATAAGATGTACGTTCAGATCTTGTTATGGGAGAGCTGACAGACCGCAGAGAGCTTTTCTTCTCAGTATGCCGGAGCATTCGTTGGGCTTGTTTGGGAGTATCGATGATCATAGCCTCGACGGTGGATGTCGAGGAGATGGTTGACAAAGGACGGATGTCTGGTCCACTGAGCCTTGCTAGACCCTCCGATGATGATGACCCAATATTCTCACAGAAGTGTTCGATTGGGGTACTTGCTTCAGCTTCATGCGCACCATTGACGCGGTCCCGTAAGCTTTTTTCTCTCATCAAAGACGCATCCAAGTGCTTTACATCCAACGCTTCTCTACCAGGGACTGGGCTATAGGCCAATTGAGTGTGGTTCTGGGCAGACTTTCGCTTTCCAGCTAACGGTGTTGGCGACCCATCGATCGGTTTTGCGGCCCAATGCCCATCAAAAGACTCGAATCTTGTGTCGCATTCAGTTTCGCCCTCTCGTTGAGAAGCAGGTGGTGGGAATTTTTTTGTATTTGACAAGTCTGAAAGATATTCATTTGAGGCGTGTGGCTTTGATGGCTGCCTTCTTTGTTTTGCCGTCGGGGTCACAGTCTGAGATATGTTGACCGGGGTGACCATATCTTCTCCTGGTGAGATACTCTCCAAGGCCGTTTGGAATGAATCGGCTCGGGACGACGATGAGAAATAACTAAATTGGTTCAAAGCAGGTCGCTTATTCGAGTTCGTTTGAGGCGGCGTGACATCCGGGGTCGGAGGCTTAGAGGGACGGCGAGGGGTCAACATGCCAGATGTCGGTATTTCTGGCAGAGAAGAATTCATTTTCTGGGGCGTTCGTACGTCAACGAGTTCTTCGTGGGCTGCACCCGGCGGTGTCAAGGGAAGCGACGGCGTCGCAGTATGTTTCTCATCTTGATCCGAGGAAACTGGTTGGATGACTTCGATGCTAGGAACAATTACACCCCGCCGAGGAAGCGTCTTGTGAGACCTTAAAAGTGGCCGTTCAAATGATTGGAAATCCTCCGACGGCCCCGTCACTTCCACGCCCGGCATCTCGGAAATAGCACACCCAGCAGGAAGACCTGAAGCATCCACGGTCGCTTTGGTGGATTCGACTGGCGTTTAGATACCTTTGGATATCATAGTACGAGTAGGTTGTCTCGTGCAGAGTGTCGCAAGGGTCGCATCGCGTGCGAGCACTTCGCGACTAAGATGCGACCAATAGTTAAAGTCAACAGATCCTAAAGCCCGAAGGCTTTGCTTTGTCTCTTTTATGATGCAGGGGGAACCGATCGTCCGTGGTATGTTCGAGTCCGCCACAAATGACAAACAACGGTTCAGTGTGGAGTACGGAGCATGGGCATTTGCTTTCACAAACGAAGACTCTTGCTCGACCTCTCTGTGCAATGTGAGCTGTAAGGGTGGAGATGGAGTATATTGCCGAGTGGCTGGGGAGTCCAAACCCAAGCCCTCTTATCGCCTTGTTTCAGCTAATTATGAGGCAATAAGGAATGATCATTCAAATCATACGGAGTATATGGTAGAAGAATTCAAAGAAAAAAACATACATGTTCAAAAAATGCTCGTGTGAAAGGTTTGATAATATGACGAAGCGGTTTTCGTGCCCCAGTTTCCCGCTGATTAGCGCTTGCTTCCTATTCTGGTAATATTGATGCCTTGCAGCCTCATCTCACTGAGACCTCATCACACTAGTGATCACACTGCAGATCCATCACACCAGCTTCTACAATATGGGGGACTTTTCAAATTCTGATCCCACCATTAATGGGAATTGGTCTCTTATCAAGACTAATTTCGGCGGTATAGATTCATCCTTGGGTGCGAAACAGTGATTAGTTGCTACATCCTGCAATGAGGTACCTATACGCTCGGCCTCATCTACTTCGTACAAATCAGGTCTATCTGAAGACTCGAAATTGAATGTGTCAAAATATTCCTAGATATACTCCATATATTTATTTGAAATCTTATGGCTCTACCGCAGCCCTTACTTGGCATGTTTGGTCCTTGATGCAGGTCTAAAACACATACATTCCTTACGATGCACATCCTTATTTCCAGCTCTCACAAAGGAAGGACTAAAGATCTCGAGTAGCCCAGCACCAAAGTATATATGTGAATATGTGATTATTAATAAAAGCACCGCAGTGAAATTTTGTAAACACATTTCTGGCTCCTATTCCAACTTTCACAAAGAACCGATCCTGTGTAAGTAACTGATCTTTTCCTGGATATATAAAGGCCTATATATTCTTGCTCGGAGGCTGTCATTATGGGAAGATCATTGAATATCGAAATGACATTTGTAACGGGAGTGAGTCTGCGAATGAGAAATGTATACGGAGTAATGTATGTCATATGTACTCCGTAGGTGTTCCCCAATAAGATCCAGTGTGCTTCCACAATTAGGTAGTAGGGAAGAGAGATTGTGAATGATAAGCCGGCAATCTTATATGAATCTGCTCATAGTGATTATCAGGTTAGATTCTATCAGTTGGACTGATGTTCGCAAGAGAGAAGGTTCAATCCTGCAGTGCTACCTTTATAGGTAGATATCTACCTCGGTAGGTATGCTGTGTGGAGTTGAATTTCAGGGCTGTTACTAAGCACGGCGTCACTGGAGCCCGGCCCTCCAGAGCTACATGTATGTACATTGTATGCACTTGTTTGGCTCCATTTGAGAGTTTCTCCTACTCCGTAGATGACTTGATCTACATGACCATGTGGAGTCGGTCATTTATGATATATCAAAATAATCCTGATACTTCTATGTTGTACATGAATAGGGCGCCATCTCATACTTGTGTGCGCACTCCTGGCTCGATATGTTTGCGCTTATGAGTAGCATTCCAGGGCAGGCTTGATATGCCCATCTGCATCTCGGAATGCTTCGTACGAGCAAGAGACTCAAAGCTTGTTGGATTTTCCGATAACGGTAACATGTGCATCATAGGATAAAAGCAACAAAATCAAGTGAATTCTTGAATCGGTAAATCCGGAATTCCAAGTACAATCTCAAGCGTGTGGCAACGGATGATGACGATATCAACCCCCCACTAAAGCCAGGGCTTGTAGACATTTGGAATCAGGTCAGGCAAACCAGGATTATGTATGAGAGCCTTGATAAGGTGATATTGTCAAGGAATCCCACCAAAAAAAAAAAGAGAGAAAGAATGGGCCAGGTTAGAAGTCTTGAGTATGGCTTCAGGGCTCTCGCTCTCGGTTCTCTGGTCTCTGGTCTCTGGTGTCTGGGGTAATGGGGATGACCCCAAAAAGAAATAAAGAACCTATATAGCTGTCCGTACACCGTAAGGAAATTCTCATATAGATTGAGCGCAATTACCATGGTGGATCAGTGGCGTACCATGACGTCCCGAGAGGGTGAACCAGGATGGAGGCCTTGGCAGATGACATCGCAAGGGAAAGATCTCTCATTTCGTCATAGCTCTCCCCCGCCATCATCTCCTTTCTCCCCTATTTTTCTTCTATCTGGAGCGTCGCTTTTGATTTCTCTGTGATTTGCACCGTTTAGTGGGGTAAATCCATTCTTCAACTCTGAAACCAGTCCTTGAAAATCCCTTCATCCTTTTTCTCTATTCTCCGAAAACCCAGATCTGTCTTCTTATGAATCACGATTCTTCTTCATCATGAGTACGATACAGAATATCAAGAATTTCATTCGACATGGCAAGCAGGCCCGCCTTGTTACTCATTCTGAGCCCACCACCGACGTTTCCGCCATCCATGCAGAGCCACAACGCCAACCGATAGGCCAATATTCACCGGCTCTCGAGGCTTTTGGCCCTGAAGGTCGAGCCAATGCCATTCACAAACCCGACTCTCAGGTCAGACAGGATCGCTCTGTCGAAATCGAACGTCTAGTCGCAGAGGAGAACTTGAACCGATCGAAGATGCCCAAATATCCCGGTCTAGAGCGCTGGATCTTGGTGGAGAAGATGGGCGACGGCGCCTTTAGTAACGTCTATCGTGCCAAGGATTCGACAACGGAATATGGCGAGGTGGCCATCAAAGTCGTCCGCAAATTTGAAATGAATAGCAATCAGGTAGGTTCTACCGCAAGGTGTCTTTCTTCTCCTTCGCGCCATGTTTTTTTTCTTTTGCAATATGTCCATAAACATGGCCAATACGTTCTGTAGAACGATCCTCACTATCCGACGGTCAAAAAAGTCCCAAAGGCATTGGAGGTGCGCAAACAATTCATTCCTGACGATCGACATCCTTGCAATGGTGACTTGCGTGTGCCGGCGAGACGATACACTACCCGATGCTACTGACTGTGCATGGCTGCGTATCTTGTTTTGTCGTTGCTAACTCTTGTATCTTTAACAGCGCGCAAATATTCTCAAAGAGGTGCAGATTATGCGCAATCTTGACCACCCCAACATCGTCAAATTGATCGACTTCTCCGAGTCACGGCAATATTATTATATCGTCCTCGAACTCTGCCCCGGAGGTGAATTATTCCATCAGATCGTCCGATTGACTTATTTCAGCGAAGATCTTAGCCGTCACGTCATTCGCCAGGTTGCGGAAGCAATTGAATATCTGCACGAGACATCAGGTGTCGTTCATCGGTTTGTCATCCCGTGGAAAGTTGCTCTTGCGCAATCTAACGGTCTTATAGTGATATCAAACCGGAGAATCTCCTGTTCTATCCGACTCCTTACGTTCCCAGCAAGAATCCCAAACCTCAACAACCAGGGGACGAAGACAAGGAAGATGAGGGAGAGTTCATCCCTGGTGTTGGTGCTGGTGGTATTGGCAAGATCAAGCTTGCAGACTTCGGTCTGTCCAAGGTGATTTGGGATAGCCAGACGATGACGCCTTGCGGTACTGTCGGATACACAGCCCCAGAAATCGTCAAGGATGAGCGTTACTCCAAAAGTGTGGACATGTGGGCCATGGGTTGTGTGCTTTACACACTTCTCTGTGGGTTCCCTCCGTTCTATGACGAGAGCATCCAAGTCCTTACCGAGAAGGTGGCGCGTGGCCAATACACCTTTTTGTCACCCTGGTGGGATGATATCTCCAAGTCGGCCCAGGATCTGATCTCGCATCTCCTCACCGTGGACCCTGAAAAGCGATACACCATTAAGGAGTTCCTCGCACACCCCTGGATAAAGGGTACGGATGAGGAGACTACCGCCGCCGCCGACGCACCCCCTCTAGCAACACCTTACCTCCAAACCACCGAGAAAGGCCCACAACAACTCGACTCTTCCAACGCCGAACATGGACCCTACCAGCCCGCCAGTGCTCGCTTCCTCGACCAACCATCTGTCACAGCAGATCGCCGCATGGACTTCCGGTCTCCAGGCGCTTTCAACCTTCGTGAAGTGTTCGATGTTGGTTATGCAGTACACAGACAAGAAGAGGAAGGGAAACGCCGCGCGAACGCACGCCAAAGCAACCGCAGTGGCACGGCAGGATTCCAGTCGGCACTCGGTGCACTCAACGAAGATTATGACGATGAGCCCGAATACAGCCACCGTCTTGGAGGCCAACCACCAGCTAAAGTGGCCAAGAACCAAGGGGACATGGCTGGAATGGAAGCCAAGCTACGATCTACGAACCTTGGCGCCCAAAGCAGCGCTGCACAGGCACGACAACCGCCTAATCAGGCCAAGCCTAAACAAGGATACGGGATGCATGATGCCAATGTCGCTAACGCTGCAAAGACTTCTATTCGGAAGCATCAACAGCCGTTTGAACTCACTCTGAACGGCTCCACATTGCTTGAGAAGCGTGGCCGTCGTAATCAACCGGTGGCATAGACAGGATGTATCTCTTCCATCAGGGTCATGATGTGATCATAACTTCTTTGCACTTTGTTGATGAGCGATAATTTCACGGATATCTTTCTGTCTGCGTTTTGCTTTTATGGCCATTTTCACTTTGTTTTTTCCCCCTCGTTTTTCAAGCTTTTCGCGCGTTATCGGATCGGTCCCGGCGAGGAACCTGGAAGCTACATAGTCACGATTGGAAAATGGGTGAAGTGGGTTTTCTTTTTCGCTTTCTTTTGAGTAATCGGGAGCTTGCTCGGACTGGAATGGAGTTTTACTGGTTCACTTTCGCTGTTTCTTTTTGCTGTGATTATCTTAAGGATTATGTCCCTTCATATTTGCTATGGATTCAATGAGCATATTGTTCAATATTCCAAGGTTGGAACCTTGGATCTTAAATATTTCATTTAATCTTTCTTTTGATGTAGCGAACTCATTCCTATCGCTGGTGTAATGTAGTAAGCTTTCTATAGGTGAGGCCCATGAGATTATCTTCACCCAGACATAAGAGTAGTGGAAACTTCAAAGTTTTTATTAGGCCAAGCAGATCATCTGACATCGAAATCTGACTCAGAAACAAGAAAAGAAAAAAGCAAACTTGGTATCTTGATGGTATCTTTTATGTTCAAGTTCCAATGCCACCTGGCAGTGGTCCTTGGATTATCATGATATACACGACAACACTCTATCCGGTCCATATACTTCCCAGTGCTTCGAGCACGAGTCAACTCATTGGTCGAATCGTTCAGACCGCAGTAGCATGGGAATGGATCCGTGACATATGGATGTGTTGCCTTTTTTTTGGACGTGTTCTCGTCTTGCACTTTCCAGCACAAGCAGAAGACTGTAAAAATCGACAGTATGCAAGACTGTTTTGACACACTGAAACAAGAGATTCAACTCGTAGCCTCTTAAAGAGTCTGCTTGCCACGAGTCTCGATGGGTAGAAGACACATGGCAACAAAAGAAGCCAGGATCAATGCGCCAGATGCATAGATGGGTGCGTTGGGGTCCGCAGTACCAGCATAGATGGCGACAAGGGGAGCGCAGAGACCAGTGATACGGTTCAAGCAGCTGGAGATACCAGTGCCAGTACCGCGGTTCGGGGCAGGGAAGGTCTCGGGGGTATAGGCGAAGAGGACACCGTACATGATGTTCTGGAAGAAGGCCTCGAGACAACTGCACAAGAGCTGGATATCGGACTTTGTGGACTGGGTGAAGCAGAACAGCAATACGCCGGTGATCAAGGTGGAGATGGCCATTGTGCCCTTGCGACCAAGGTACTTGAGCTCAACTGTCCAGCAAGCCAGGAACGAGCCAGGCAGACCAATGATGGAGGTGATGGCGTAATTGCGGTAGGTAATGTAGTTCGAGTTTGTCTCGCCGCCGGTTTGGGAAAGGTATTGCGGCAAGAAAGCGTTGAAGAGAGGATAGCCCATGCCAATGGTGGCCCAGCAGAACCAGAGCAGAACGGTATTCCAGCCCATGCGCTTGTTGGCGAAAAGGGGCGCAATGCGCTCCATTGAGAATTTGGAAAAGAAACGGCCCAGGATTTGAGAGTAAGTGAGCCCTGTCTGCTTTTCATGCACCTCGGCATGACCACCAATCTCGTTGAGAATCTCGGTGGTCAACCAGGTCTTGGTGCCGTTCTTGTGGGCAATTCCATGGATAGAGGCAACGGCTTCTTCCTCGCGGCCACGGGAGAGCAGGTACTTAGGCGACTCGTACAAGTGGAAGAAGAAGAATCGTAGGACAAACATGACAAAAGTGATGGCACCCAGAGTGAGGACCAGGTAACGCCAGCCCATGTTGTTCTCCCTGGTACAACCTTCATAGCCAGTGCAGCTGAATTTGGGGATAAAAGCCCACGCAAGAAGACTGCCGATCAGCTGGCCAACGGGCCACCAAACACTCAACATGGTCAACAAGTTGCCCGAGACAAAGGGTAGGAACTCCAGGAAAAGGGCACCATCGACAGGCAGGTTACCGCCCACACCAAGGCCCAAGCAAGAGAACAGAGCACATGTTCTGCATTCATAGTTAGCGAAAGAAACAAAATGCGTTGTTCCGAAATAGACTTACCCAATCCAATTGGGGCCACCACCAGCCGCTAGACCAAAGGTACCAGCCAGGAACAGGGTGGCGTTGAAAGCAAGACGACGACCAACAATATCAGAGGCAACGCCCCAGAATGAGGCACCAATGCAGAGACCCAAGAATAGAGCACAAGTGGTAAAGCGCACTTCCGTACTGGAGAGTCCAAATTCGTAGGAGATAGGCGTGAGTGTCAGAGCAACTCCCTACACAGAGTTAGGATTTGATCTTTGTGGTCTGTTTGGTTTTGATCCTACCTGGAGCCAAAGGTTGTCTGCTGTCCAACCAAAACCACAAAGGAAGAACAGTTCCCATTGATACCGGCCCATGCCAATATCCTGCAGGGCTCTGTTGATCACCTTTGCCTTGCCTGCGTCGAGTCAGATCAAAAACACTCAAGTGCATGGGGCTTCCACACGGGGCTAGTGCAAGAATCCAGGAAGAACATACGGTCATAGACAGAGTCATGAGTGGCCGTGGAAATATCAGCCTCGACTTCAGCACGAAGGGCTTCGAGGGTCAGGTGAGTTGAATCCTTGGAGCCAGCAGCACCGTTCTCCGAGGAAGATGAGCCGTCCAAGCTCTGGCTAGATCCCTTGTCTGCCTTTTCCGAGAGGGCGTGGGCAGGTGCATCGGCGAGTGGGATGACAACGCTGGGGAAGCTTTGATTGTCCTTTTTGAAAGGGTTAAATTTTTGGATACCCATGATGATGGTTAGATATGGCGCTTTGGAATATAAATTGTCAACTGCCTGGGATTTGCTGTCTGTCGAATATGTCGCTTTTCGCACGTTCTATTCCGTTCAAGTGTCGCTGGGAATTCTGTGAGAGGTCGAAAGTGGATCTACAGATGTGGGGAGAAGCTGCAATGGGGTCATATATCGTGGATCCGGGGGCAATTCGCTGTGGGCCGAAAGTACTGCAAGGACAATGGTCGATATATACTGCTGTCAATTTCGGATGGGCTTGTCGCTTTGGATGCCAGAGAAGTCGCAATCGCTGTCGATGTGATTGTTGCTGCCAGGGTGTTGCAAGGTTGCTACTGAAGAACTGATGTGAAGTACCTCGTGCTTGACCTCTGTTGAAATAGATTTCTGTTCCACGGGGTGATGAATAATAGAAATGATTCCAAAGTGTAGACCGGAAGTTGTGCAAGGATATGAGATAGAAAGACTAAGAGACGAAGCCCTAGCAAGATATAAGGAAAGCTTGGGGTAGCTATACCTCAAATTCGAGGGAAGGGGAGTTTGGGAATTGACACAAGAGGAAAGAGAAAAGAGGAAGTGTGGGATTCAAGAGTTGCTATATATGTTACCTTGTGAGGACTATCCTAATAGACAGTATGCTTCTGGTTTTTTTTTCATTCTTTTTTTTTTCACCAAGGGTCTAGGACCAGATGCGATAATTGGTCAAGGCCTAGAAGCGGGACTGGAGTTTCTGCCCTGTAATTCAAATACTAGAAAAGTGACTTCGGCCCCGGAATTGGGGTATTCGGGGTGCTTTATGGACGATATTTCTTGTATATCTCAACGTATTCCTCGGTGAGTACAATATTAGAAATGTGCGATAGTAAAGGAGCTGAGATGTTTTCGGCTTCATACGCCCTATGCCTACCTCTCCTAGACTAGTAGGGAACTTTCTAACCCTAATACTTCAATGCTGACGATCAAATAATATCTACCTAGTTTCTTATAGGCTCCAAAGCTGTCAAAATTCTCATGCATTATTGTATTGCATTACTTTTATAGAGTCAACGCTACTTGGCAGTATTGGCAGCATCCACGTCTGCGGAAACATAACAGGTTCCACTATACGGAGTGTACATCGTACCATGTATTATATTAATAAAAGTGTTGAGAGTAATTTAAATCATTTGCAGCACAGGTAATAGCTTAAAAGAAATCGCTAGAGGTCAGTGGCTGAACGAATTCTCGATCTAGGGTGGTGAACGCCACCAAGGCAAATCCATTCAGCCTCAAGGGTCCCTATATTCTTCGCTATTTAGCCCTCCGTATGTAGAACTCACACGGTTTCATATGTCCATAGATCAGTATCTGTTATAGAAAGAACATATGTATTATATCTATTATATATATCGGAAATAGTTCCGTATAATGACCAAATTTGACTTTGGGGAGCCGCGGCCCTATTGGCTTCGATGATCCACCAGGAAAATTTTTGCACTTTACCCTCTCAGCTACGCTTGTTTGGGGCAAAATACAGAGATCAAGAAACTGTTTTGAACGTCACTCTATTTTGCCCTTCTCTATTTCCCAGATTCCAGAATTTGTCTTTCTTATATATATAACCCTACATAGATATATATCACAGCCATCCTCTATAGCATCACAAGCTAACTTACAATGAAGAAAAGAATAGAGGGTTGAACTAACGTCTGAAAGCAATCCTGGCGGAGACGCCGCATTCAGGACAGGGGAATTCGCCCTGAGTGGCCAATCATAACTAATGTGATATTCGGTTCTCGGATAAATTACGGCCACTTGCCGTTTCTGGTCCACTTCACTTGGCTGTTATCAAGACTCTACACAGTGGAGAGTCTCGGCTATGTTGCAAAACGTAACTCGGCTATTTGTTTCTTTGGAAAGTCAATATTGATCAGGAAACGGGAAAGTCTGTGATGAACTCTACCGAATCTTGTTTTATGTTTCGGTAGCTCTCGGCATACTGTCTTGCTACGTATGTGATTGTAACAATTTTTACCTCCGTAGAAGATGCATTGCTCGCGACGTACTCGTAAGAGAATGGAGTCCAGAGTACGTATGTTGTATATTATAATTTGCGAGCTTTCACCGGCAGTGTCGTTAGACTTGACTAAAACCATACCAAATATCGAGCTCCACTCTACCTCTGAAGCACACTACTTATTAGCGGCTTACGATGTCTACACTAGCCGGAGGGTTGTGCGCGATTTCTCCGGTAGGGCGTTGCTGCAATTGTTCTGCAGCATTGTCTAATTGCGTCATACCATGTGCAAGACTAAAATATACATAAGACATGAGAAGACATAAGACATAAGAAGACATAAGATAACATAAGACATAAGACATAATCGGGCAAGATATTAGACAATCATATCAAAGCTACAAAACTCTCACCTCAAGCAACATTTCAAACACCATGATTTCGCTTGGCAAAAATAGGAAGATATACCTCAATCCGCCATCAACAAGCTCCATCCACTGAACCGGTATACTATTGCCAAATAGGCATATGTTAATCATAACGACAGCCCGTTCCCGGTGGCTGCGGTATCATAAATAAGAAAATAGGAAATGATAGAAAATTTTCTACCGTGATCTCGAAAGCTCTACGCTATACCCCACAAGAACTCAAAATACATGGAGACATACACGTAGATAGTTAGCCCATCACCAAACTCCGGGGTAATGCACAGGCGACTTGTCCTATAAAATACACAAACGTATTCATTATATTTTCTATACATATCGTCTTGCTATAAATTCTGTATATATGAGGCACCTTCTTTACAAACCAGAAACTAGAGTTTCTCGGTGCGTCTGAGCAGCCATTGGAGGTGACGATAAGCCACGCGAGGCTGGTACTGCGGTTGCATATGACCAGCCTGGTAAGTCTCAGCCCACATCAGGCCACGCTCATAATGTTGAACACCCATGATACCCTGAGGCCCATCGAGGTCAGAGGCACCATTTTCCGCAAAGACATCGGCGTACAAGAGATCCCGCATTTTGATATCGATGGGAGTGCTTGGCTTCTCCTGGAAGCCGAGATGGCCGTTCCAGGTCATATTCTGGATGGCTAGGAGCGTGCCGTTGGTGATGACAACCATATCAAAGTCACCGTTGGAAATGAGAACGCGGTTAGTAGCCTCAATCACCTGCGGCAGGACATGCTCGATTGGGTTCGCCGAAATATCGCCTTCTTGCTCCGGGCCGGCGCTGCCACCCACAAACACGGGCTCTAGAGAACATCCGTGCCAAGCCTGCTTGGGTGCGTGTAGCGCTTTCTTAACATCGGGGCGATCGAAGTAGACGGTTGCTCCAGCTGGTTGGTAGTCGAGCGACGTGGGGAAGGCCAGAACGTCCCAGAGGAGCGGGCACATCAGATTGATCTCGTAGAGGTCGAAGCATGGGTTGATGTGGAATACTTCGTCGTAAACTAGATCAAACAAATCACAGTCGGCGTTTGAGGTGTAGTTGAATAACATGGGCGGCTGGGCTTCGGGTGGCGGGAAAGTGAGGTACTCGTCAATAAACTCCTCGTATCCGCAGGACTTGTGCTTCTTGTCGAGCTCCGCCATGAATGATTCGTTGAAGTTGAACAGATTCGCGTTTTTCTGGACAAAGGGAACAACGGGAATTTCTTGCTGCACATAGTCAAACTGTCCAATGCATGGGTCGTATGCCAGCGCACCTTGATAGATAGTCAGATTTTGCATTTCGATCTTTTGAATATTCACGAGGGCTCACCATCTAGATCGAAATATTCTTTGTCTTTTTCATCGAGCATCGCAGCTGAGATGTAGGGCACGTAACGTCCAGCATAACTCTCACCAGTGACATAGATCTTGAAGTTCTTGATTCCAAAAATCTTTTGGAAGTTCTTGAAGAACTTGACAAAGTCTTGTGCTGTCTCCTCTTGTGAAACAGCAGTTGGGGTGCCGATAGAGTAGCCTGTTCCGACAGGCTGGTCGACCCTGCGGGATGTTAGCAAGCTTTTGGGTCTCTATGCATGATCAGTACTCACCACAGCACATTGGTCAGGTTAACCCAAGCATAAGGGTTCTCCACTGGGGCAAAAGTACCAGGTTGCCATATGAATTGACCAGTCTCTTGCAAGAAACTCTCCATCGAACTGCAGCCAGGGCCTCCGTTAAGCCAGATAGTTACTTCATCTACAGGCTCGTTGATGGTAGGCTGGAAGATGAAAAAGAGCGCTCTGGAGCTATTATCCATATCGATTGGTACCAGACCAGAATACATCTCGCCGATGTCAAATGGAACATCCGGCAGGGAGTCCACGAGGTAATCTATAAGTCTGTTAGGATTTGCACCCAAGAATAACATAACTCGACACTCACGTTTAGTCTTCTTGTTCAGGAAACGGTAATCCTTGGGTGATTTCTCATGCTTGTGGTTATTACGAGCCTCAACTGCCCGTTTGGCCTTCTCCTGTGGTGCACGTGCTATCTCTGCAAAGCGTCCGTGTTTGGAAGCAGTCACCAGATCCGACCCCAGTGAAAGGGCTAGGAGAGCAGATGTCAGGACGGATTTGAGTAACATCCTGGATCGGTATCAATGGGTCGAGAGAGGTGGGATTTTTTTTTTGTTGACCCTAGGGAGAGGACCCAGCTATATACTACACGCCCCGGAAAGGCCGGTCAATAACCCCCTAAATGTGTGATCGGTAAGTCCATTTAAATTAAATCGAAATTCAGATTAAGTTATTCCAAGTGGATGATTGGAAGGAATCCTTAGCTTCGCGCCGGATGGTGCTTCTTCTACGCCACAACCCCTTGTTCGATAGCAATTGTCCACTGATACCGGCCTCGCCGTCATCCCAGGCGGGGCCAGCCCCAGAAAGGAAAGCTCAGCTTCAGAGCTGTAGATCTTGCCGCTACTTCATTTTGTCGATAGTCAACTCTGTGCATCCCGATGGTCTTTTTCCGTGATGTTGTGTACTTAGAGGATAATTGGATGGCATACATGATTGCAAAGATTCGCTTTGTACTCCGTACGCATGTATCACTGTGACGGACGAGCGACGGATTCCGGTGAGATCGACGGTTATCTGTCGCCTTTTGGGATAACAAGCTCCGTTATGAAAAGCGGGGGCAGCTCGCAATTGGTCTGTCGTGTTTCTTATCCCGGCTAAGCATCGTGGCCTCCATATTATTAGGCGGCAGCCCCGCTTGATGGGAAGGTAAGGATAACCGGCCTATGGCGGTTGTAACGGTCTGATAGGTGAGATATCCTCTTAATAACTCATTTTATGTCACAGTTCCTATTGCTCGGTCCTCCGGTGAAAACCTCACGTGCAATCATGCCCCTGACTATCTCCTTCCGTAGCTAGATTCAGCATGTGGAATATTGCTATCCGAATAATCACGGTTCAACATACATATATAACGGGTTTGAGGTCGCATAAGTTGGCTTTCCACTTCTGCTTCGGTGCTCACCCTTTGTCGCCTTTCGCTCACCAAGACTGGGCACTCCCGTGTGTTACATAATCATTGAACTCGTTCACTGAGGAATCTGATCACTGCAGTCCTTGACCTCGTTTGTGATGCTATTCGGAACAGGCGGTGGACCTGGTATTCACCCTCAATTGAGAACCGCCAAGACGTCAAGGAGGGTCCAAATTTTGACCTTGGACCCTCTCAGATGCTATTCTTGGGAATGAACAGGCCCAAATAGGTAGGCTTTCGCTTATGACTGGTGTTGTATACACTCTTAAATCCCCCGGCCAGTTCTAACGGGTGATGGTGCTTTGAACTGGCTCCTCTGTCGAACCCCGCTACTGAACCGCGATCACCTGGTGCGCAGTGAGTCAGGAGTCAGGGCGTACTCTCCCCTCTACCGCCCTCGACAGCTATCAAGGATGTTTGGGTGCGGACCGGCTATCCACGCTGAGAGTCATGACGCATAGCGAACAACAAGGGCAAATAATTGTTGAAAAGAACGAAGAAAACATCGAAATACTAGAAATCGAGTCCACTTGTGCATAGATCGCATTGCTATACTAGCTCTCTTGAGCGCTATCATGATAGCATTTATCAACGCGTGAACAATGATCACTTCACTCCAGTCCGACTATCTTAAGGGAATCCTTCCACAGACGATTCTCCTCCTCAGGGTTATATGTTTGCTTCACCCATCCGACGCCGAAGGTTTGGCCATCGTCCTCACCACGGTCCGCTTTCTTGCAGTCCTCGAGATACTTACCACCCTTTGCCTCCCACTCCTTGCCCACGGCCGCCCACACCGTGGTAGCCGCTCCCTGCTGGGGAGACTTCAAAATCTTTAGGATGTAGGGGTTGGTCATAATAGCCTCTAGAAACTCCGGAGGCATATTGCGGGATATATTAGTGTTGATCGCGCCGGGGTGGAGACTGGTGGCATGTAGTCCCTGGGAACCATATAACCGATCAATGGTGTTGGCCGAATATACCGCAGCAAGCTTAGCGTTGTTATATGCGGTTTCTTGGTTATATTCACTCTGTTCGAAGTTGTAGTTGTCGCTACTTGGGAGAGTGCCAGCTCGGTGGGCAGATGAAGCCACGACCACGACTCGCGAATTGAGCTCGGGAGTCACACTAGCTAGCAAAGCTTCCTTCAGAAGCTGAAAGAGGAGGAAAAATCCCATATAGTTGCCAGAGAGTTGCGCCTCAATATTATCTTCAGTGAGCGTGCGATTCCGGATGCCCATAACACCCGCGCCGTTGATAAGAATGTTGACCTGGCCCTTGGATGCAGCGAGGATTTCTTTGGCTCCAACACGAATACTCGCAAATGAGTCCAGATCCAAGTCGATAAGCGAGACTCGGCCGGGTTCTAGGATCTCCGCGAGGTTCTTCTCAGCCTTAGACCGGTTGCGGGCCGTGAGGAACAGTGTGGACCCGGTGGTCTTTAAGGCACGAGCTGTCTCGAGACCAATACCTGATGTGGCTCCAAGGATGACAATGACCTTGTCGGCCAGCTTTCCTTCGGCGCCCTCATCTTTGATAATTTGAAGGGCGGTTGGTCGTGCATCTCCGGCGCCTTGGGGGTCGAGATGCGCGGCAGCGTAGGGGCTTGGCGAGCCCATGTTGAGAAGCAAAGAAGACTTTCAGATAAGTATCAAGCTATGATGACTTGGATGAAGCGACGACTGTGGCTATTTATGTGAGTCCATTCTTTGTATAGTTCGGCCTCCAATTTTTCCGTCCATGGCCCCGGGCTGGTCCATGTGCGCAGTCTGCGGCCGTTGATGCGGCCGCAAATGCGGTCGCAAATGATCCGGTCATCTCCGCCCTATGTTCCCCGGTCATACACATCCCGCATTTTGCGGTCATCTTTCCCCTTAGTCTCCCCTTTCTGCGGCCGTCAACTCCCGCAGAGACCGTACTCTGCCCACCGTTCACCTTCAACATGCAGACCTCTAGTCATGAATCCAGCCTCGACGTAGCCCCCCCCAGTCCTGCCAGTCCTGCAGGTCTCGCAAGAGGAAATGCGACAAGGCACTCCCCAGATGCTCACTCTGTGCTAAGTAAGCACGAATGATTACCGTAGTGGCAGAGCTAACGCGGGCCAACGCAGACGTAATCGAAATTGCGAGTATTGGAGAGTAGATGCGCCTAGTCACTCAGCCACCACTTCAAGCCTGGAGCGAGGATGGGACCCCTCTCTTCTTGAAGAGCAAACAGATGTTCGGACTATTGACTTTCCAACTGTCTTGTTTCTCGATCCGGCTCTGCTACAGCACAGCTTAGTAGAGACCTCACCTGCGACAGGGACTGTCCCGCAATGTATTCTACAACTACTAGGCGATTTGGATGAAATCCAACTCACGGCAACGCGGTTTTTCGAGCATGTTCATCAATGGATGCCCTTCATCTCGAAAAAGCGCTTCTATGATTTATACCTACAGCCCTCATTTCGCTCGCGACCCGATGTTGCTCTTCTTTTATTGGCACAGAAGCTCATCACTACCTTCCCGCCGGCTGGTTCGCGTAGTCCCCGGACAGCCTTGTATAACTCAACTAAACATTTTTATTTAAACGTGGAGGGGTGTTTCTCTACTTTAGTACTGCAAGCTGGAGTTCTTGTTGCTCTTTATGAGCTAGGACACGGGATCTACCCTGGTGCATTTTTGTCAATCGGGACCTGTGCGAGATATGCCTATGCCTTGGGTATAAATGTCAGTCGCACTGTGCCGAGTCGGAGGGTGCTCACTTTGGTGGAGGTTGAGGAGCGACGGAGAGTCTGGTGGGCTATTGTCATTCTAGACCGGTTCGTCGCTGTCCACCGTGGATCTTTTATTTCAAATACTAACAACCCAAAAGCTTTGTGAGCATCGGCTGCCCGGGACGGCCCTTTGCGACTGCAGATCCAAAATTGGATGACTTTTTACCGGCAGATGATGCTGCCTGGGACCAGGGGGTATGTTAATTGGTAATATTTAATGATCTTTGGCTTTTAGGTGCTGATCTTAAGATTAGACCCTCAAACCCGATATGTTCTCGACTCTCTCGTCTCCAATGACGGGACATATGAGTAAATTTGCTCTGCTGTGTCAAGCCGCCAGGTTATTGGGCCAAGTTCTACATCACCTCTCAACCGACTTCACCGGGGAAGATGATGTTGGGATACAGCTCGATCGTACCCTGCAGTCAATGTTAGCCGCGGCATTGAATATTGATTGCCCGGACTATGATCAGATCACTTTCGTGTATAGGTAAGTACTAAAAGAGTCGCCCTTATCTGGTGCAGACTTTCACACCAAACTTAGTGCCCTGGTTGCCCTACACACACCCTGGTTGTTATCCGATACAGTCCAAGAAACCGAAACCCATCATTCACGGCGAGCGAGGTTCATCCTCCAGCAAATCACGGAGCGTATTAGCGCAAATCTAATCGAGCGAAAATGCTTCTTGGGTCGGGATCCAGAAGACATGTCTCCGTGGGGTCTGTATTTTGCCTATCGTATCTGTGGCGCCCATATGCGGATCGGCAGTAAATCAGCGCATGGCCTTGAAGTGGTGAGGAGCTTACGCGAGAGGTTCATGAGTATTGATGTAAGGTGGAATGTTGCGGGTGTTTATCTGCAGCTATTGGAGGCCCAGGAGGCTATCAATATGAAGGCGTGAGCTTGTGATCTATATATTCCATTCAATTTTGAACAGTTCAAACTATCTATCGCAATCTTTACTCAGGCCATCGACTGAGCGGAATAGACGACTCCCGGTGGCAAGTAAACTCGACATAGGCGCCCATTTCTGCTTCCATCCCACCGGTCACTTCTCACTCCCGTCTTTGTGTAACTGGCTTCCTTTTGGAGAAGATTAGCATCTAAATACTTTCTACGTATATTTCAGCGCGGGTGGTCACTAGGTGTCACCCTGTACTGGGAGATAAGATACTGAGCGCCCATATAAAACGGCAACATGGTCTGAAAGTTTGCATCCGCGGCCTGAAGGCTGAAACTTGGTACATACACGTATACATACCTAAGGTCCGATAATCATAAAGGCACTTATTGTGCGGAGTACCTGAGCATGGCTTCTCGCGGCTCTACGGTATAGATCCTGGGCATACCAAGCTTTTCAGCGTGCTTCGTGGTCGCTAGCCTGAAGATAATTGGTTGATCAGGGAAACTTACTTTCTCTAGACGGGCTTTATTTCCGCCGACGAGGGTGGAGTATGAGATTTACTGATTATGCTGCACTTGGTCTCAAGGGGGAAGAGGCCTGATGTATTTGAAATTGATGTAATTTACAGCTTAGTAAAAAAAAGCTAATAGGAACCAAAAAGAAACAAAAAAGAAATGGACTTGCAGGGAATCGAACCCTGGACCACTCCCATGCTAAGGGAGTATTATACCACTAAACCACAAGCCCAATTTGATGGAAGTGGCATCCGTTTAATAATAAATGAACTTAGACAGAATTTCTGTATGTACATTGACTTGCACAATCCCAATGTAGAACTTTCAAGTTTTCATTTTAATCATTGGATATATTCACTCTTTCTAACTTCCTAAATTCCAGGACCTGAGACGTTACACAGATGTACGTCAATTCAATAGGCGATACTGCTTTTAAAAAAAAACACGATTGTTATTGTATCATATATATATATATATTTCTACCCGCATCTGATTTCGTCCGATTTCATATATAGTTTGATGGGTTTGATATCCTCCGTAAATGCATTCCACACACCTCGTCTCTGGAAAGGTTAGTATTGAGTAACTAAATATAAGCTGATTCATGTCTACATACGAATGGTTCATGCGATGCCCGGATGTGATACAATACGTGCGCTCGGGCATGCTTCGGGTAGTCCATTAGTCTCACGGAGGTCGGAAATTCGGAAGTTCGGATTCTGCCCACGTTGCTGAACTGCAGAGCTATAGCCGACAAATACGTTGAATTATATCATGTAAACCCACGTGGATCAATAAGGCAAGTACAGATGAACATTCTACATGATTGCGTACTAAGACAGAACTGATAGTAATTTCCACTGTATGCTTCATTTTTAAAAAAACTCATATAGCTCTGGAATTCTAATAAAACAATATGTTGCAGTATAGACCAAAGCATATCCCCAAGGTGTTCGGGTCCGGACCTGGACATAGATCCACCTTCCTACCCAATGATCACGGGCTGCGAAATTTTCACTGCCTAAGTGACTAAAGTGACTATTACATAGTCACTTAAAACACCAATGAGAATAATTCCGCCCGAAAATTCTCGGCCACTCTTGCATATGACTCTGGAAGTTTTGATTGCTAATATGAAACTCTTCTCCAAAAATCTCTATAAATCCTCAATCTGAGCAATCTAGGGTCTCCCTGATGCAAGTGGAGAATATAGCTCCTTCCACATAGAATGTCTACCAACGCCGGGTCTGCCAGCAGCAAGACCAATTATGCATTTGATATGAATACCCAGAGCACCACAGCCCCTAGCACCACTGCATTTGACGAGAAGACCACCGTTCAAACGGTCAAGGGGAGGATTGATACCGAAGCTGCACCAGAGGAAGAACCCAGCCCAGAGGATGTATATCGGACAGCATCTACTCTGGCACCGTCCCAAAGATCAACAAGAAGGGACCCCATTAGCCGAGTGACCACGGATGCCGATGGGAACACCTATCCCGAGGGGGGTCTTGAAGCCTGGCTGGTAGTGCTTGGTAGCTTCCTCGGTCTCTTTGGATCGCTGGGCCTGGTCAACACCATTGGCACATTCCAAGCTTACATCCAGACCCATCAACTGAAAGAATACAGCTCAGGAACCAATGGATGGATTTTTGGAATGTTTGCCTTTCTTACTTTCTTTTGTGGAGTGCAAATTGGTCCGATCTTCGACGCTCGAGGCCCACGTCTTCTGATCTTTGCGGGTTCCGTACTTGAAATGGCCATGATGATCCTCATTGGCTTCTGCACTGAATACTGGCACTTTATGCTGGTAATCGGTGTACTGGGTGGAGTGGGAGCGTCCCTCATTTTCACACCGGCGATCTCGGCGATCGGCCACTATTTCTATGAGAAACGTGGACTCGCAACTGGAATTGCTGCCACTGGTGGCTCTGCCGGAGGCATTGTTTTCCCCCTCGTTCTAGAAGCTCTCTTCCCCAAGATTGGCTGGGCCTGGGCCACTCGGGTTGTCGCGTTGATCTGCCTCGTTACGCTATCAATTGCGAATCTCTTGATTAGATCCCGACTCCCGCAGAAGCCATTCTCCAAAGAGAACGTGCTTCCTGACTTCCGCATCTTCCGAGACCCGCGATTCGTGCTGACCACCGCCAGCGTCTTCTTCATCGAGTGGGGTCTTTTCGTGCCAATCAGCTATATCTCCTCCTACGCCCTCGACCATGGATTTTCTTCCAAGTTCTCGTACCAGATCATTGCCATCTTGAATGCCGGCTCATTCTTTGGGCGATGGTTGCCTGGCTTCTTTGCCGATTTCCTTGGTCGCTTCAACACTCTGATCGCGACGGTAGCGCTCTGCGTGCTGTGCAACGCCTGCCTGTGGCTTCCTGCTGGAGATAGTCTGGCTCTGCTGGTCGTCTATGCTGTCATTTTCGGATTCTCAAGCGGCAGCAATATCAGCTTGACACCAGTGTGTGTTGGTCAACTCTGCAAAACTGAAAACTACGGCCGATATTACGCAACTGCCTATACCATAGTGAGCTTTGGGTGAGTGTTTTCCCCCCTTTGTGATGTCACCTGCGCATCCATAGCTGACATACTTTTGCCACTAGCACTCTCACCGGAATCCCTATCGCAGGTGAGATCCTGGCACGTTGCAATGGATCCTACTGGGGCCTGATCACATTTACTGTCTGTTGCTATGCAGCCGGTCTCGCATGCTGTACCGCCGTAAAGGTTATTCAAGTTGGCTGGCGTCACCCTCTCGCGATCTATTAATTTTCTTTCGTTCGTATTCGGGATTCCGACGCTGGTTGGTCTGGCAATTTCAACACGATTTCACGATTTCAAAAAGCAGATAGAAAGGATTTTCCTCCTCAACTTGCATTTTCTATTTGGCGTCCATGACAAGAGTGTTTTGTTATACATAGCTGCTATTAATGTCTCTACTTATCAATTTGTGATTAGAACCACCAGATCGGATAACGTTTCCGACATAGTCAGTTTGACCTTTTAGCTGTACTAATGAAGTTTGCTGTCGAACTGGCAGTTGTAAAATATAAAGATTTGCCGCCATGGAGGCAATATCAAACGCATGGAGGTGCTGGTAACTCAGGTTCAGGTCCCCTCTGGGCAGGGCTGAACAGGGCAGAACATGTCGCATAAGATATCCGACAGGCACCGGATCTATGTAAAGGTCTAGTCACAATGATGTCTTTGTACCTTATCCAGCCATGGATTTCAGCATTGGGAATGAATTCCAATAGGAGCACATGTAGAACCTACCACGGAATCTATAAGAACAACGAAAGCTTAAGCAAAAAACAAACATCGACATCACCCCTGGCCAATCTTCTCGCTGTGATGACATCGAGTGTTCATCAATCCATCACCATTGAATTGTCTAGGCCCTCACTACATATACGACGCTATGCTCGCATCCCTCTCCTAACGTCCTTTTCACCCGGGACATTGCTTTCCTTGCTATCGTCTCGATTTCGTCTTGTGGGCATTTGCTTCATTGCTAAACTTGCTAAGGAATCCAGAACCTAGAAGTGTCCTCTATATTAGCTCCTTCGTCACTTCGAAGCCACCCGGAACTACCAGCGAACTTGCATTGGCCCCTGTCCTCCCCTAATCGGCCACATTTTCTCAATCGCCCTGCACATGCTTGGGTTGGTTGGAATCATGTCTACCAGAAGGTGTTTGATTCTACTGGCCTGCTCCTGGACTCTCTTGCAGAGTGTCCTGGCTGTCCCAGATGTGGCATTAGAGCAGCCTGGCCTTGAGGATCGTCGTCGAGAAGAGCGTAACTTTGGTTTGCAGGAGCGCCACAACCATCCTGATCTTGAGAGCTCGCTGCTTTCTGTTTTGACCGAGGAGTTAGCTACGACACATGCTCCTCCAAAGCCTGAGACCACTCCAGGAGGTGGAGGTGGTGGTACAGTCCCTGGCGGCGGAGGCGGTACTACGGTCCCTGGCGGTGGAGGTGGTACAGTTCCAGGCGGCGGAGGTGGTACTACGGTCCCTGGCGGCGGAGGTGGTACTACAGTCCCTGGCACAGTCCCTGGCGGCGGAGGCGGTACTACGGTCCCTGGCGGTGGAGGTGGTACAGTTCCAGGCGGTGGAGGTGGCACAGTCCCTGGCGGTGGAGGTGGTACTACGGTCCCTGGCGGCGGAGGTGGTACTACAGTCCCTGGCACAGTCCCTGGCGGCGGAGGCGGTACCACGGTCCCTGGCGGAGGAGGTGAGACTACAGTGCCTGGTACAGTCCCCGGCGGCGGAGGTAAGCAAACCACAGCCTCATTTTCTGGAAGCACTCTTCTTACTCACCCTGGTACTCAAGTCGGTACTTCACCCACTGGCGGCGGAGGTACTACTAGCTCAATAACAGGACCTGCTCCAACTACCAGCAATGTTAGTCGTCCCCCAGCCAAACCACTCAGCCATTCTCTCCTAGTGGAATTCCCCAGCCGTCTCCCCTGAAGTAGTCGCTACAACTGCTAACACTGTTCAGCCTCCTACCTCTACTACTGAGCCAGGAACCAGCCACACATCTCCCACTGGTGGCGGTAGTGTACCTCCTTCCCCACCCCCCACCACTGCAGGACCACCGATTTGCCCTCCTCCCCCACCCCTCACCACTGCAGGACCACCGATCTGCCCTCCTCCTTCCACATCTAAGGAGACCACCGTCGTCCCAGTAACGGTCACTTGTCCTGCCGTCATAGTGAGCACTGCCACTGTCACTGTCACATCTGGGGCGGGCTTGGGCCCGGGAACAGAGTGCTGTCCTTGCCCTACTGGAGGAGGTGCTGGAGGAGGAGGCCCCGGGGGAGGTCCCAGTGGAGGCGCTGGCGGAGGTGCTGGCGGAGGTGGTGCGGGAGGTGGCGGAGTCCCCCCAGCTGGCACCACAACAGCCCCGGGGACTACATCTGGAGCAGGCCCCCCACCTAGCACTGCGACAGCCCCAGGAACTACCTCAAGCGTAGTATCCTCAAGTGGCAGTAGCGTAACAGCCTCATCCACCAGAACCCAAACCAATACCCAGACCCAGACCTTGACTCAGACCCGAACATCGACGCCGCTCGTACCGAGCAGCACGAGACAGCGTACCATCATTACAGGATCACCCACAACACCAGCCACCCTCGTGACTTTGCCTACGTCAACACCTCCAGTTGTATCTCCCTCAACGCCGGGTTCGCGTGTCACCCCACGAGCAATTATCAACCCTGATGTTGTTCGCCGACAGATATTTAGCAACACGACGGCTACAGCCCACTTCACTAATTCGACTATCATCTCGAATACCACGACCAGTGCAGTAAACCTCACCCGTGTTGTGACAGAGACTGCCACCGAGCCTGCGCCTGCTTTCCTGCCCCGCTTTCATCGTGGACGCAATCGTGTTTAGGTTGTTTGGTTGATCTGTGGAAGAGTAGACTTGAGGTCTTGGTTGGTTGTTCCTTGATAGATGCTAGATCAGTTTGGTTATTACCGATTTTTGATAATTTTCCTGATAGTTTAAGAGGAGTTTAATGTATTAGGTGGTAATATGATGTTGCTGATGTTTATTTGAATTGACCAGCTTGCATTTCTTCTACTATCAACGCAAGCGTCCCCAGCTATTGACACCAAGAAATGTGAAGCTTGAGACACTCTCAATATTGCTTGTAATAGCTCATGATATACTTCATTGGATCTATCTAGTTGATGGAGCAGGATCGGATATTGAAAACTATGGCACATGGCACTTGTGTTGAATGATGCATAGAGGGAAGAAACTGTCCGACTCATTGAATATCAAGGATACTTGGGTAGCCTTGAAACAAAAACACATAAATCGAATTGTAGAAGCAGCAGCAAAAAGAACTAGAACCAAAAAATCTCAAAAACCCCTGTCATGACTATAGCCCACGCTCGATTCCAGCATCCCTAGGCAGAGAGTCAAATCTATCTGTGATGGCGAGGATATCTATTTTGCCTTCGCTGCTCTTTCTCAAACTCTTCCTCATCGGAAATCTCTTCGATATCCGGATTCCACTTTTTAGGCTGCTGCAAAACGCTGGGAATGCAGCTGATGAGATCATCAGCAACCTCTTTGTCGGTGACCCGGTCGTTGTGCTTGTTGAGGATCCTGATCAAGACAGGCAGCATCAGCTCAAGATTACGACACAATCTCTCAAACTGGGGATCCCGTTCCAAAACCGAGCTTGAAATAGCGATACCCATCTTGTCAGAAATCTTCTCTAATGTTTCAATGACATCGTTACGACGATGCGGTCCGTGACGAAGATAGTAGATTGCGTCGTGCACACATGACAAAACGAAGATGCGGCGATCATTGTAGGGATCATCCGCTAGTCTACGTTTAATGTTATAGCGAGGCATGATAGGTGAAGATCAGACTTGACTGGTGACAGAGAAGCTTCTAAAGGTCGTAAGTCTCGCTGGGATAGGTGATTCAAAGTGCGCCTTGAAGGTGGAATCTATTGACGATTCCCAAGCAAAGTGCAATAATATATCTTATCGGGCGATGTAGTATCCGATTTTTTCTCAGGGTTTGCTTGCGAGCTATGTATGTTTGAGATATCGAGAAGATAGTGGGAGTTATTTATGCATTTGTGTAGAGTACAGTTGGCACTGACCCATGCCCTAGTTGATGTATTTGACAAAGACAGCAATTATAACAAAGATGGTATTTTTAATCTCCCAAGGAAGAAAAGGAACATTGAAACTCGACTAGGAAGACTCCGGGACTCCGGGTTATTTTTATCAAGAGAGAGTCATCACTTTCATAGTACTCACAAAAGGATACCACTTACATTCGAGCAAAAGAGAATGATGTCTATTACGGAGACCAATCATCGTGTACTTTGGTTTTGGGGAAGAACCTGCTGTTTTCTCAGTTGCATAGGAGTCGAAATACGAAAGACAGGGCACAGCTCCCGTTGTAATAATACCGGAAGCTCTATGTAGACACCCCACGATAAATACTAGCTTTTAGCAGCTCTACCATGTTTAAAATTGTTGATCAAAAAATGGACTCGGTGAACAAAGCGATAAATAGTATATAAGGGGTAGATAAAGCATGGGGGTATTTGGACTAGTAAGAAAGAAAACACAGTGGCAGGTGACCATGTGTCACCGAACAAAGGATCAATGGCCAGGCTGCAAAACTCACATGTGTATGAAACTTGTGCTCGGTGTTTTTATTGCATCTTTTTGAAGAATTCATAGATGATTGTCCGGTAAGTCCACATTTGATCTGTGATTCATGTTTCTTGTCCGGGTTTGTCGATGTGCCCCCTGAGTATCCATGATTACCTCTAGCCAGGCAGAATACCCGAGTCTGAGTAGATATTATGTGAGGCGTCGGCACGATTCTCGATATGTATTTCTCGTATGAGAGAAGTAGGTTCGCTCTGATGTTTCATGGTTTCACCGAGTCCATGATTGCCAAGGTTCAGCCGAATTAATTTTCCGTTATATACATTCTCCCTGATCTATAAGGAAATAAACTACCAAACAAGATCAACTAGATGTATACCTAGGTATGTTGTAGTGGACTATGACCTCTTATCAGTTCTTATAAACCGCCCACTTAGGCCCCACAACCATCTGGACCAATGACGCAACAACCTGCCTCATTAGGATTAACGCTAGATTGGATTCCCCACATGACCCAATACGAGCCGGCCCCCCGCAAAGCAGGGATCGACAATCTTGCTTCAAGGTATTCAAGCACATCTTTGTACTATGTACATGCTCAAACTACGTAGATAGTCGGTCTATAATTTGTCTATCTGCGGCTACTGCCGGAACTACAAAACGATGATATAAGTGGAGGGACAGTATGCGACACCCCCCGCGCATATGTACTTGTTCCGGCTGGAGCTGCCTAGAAGGGCTAGCGACATGCAACCTTGGAATGTAGGCGGTGGATAAGGACAAGATAAGCGTAGTAATCAAGGGGATTTGAGGATCATCGCCGAGCTATATGAACCCCATTCCTCAGGGCAAGTGGCTTTCTACTCATCATTTCTCTCGATTGCTGACACCGCTACAATAAACAAAGACCTTCCCTGACCTTCTCCTCCATCATCTCGTGGACCATCACCACTTCAATTCTACTTAGATGGCGGTTGTCTTTGTCTCTCACTGTCCCCAACGACTTCATTGGCATTCCTATACTATATCTCTGTGTCAAGCTATTCGCAGAGCTAGTAGAAAAAGTACTCGGACATCTAAACCAGTTCGCTAAGAAACTTGCCACTGTCCAAAAAGAAAGTGTAGTGACAAGCAAACAATGTCAATCGAAATCGTCCCGCTGGCTCCGGCCGACATACCCGGGGCTGTAAACTGTGTGCAGAAAGCGTTTGCCGACGACCCATATTTTCGTTGGGCGTTTGATGACCCATCCAAGGTATGAATTATATCTTTCCGCAAGCCTTGGCTCCGATGACTACATCGTGGCTTTGAGAAAAACGCGCAAAGAGTGAAACACAACGAAGTGGGTATCGAATCAAGTAATAACGGAATCTGACAGTTCAACATCCAACGAAATGCAGCCTCCCTCGCTGCTCATTTCCGCTACGGTATCAACTGCGGCTGCCCCATCTCTGTCGCGAAGATAACTCGCGCCGCAAATGAAACCAAGAGCGATGGCGAAATACGTCTACCAGCTGGTACTGTGGTCGGCGTTGCCTGGTGGTACTCACCACAAGGGCCTTCTATGACACAAACCTGGTCCGTTTGGGCGCAAGACTGGCTTCTTTCCTTCCGCCAGCTCATGAATAATATCCGCTTCCTTGGTCGCGGTGGTCTGAATGTACGCCGCTATTGGATTTGGAAACAAGTGCAGCAAAATGCGCACGATATCATCTGGCAGGACCCCCGCGGGTACTATTTTTGCAACGTTGTCTGCGTTGACTCAGAGGCGCGTGGTATGGGAGTGGGCAAGAAGCTCATGGAGAATGTCATGGAGAAGGCCGACAAGGAGAATATGCCGTGCTATCTTGAGAGCTCCAAGGGATATCCAAATGTGGGTATTTATGAAAAAATGGGCTTTGAATTGGTCAAGGAGATTGAGTGCGTGGATGGCGGGGACGTTTGCAAGGTAGGCCCTCTTGGCTGGAACGTTTCTAATCAAATGACTGACGCATGTCATACCAGTTATATTGCATGATTCGCAACCCCAAGTCCAAAGAATAAAGCTTGCAGCAGCCGATACCATTCATTGACACAGATACGCAGGAAAAGAGATTGACTCAGGAGTGAGACATGACTAATTATTAGCATTTGCTCCGTTGAATTGCAAGCATTTCAGTATCTGTCGTACTTGATTGTTTTAGCAGCATGCGCGAGATGATGGAAACATCAAATATAGCGAATATATCCCAAGTCTTTGGCAAGTGGTCTTAGCTTCTTCGGATGAAGTCCTCTTGTACCCTTTGATAAGCCCTCCATGTCCCAGAAATCTTGTTGGAGAAACCGAGAGCTGCAGAGGCACTAATCTGTATCTTGCTTTTATGTTCTGATTTTAATGATCGTTTTCTGATTTTAAACAATTTAACTCGTCCGCTATACGTCTATTTCTATAAAACTTGATCATTCTGAGTATATAACACCATGGGCAAGAGTGTAACTGCCGCCTAAATACCTCTGCTGGGGATGGGCCCTGGTAAACCTGATGATCACGACTGGAATGTAGTCATGGACAAATATCTCACTCCCGGGGAGCTAGTCCATCCATCCGCCGAAATCGGGTAGCTTTAGGCTTTTTTGTGTTGTGCTAATTCTCATAGATCGAGAAGGCTCTACGTTTCGCTCAATAGTGTCGACAAGGCCTGCAGAAATCAGACTTAATACAAAACACGGGGATTAAAATCTGGCGTATGCGAGCCGGTTATAATGTCTGAGGCGTTGGTCGCAAAGGATATGCTAACTATGTACAAATGGAACACAAGCTTGGAAGGAAGCAGGTCTCAAGCAGCCATATCACCTATAATCAAGCCCATTTCCCTAGCAGTCCCATCAAAACTAGCCCGCTGATCAAGGAAATACCACCAGTGAAAACTTTGCTCAACTTCGCATGCAACATTTCACCTCCCTCAATGACCCAGTCGCGCGCCCACATATCAACAACACCAACCCACACCAAAATGCCAGCAGACAGTGCGTCTAATGTTCCTAGTGCAATCAAAGTGCTTCTCGAATTACCATTGAAGGTGTGCAGAACACCAAGTCCGATAGCCATGCCAATAGGTGTGATCAAGGCAAATGCCGTCGCCATAAACGCCTTAGAAGGAAATATAGGTCCAGGGAGAGTTGCAATGCGAGCACCGAGTGCCAGTCCTTCGAAGAATTGATGAAACACAATCACCACTAGAAGCGTCTTGTAGAATGAGTCCCCAGCAACGACGAGGGTAAGACCAATCAAGATACTGTGGAAAAGTACACCCGCTTCCATGACAATAACCGAAAATTTGCTGTTGGGCCCGGTGAGATCAAATGAGCCGTGATTGTGTCCAAGACAAGCTAACGTGGGCTGCTGCTGTTGGTCCTGCGAGTGCTCCCGAGAATGATCATGCTCTTCTTTCTGCTCTCTTTGCTGGGACTCGGATGCTGTTATTTCTGCGGAGCTCTTGCCGTTACGAGCAACAATGATCCTGTGGCCAATGTATTCCAACAAGAAGGCAATGAATATACCCGCCATGACTACAGCCGAGGTAGTCGCTTCGTACTCAAGCTCTCCCAAACACTCATTGGTGAACATAAGATTTGCATGTGTATACAGCTAAGGAACACAGTCAGAAAGCAACACGTAGGTCAAGGCCGAGTCGACTTACATGGATGAAAGCTGTGGCTAGAATGATGCCAGTTCCAAATTGTTTGATGACGGTCGAGACCACCCCATTGATAGAAGCAAATGGGAGTTTCATAAGGAGAATAGGGGCAAAGACACCAATTGCACTAGTTGCAAGGACAACGAACAGTGTACCAATTCTCAGAGGCACGTCGTAGTCTCTTGCTTTGATATCACACGATGAACCACTGTGTTCCTCCGATTCGCCTTCACCCACGCAGTGTCTAGAATAGCCAAAGTCAATAAGGCTCAAATTTGGGAAAATTATGACAAGCTTACTCGACGCCAGCATGGAAGTGGCAGTTTTGTTTCGCTTCGCTTGAGGATTCCTCGTGGTCGTGCCCATCGTCTTCACTATGACTGTCTTCGGTCCCATGGGCTTCCGTTTCTTCTCCTTGAATCAAGACATCGTTTCCATCTCCATCCATGCAATATCTTCGCAGTTCGTAAGTTAGTATATTGTCGTAGAAACACATACGTGTGTACTTACGACTCGCTTCCATGGGAGTGACACCCAGTGTATTGTGCTGGTACCCCAGTTGTAGGGGTAGATGTCGCCGAAACTAAAACTTCGTGGCCATCTCCATCAATACAGTAAATGCTTGAGCCAGGGGTATGACAGCCAGTTATAGATGATGTTTGTGCTGATGTAGTTGCTGTGGCTGCATGTACTCCGGAAATGCCCAGTGATATAAGGAAAGGTCTGGAAATGAGCATGATGAAGCTAGTGCTCTACTCTTTCGCAAATGAGAATAATGAGATTAAAATTAGAATTGATGCAAAATATATGCCACAAGTCAGGATTTTTTTTTAATAGAATGATGGGTAGAGTCCTCGCCGAAAGGCCTGGTAGATTAAGTAAAAGCAATGCATACGGGTCTTACCCCCAAGGTTCTCAATGCCAAGCGAAAGATCTTTCCATATTTTCGCCAAGAGCAGGTCTAAACTTCGAATCCGGGCTTCCTCCGGAGAATATCGCCCACTTCGTTCTTGTTCTCTCAAGGTACTCCCGCCAAAGTGTCTTGGCGACCCTCCGCCGAGCCTTTGTCTTGGCATCAATCTGGGATTTTCTGTTCTGATTGCTGGAGAAAGAAGAAATTTCTGGTGAGAGAAGCAAAGAAGCTCTCAAGGTCCCCTCTTGGCAGATTGCATCATCCGTATACCAAGAAACATGGAGAAGACATCCCGCTTTCTATCCTTTACTGGGTGTTGCGTAGACTACAGACACAGCGAAAATGAGGATAAAAGCTACACTTGGCAAAAACGAGGAAAACTCAAACACTCGTATATAGAAATGAAGAAATCATGGTAAAAAACATATAAAAGCTACCTTAACCGTGTTTAGAAATTCGCTTCCATACTTCCCAATCAGTTTGCCTCGATTTTACAGCCATGCTTTTGTTCAACTTCATTCTCTGCTCTGCAGCAATTGCTGTTGCTCTTCCTACCCCTGAGAGCTCTGAAGGCGATCAATCCCAGCCCTTCTCTCGGACTGGGCTCGCACCTTGGAACGCCGGAGCCGTGAATCAATTTCCTATCCACCCAAGCTGCAATGCAACCCAGCGTCGCCAGATTGAGCTAGGTCTTAATGAGACTATTGCTCTTGCTGCACATGCTCAAGATCATATCTTGAGATGGAAAAATGAGAGTGAGATCTACCGAAAATACTTTGGTGACCGCCCATCCATGGAAGCCATCGGGGCATTTGATATCGTAGTCAACGGTGACAAGAAAGACGTTTTGTTTCGCTGTGATAATCCAGACGGAAATTGTGGCATTGAGGGTAATACAACTTGCTCTATGTGAGGGACCGTATACTAAACATCTCAACCAAACAGGTTATGCCGGACATTGGCGAGGCGAAAATGGCACAGATGAGACAGTCATCTGTGATCTGAGCTACGAAACTCGTCGCTCTCTCTCAACCATGTGTGGCCTTGGATACACAGTTTCAAAATCCGAGACCAATACCTTCTGGGCCGCTGATCTACTGCACCGTCTATATCACGTTCCTGCCATCGGGCAGAAGTGGATAGACCATTTTGCAGACGGATACGAAGAGGTCGTTGACCAGGCGAAGAAAAATGCGACGCTTTCGACACATGATTCAGAAACCCTTCAGTACTTTGCACTGGAGGTATATGCTTACGACATTGCTGTGCCGGGGATTGGTTGTTCAGGTGTTCAAAATGAGCATGATGAACCTCACATTGACCAAACAACATCTGAGACTGTGACTAGCCAGCCAACTCCAACTGTGACAAATACCGATGCGCCTTCAACAACTACCGAGGTACCCCCAGTAAGTCGCTTTCTGTGTTGTGTGGGTGATTTGAAACTGATTTGAATAGAATTGCCATACACATGAAGGAGGCGAGCTCCACTGCACTTGAAGTTTTATTTTCTCATACGGCGAAACACCAGACCAGGCAATCGATCAAACTTGAAAAGATGATAGCCCTGATGTGAAGGAAATTGATGGGTAATTTATACCGGGAGAACGAAGGAAGAAGGGTCCTATTGGCTCAAGGCACCAGCCTCAACAGGTTCAGAAACGGAGCAACATAATACGAACTATATTATTTCTAAGGCTATTTGCTGTCATGTCTTATACTCCGTACGGAGTACTCCGTACAAAGGTACACATTCGAGTTTTATTGTTTGTATTTGGCGCCCTAGTGGTCTTGTTTGTTCGGCATCCAGGGGTAATGCCTCTTTGGAGGGATTTTTTACCTTCCAAAAATCTTCACTTCCCTCCCCCTTTATCCTAGCAGCGATCATCTGATTGATATAGTCTATATTTTGCATATTATGTTCATCCTATATTTCTCCATTCTTGCTGGACGAACACCGCATATCGTGGTGCTCGGCATTGATATTTATTCCTGTGGATTTTGGAAATAAAAATTGGTACTCTTGACATATAGATTGATTTTTTAAATCATGATGTGCTGATTCGATCCACATGGGCGATCTGGAAAACTGCGACAGTTGATCGGTTATTATGTCGCGATGATTCCAAGGTTAGGGAGGGCCTACTTCTAGAGACATGTTACACTTAACATAGACAATGTGGTCTACTACTCATGAGTAGTTCGAAGTCCTGGCTTAGTTCTTGGTTAGCAGCGATGCTAAGTTGTATCCCGAAATCATCGTAAACGCTGGTTGGGTTGATCATAAGGTATGCTTGGCTACGGAGTAGTACTACTCCTGATGCGTCAAACCAACCCATAGCGAAAGACTATGGCCAAAGTATGGACCTATGGAGAGCTTAACTAGCTGAAGTGCAAAGAAATTGTTTCTCTCTATGCTCCGTATTGTCTCCGTACCTTGCTACGTTTCTGTTATTTGTCAACGTGATGCAGCTCAGCGGAATCACATAGTTTTGGGTAAAAACACATCTACGTTCGGCAGGTGAATCGACGTTGCGAGTAAACTGATCAATAAATATTGGTCTACCTACGTGATAAGTACTTCTTTGTCTCATGTGATGTAAGATACCGAGACGCATTTAAATTGGACCCAGGTGTGTTATGTCTGTGTCTACGGAGTAGGTACCCCGTAAGTATATTTCGTCCAACATTTGTCATACAAAACATGTGAATGAAAGATATATATATTGAACAAGCCATGATCGTTGAAATACTTCAGCTATGACTCAACATACTATTGTTGAATAGCCCATAGACAATATTGTTTATTAATATTACTTCCATATCCCCATAGAACAAACGCTTGTTTCTGTCGACGGGGAATTGGTTGTAGCTGAAGATGAGAGATCTTGATGTTGCTGGTAGAGGGCTCGGTCACTTGTTTCAGTCTGTTTACATAGTTTATATGACGCATAAGCATCAACAATACGACAGCGCTAATTTTTGCCCATTTTCGAACCTAGAAGGATCATGGCCGTCTGGGCTATGATTGATGCTATCCAACTCTCTAGGGTAAGCTTTGCCGGCACGAATGGTACAATGTCGTGCAGCTGTTTATGCAATATTAAGATATTACCTATTTACATATGAATCAGGGTCTGTGAGCTATGTTGAGATAGAATAATGGTGGAGGAGCCCGATTTCAAATATGCCCCTGTCGCCCTGTGATTTGTCCCACCGAGTGACACCACACAATAGGTGGATGTACTCATATGCTAGGGTGGAATCCACAAATTGAAGTGGCCAACAGGGTTACAGACAGGGCCTATAGAGAGAAGACTTGGAACAGGGGATTGCATGATCGACCGATAAGAATGCCATCTAAGCAATGATTTGCCAATAGTAGGGGTTTGGGGTTCCTTTTCCTGCAGGAGATGATAATTTACATTATAAAGGGTAGGAATGCTCGAAGGCACACGAGACACCAATCTAGGGGTGAAGACTGGCTCCAAGTCGCTAGAGGCCTTGCATCCCCATGGAAATAGTTCCTTTCACTACGATCTTCTACCGAATGTAACTAGGATCTTGGAAAAATTCAAATTGTTGTTGCCGTGAAGTTGCCGCCAAACCATCAAGTTGCTTTTTGGGAGGAAGCCACAACTCATTCCATTTTATACCATACTATCATTTCGACGGGCACGGATTCGCCCCTCCACTATTTTCAATAATTATATTCCTTATTGTGATCAGTTCGAGTGATGAGACTGCCGCGGTCCGCTTGGAGTTGGAGCGCATTCCAGGTTGATACTGCATTGTTTATGTACGGCGGTGTCTCGACCGTTGCCATTCCCGTTGAGGCAATCATAACACCAGCACCCACGCTTAAAGAACAACGCCCCATACAAAGATCCAAATCTAAGCGAAAGAGCTTGAGGAGGTCACTATCCAAGATCTTTTGATCTGGGAATCGGCTGTCCCTTCTAGTCACATTGGCACATCGCGATGAGTTTACAGGGACTTGGGGTGATTGGGGCCCAGGTGGCCGCGGCGATCAAAACCGACGAGAAAATCCCAACGACGCCTAATATCCCACCCCCACGATGTTCCATTACGTCTTCACCCGGGGCTCACAGCCAGGAGTTTGATCCGTCAATCGGTGCAAAGCCATGCTCGCCGTTCTATCCTCATTCAAGTCCAACCATCTCGCATGAACAACTCACATTCGAAACTAAGAATGCCAATCGAAGAAGTCATTTGAGGGATCTGGAAAGCATGGGCCCATACGCAAGCTGCCGAACCGATAGTCCTCGGCGATCGAAGTTGTGGGAGGAAGAAAACAAGCCATTGACATGGTTGCAGTCGCTGAATAACAAGCAACGGATGGCATTGAAGGCAGTCGTCGCTGTGGTGACAGTGGGAACTATGATTGCAATTGCATTGGGCATTACTGCGGCAGTGGGAGGAGCAGGTTGGAGAGCCAGTGCCGAAAAAACGACGACTGGGGGATAAGTGGGTGCTTCGAGTATTTCTCACGCACTGCAGTCATCGCTGACGGTTCATGCAAGGTTCCGATACCATATTACCACATTTGCTCAGGGGCAACAAGCAGCCCGATCACCATTCGTTATGATTCACCTCATCGACTTCTCCGACCTAAGCTAGATCACCCGTCTTGTCTGTTCTTTCTCTTTTCAAGGTACCATGGAGAGCCGGAGCTTGAGGGTGAGGATTTTGTCATTCTTAATTGGAGTTTATTCCATTTGTCCATAGAAATGACATGTCACATTCCGGCGTGATCAGGATCCCGCGGGTGTTGAATTGGACATGTCATGGAATTGGCCGGAACCGTTGTATCATATCCTAAATTATCTTCTTTTTTTTTCTATTCAGAGAGTGCATGAGACAAAGCCAGGAGCCTTAAAATGCAGGCCATAAAACAGACCGGGTCGGACCGACCTGGGTGCCGAGATGAAGATTGTAAATCCGATCCGATGACCCCACTGGCACTATAAAAGGCCGCAAACTTTTTCGCCCTTATCTCTTTTTCTTTTCTTCTCTATCGAAAAAAAGCAACTGAGCCTGCCACGACCATCGTTCTGTCTTACGACAAATCCACGGCGATGTGTTGCCTTCGGTCTTTCGGGACTGATCGGCTCAGGAGATAGATTGTCCTCGATAGGAAGTTCATTTCCTGTGTCCTCTTAAGTGAGGGCGGTGGGATTTGGATGTCGAAGACGGGACACATTCCTTCGCTTCAACTCTGTTTTAGTAGTTGAAGCGAGAGTAGTGATCAACGCATTGATGTATGTGAAGGTCTTTGAGTAGATTGGGTAGATACAAACACTGAACAGATTCAGCGTAACACTACACAAGTCTTGGCACAAGAGTAAAGTCACTACACGATACTCCTGTTGTAATATGGACGGCCGAGCTAGCTACCTAGGCTTGTGCATGCTAAAGTGGTCAGGGGATCGCAATCCTTGACATCACTGAGAACCTCATATTGGTTGGTCGGTGATTTTCCAAGTTAGCCTCTCGAAGCTCAACTCGAGTGGAGAACAAGCCGTACCAAGATCATCCATACTTGAGTCTCTTTGGGAGACGTCCAGCGTGAATTATGCCATCACTCCAGCACGACTCATGTAAACATATTCATGACATATCCCAGCTCAGACAAGGGGCTTGCTTGATCTCTGAATGACGTGCCTGTTTAGGCGATGATCCATCCCTCTCAGCTCACGGAATGCGACAGCACCACCTTTCTAGGGATTACATGGGGCCTGTTTACGATCCGACCTCGATTGACGGACATTTTCTCACTTGTTGGTGTTGCTTTTCATTCTCGGCAACATTCTGATGGCGTTACGCACGGCTTGGCCTCGTGTCAAGGTGCTGTCCCTGTTGATGCGACGGCATTCCCGCCTGCTTTTCAGCTATTGATCATCGATGCAAAGAAACTACTAAAGGTCTGAACATTTCCTTAGGGTTGTTCACTACTCATTGTTCCTAACGGAGTACATCCTATCAATTGAGCCATTCTTTTTTTCCGCTTTCGCTACCAGTCACTCTTTTAACCTCCTACGACCAGCAGCATACGCATTTCTAAAGCAATATCTCTCAAGCACCGCAATCATGAAGGGCTTCATCGGCGGAATCCCTGTGGCACTGCTTGCAGTCGCTGCCCAGGCGAAGTTTGTTGAAAGTGTATGTAGTCCTCGATGTATACAGGTGCATCAGCTAACCAAATGAATAGCAAGCTCGTGGTACCGCCATCGGTGGGCCTTCTGGCAATGACGGCGAGGGCGGCTTCATCAGCCCCAATTCCGCTAGTTTCAAAGCCGATACTCAAGTCAACGAGTGGGACGAAGATGACCACTCCGTCAAGGTGAAGCACACGGATGCATACCCTCGCCCTCCGGTGGTGCCTGTGCCATTTGGTCACCCCGGATTTTCGGGCCGGCCTCAAGTCCCTGGAATGGGACCCTTTGGAAAGCGTGGGGAACCATCTAGGAGTGTTGTCTTTAGTGACCACCCTCACCACGATGAGGATCAGGGTTTCCATCTGTCTGTGACTGATGCATCCAGCACCGAGGTCAACGATTACAACAAGGACGATCACTCTACCCGAGTGAAGCATGAGGATGTGCACCCTCATGGGCCGGCATTTATCCCCTTCCGTCGCTCCGAGAACCATGGCCCTCCTGCCCACGGCGCCCCCCGCATGCTGGTCACTTTGAGCCACACCCCGAGCCTCATCACGAGTCCCACACTGATTCGCACTATGAGCCTCACACCGAGCCTCATTTCGTGAACCACCCAGAGCCTCACTACGCACCTCACTATAGCCCAAGCTATGAGCCTCACTATGAGCCCCACACTACACTCGAGCACGACCTCACTTCGCTCGAGGGCAACAACAAGGGCCCCTCTGCTGGGAAGATCTCGTTCAGTCGCCGTGGGTTCCCTACCCCTCCTGGGCCCCACTTCGAACCTCACCCTGAGTCTCACTACGAGTCTCACACTGAGTCCCACTATGAGCCACACCCTGAGCCTCACTATGTCAACCATCCCGAGCCTCACACTGAGAACCACCCGGAGCCTCACTACGCGCCTCACTATAGCCCAAGCTATGAGCCTCACTATGAGCCCCACACTACACTAGAGCACGACCTCACTTCGCTCGAGGGTAACAACAAGGGCCCCTCTGCTGGGAAGATCTCGTTCAGTCGCCGTGGGTTCCCTACCCCTCCTGGGCCCCACTTCGAACCTCACCCTGAGCCTCACTACGAGTCTCACTCTGAGTCCCACTACGAGCCACACCCCGAGCCTCACTATGTCAACCATCCCGAGCCTCACACTACGAACCACCCGGAGCCTCACTATGCGCCTCACTATAGCCCTAGTTACGAACCTCACTACGAGCCCCACACCACAGTTGATGATGATATCACATCGCTGAAGAACAATAACCAGGGCCCCTCCGCTGGAAGCATCTCGTTCAGTCGCCGTGCGTATGCTCCTGCCGCAGACGACAATGCCGGTACCTCTGGGGAGGATGGCGTCGAGGCTTCCCAGTGCGCTGCCCAGGTGCATGAGGTCGTCCGCACCGTTACCAAGACCCAGTACAAGACTGCTGAAGCCACACATTTCGCCTACCAGTCGGCTCCTGTCATTGAAGCTAGTGCTATCCCTGTTCATGCTCCCCAGCACTCCGCCGGGGCTGACCCCATGATGAACCCCAACCCCGCCTCAGCCCCCGTCCCTACTAGCGCAGTCTTCTCCCATTCTCCCCAGCACTTGGCTGGTGCTGACCCCTTGGCGAACTCAGCCCCCGCCTCCTACAACCAGGCTTCTCAACGTCCTGTCAGCCAAGCTGGCTCGTATTCCATGATCCCCGTTCATGTGCCCATGGCAACCCCTGTCTCGCATGGCATTTTGTCCAAGCCTACGCCCAGCGGCGCATTCGCTGAGCAGCAAGCTTCTCCTTCTTCCTCGGCGTCGTCTTCTGTCTCCCATGGAATCATGTTTGAAGGTGACGCCGCAAGGCTCTCTGGGGGAATTCTCTCAGCCGCAGCCGCTGTCATGGGTGTTCTTGCCTTCATCCTGTAGACGCCCGGCAATTACATTCGAGTGTTTGGTTTATCAGTACTTTCTTGTCACTCGTTTCCGCTTTTGCACTTCATTTTCCCTTCACAGCCGCCTTTTCCATAACAAGTTTTTGTAGCTTACCAATTTGACCCATCTTTAATGGCTAGTCTATCTTCAATGATGTTATGTTTCTGCCGCAATACAAACCTATCTTCTTCCACCCCCTCATCTCGACAGAGATGTAATAATCCACAAAGATAATCCATGTTCACCCATCCATGGTCCCCAACTGACACCGCTCAATTGTACAATCTCATGCATAGTAAGTGCAACACGGAATCTTATTTGCGGTTCCTGATCCCGAACATCTAGACTCCTGAGGGTGGGTCAGGTTGCCTTGATAAGAAGTGGGCATTCCATTTCGCCACTGCAAATCCTCCAAGTCAATGACAGGAAAATCAACTTGAATTTCAAGATATTGACTCCCAACTTCCAACAATTTCTAGTCTTACATATTAATCCACGGCATCTTGTTGTTGTTTGTAGATGTTCTAACTGAGTAATATGACCAACAAATCAAAACCATGTGATATCATTGCCCATCATCCCTCGCCAACATTCAACGCTGTGACATCAGTACCAGCAGTACGGGACGCGGGCTCTAGAGTGGAATATAAGAGAGTGTGATTGTAGCCTCATCTCGTTCAATCAACACCCCAAATCCTTCATTCATAGCCCAATATCTCAAGTTTCACTGGACATCAAACCGCTCCAAATCCAACAACCAATTCCACATTCAAAATGGTTCGACAAGACCCTCACCAAGGCGGCACCCTCTCCGAAATGGCCGCCCAAGGTACATCCATGCCCAATGATGCCGGCAAGATGAATACAATCCCTTCGGTGCCACGCCCAGACCAGCGTGCCGAACACTTCGGCTTCGACAATGCAGGCATCGCTAAGCCCTCAACAGCGACGGCTGCCGATAACACCACTGACTTGCCACGCTCGACCCGGGATGTGGGCCAGAGCGGCGAGGTCATCACCGGCACGGGCAACTCCATGCCAGCCGGCATCGAGTCCAAGCATGCCTATATGGGTGCTAATCACCATGCTGCCCATGGTGATACTCGCGATCTCAAGCATTCCAAGTACGACCGGAGTGAGTTTGTGCGCTATCAGGAGGAGTAAAGGGTCTCTTCAACCATCGGTGTGATCCTGCAGCTTTTCGAAATGATGGCTGTTGAGCTCGCGCTATTGTGCATGATGTTATGAATGGCGTTAGATGTAAAACAATGCAATACTGTTCACGAAAAATTGTTTAGATTGCCTGCATGTGGTATGGCTATTAGATCATTTCAAAGTCGTAGCCCGGGCTGATCAGGCCCGAGAAATCCGTGATAGATCTCGTCAAGAACATCCCGCTTTCTCTTGCGATCGGCTTGAGCTGTTTGCTCTGCTTCAGTAGGTTCGCCGTCCGGTTCGTGAGAAACCCATGTCCGGATTGTTCCATCGCCGTGCGCCGAGAACATCTCTATTCCCTCGCCCGAGGCGCCGTTCCCTCGCCAGACAAGGTCATTGATACGCCCAGCGCTCAAAGCACTCGACCGACCACGAACATTCTGCGACCCAGCTGCGAGACCTGGGACGCGGAGACGCTTCACGAATGTCCCCTCGCGGAGCTCAAATATAAAGATCTCACCACGATCATCTTGCTCATTGAAATTCGGCCACAGAAGTGTTTCGTGTCCTGGACCCATGGAGCCTCTCGGCACGATCAAGGGTGCCCGTTCAGCGAGGTGCGAGGAAGAGCCATTACGAACCCGAGGACCAAAATGAGCAAGTGTATTGGCGCCTGTTCCAGAGTCCCAGACTCGGATTCGGGAATCTTGCCCCGTCGTCACGATGTGACTGCCATTAGAGGTCCATCGTACGCCAGTCACAGGCCCATTGTGGGCACGGGCATGCCGGGAGAAGGCTGGACGACTCTCGTATGAGACTGGTGCAGATTTGGCTCCTGGGGCCACCAGTCCTACTGGATCGTCCATATCTAGGGTAGCGATGGCAGAGTTGTGACCTCCGCGACGCACGTCGAATATGATTACTCTGTTGTCAACCGATGCAGAAGCTAGGAGATGGGGCCGATGGGGCGCCCATGCTACTGATAAAACTGCACCATTGTGCCCGGGTAGACCTTGTGTCGAAAGTCCAGATCGAAGGTCTACTAGCCGGACCGACCGCTCAGACGTGCCCACTGCTACGAGCAGTGTTGACCCAGGCTGGGAGGAGAACGAGTGTGAGTATGGTGTGCAGTCCAGGTTGAATGTATGTATGGGAGTGATAGCGGGCGATTGTAGCGCCGACAACTTTAGTGTACCATCGTGTGCTGTCGAGAATATCGTTGATGGGACGGGATCAAACGGGTAGATCGAAAGGGAGGTAATCGCATGTGTATGTGCATCGGCGTAAGAGGATTTGCTGACGGACGCACAAGATTGATGGATGTGCTCAAGCTCTGAGCCTCTTGATTCAAGGTCCCAGAGGTGAATCGATGGGTCGGCGCCTCCCGAAATCATACTACCTTCATGTTAGATTGGGAACTGTCGGATGCTAAGTGGTTAAACACGCACTATCGGCCCTCAAACTGATCGACAGCCAGACAATTCACGCCTGACTTGTGAGCAAACACCTCCGCCGCAGCACCTACCTCTTGATCTAAAGGCGCCACATCGTCTTCGGACCGGTCCGTTGGTGCAGAGGCTCTGCGACTGGAGAAGCGTATACCCGGAGCAGGCTCAAGACTGTGAACTAGCCGGCTTGTTTGAGCAACATGAAAATCATTTGGAGTTACAGACCCAAGGGCTCTGTTGAGAAGATAGGAATTCATTCATTCATCAGCGCTGATGCTTTTTGTATAGAGAAGTCGAAAGCACTCGATGATGCCATGCTCTGCCGGATTAAAGTTGTGCCGGCGCATTTGTCGAATTTGGCAACTGGAAACCCTCGATCTGTACTTGCATGTGGATATCCGTTGCACACTCCTATTCGAATTGCCAAACCTTGATTGGTCTTCCTGGCGAATTTGAAGTATGTCTGCTACCAGGTCACTCGACTCGGACGAAGACAGTTTTGTTGAGCCATTCGAAGATGATCAAGAAACACTGGACGACAAGCCCTCGAAGCACATAAAACGTCGCGCCAATGTTTACGATGCGGTAGCTGGTATGTCTTATAAGCTCGTTTAGCTTATCATGCTAGGGAAAACGCAATCTAATTGCAACCAGGTCGTGTCAGCACCCGCGGTGTCAACGCACCCCGTGAAGTTGCTTCCCAATATCGCGACACAAACTCGGCAGGCGCTCGAAGTTTGCGACCAGAGGAGCTTCTATATCGCAGACAGAATATACTGGCGGAATCAGTCGACGAGAAAAACTATTTCGCACATGAGAATCTTTCCTCTGATCAAGCTCTCCCGAACTCTGAGCTTCTCGAGACAATACATGCGTATGCGGCCGACTACTACGAATACGCTACGACAGACAGCGGCAAAGATGACCACCAGACCATGGATGAGACAGCGTTGCTTGCAATGGGGATCCTGATCGAGGAGATGGTTAAGGAGGAATTGGGTGAAACCGGGGATCTGGCCTTGGTTGAAGGACAAGAGCTGTCGGAGGAAGAGGACGATAAGACAGGCCTCGAGAGTGACACCACAACTAGGTCAACAGCACGAGCAGCACGAAGGAAGCGAGCTAGCAGCATTGCCCGGCAAAGATCAAAACGGCGCAAATTGTCTCGTTCTGTTTCTGTTACAACAGATTTTGACACCGAAGTTGATGAAAGACGATGAGTGGATGAGATGGCGCTAGAACTTTATTACCAGGTTGCACCCATTTCTCCGCAGTCGGATTTCCTCGGAGGCTTTTGATGCCTGCAGCTGTATCAAGCTACGCGATATCTTGCAAAACCTCAGCCAAACCCCTCGAAAGCGAATCGGGTCACCCCATGTACTGCACATGTCCTGCAGTGCACAGCCACGTTGCACATGGTGTTTGCACATGGTATCGGCACATATATCAGTCCCTTTCACCACTCTCTGGCATACAGAGAAGCAACAGTCATGCTTTAAGCTGTAAGACAGTAGTTTGCTGCGCCTTCTTCTGTGCCTCCCGCTACACTGAAGGTCTCGAAGGGAGCTATACACAAAGTACTACCTCCAGGGAGAGAAATTTCGGCGATTAAACCGCTAATATCTAGCCGGCTGGCAGTACTGTCGAAAGCGCGCGCTCATGCCGAATCAAAGTACAATCTTGGATATGCTGTGCACCCGGAAGCAACTTTGGTATAATTATAGCTGGCCTCGAGACGACATCATGTTGCTAGACCTTGTTTCTGTTAAGGCAAAATCTCGTCTCACTTGACGGGTGAACCAGGTAGGGTCTTTTCGAAATTGCCTGGATTGGATCCTAAAAGGACAGGTTGAATTTCATCTAGTCTCGTGCTAACTCCGAGGGTAATCATGAGCAGCGTTAGTTATTTCTATTACCGTAATATTTACGAGCCCTTAAAAAAAAAAACAAAGTAACTTTACAGACAAAGCACAAAGCCCTATAATTTAAGAGGTAAAGTAAGTGTCAAATGGAAGATGAGCTTGTTCTGAGTGAGGCATGGGTTTCCAACCTTTGAGATTGTGTTGCGTGACAGGTAATCCTCTTCCCACCTGGACAACCTCATCCAGCACTGCGCCTCCACCAATGCTTAGCCATCTCACACTTGCCTAATGAGTGGACGGCTGGATTGTTAAGCTTTTTCTGAATTTACCCTGGGGGATATGACAGTGCAAAATGGTACGTGGCTTTGGCACATTGCCAGGGTCTAGGATTATCCGGATGAGACTACTGACGCACCACTAGCCCAAATTAACCAAAAGCGCTAAACAAGATTTGATTTTGACTCATCTCCGCGCCACTGGAACCTGTCACACGCTCAAGGATCTAGAGAAGACTCTACCCTCAATTGCATCCATCAATGGCATCCAGGTCAAGGAATACATTCAAGCTTTGACGGATGAGGGTAAACTCCGAGTCGAAAAGATCGGCAGTGGGAATTGGTACTGGAGTTTCGGTAGCGACGAAAAGCACGAGCGAGAGCGTCAGTTGGCCCGAGTGACTATGGAGGTGGAGAAAGCCCGGAAGTCCTACACCGATGCGGAAGCGGCATTGGCCGCTGAGACCATGCGCCGGGAAGAGGAGGCCGATGACGAAGATGAAAGGGAATCTCTCATGACCAAAAAGGCCCAGCTCCAGGTTGCAATTGATCGGGTACGGACTACAGAGGCCCAACTCTCCGGACCCCCCAATTCGCCCAGCAGTAAGGGTGTGAAGCAGGTCCAAGAGGAGTTAGCGGGGTTCCAACACCAGGCATTGCAGTGGACAGATAATATCTATACGCTAGAGGAGTATTTGCGCAAATTAACTGGTGGAGATCGACAAATCATTGAGAGTGTTTTGCGCGAATGTTATGGAGACGAATACGTGGACGGGGAGGGTCTTGGTGAACTAGGATAGGATAGAGATTTGAGGGAGAAAAGCTTAGGTTTGCTTAGCACATGGCAACCTTGGGGAAATTATGTGAAACATGAAACATGTCAAAAAAAAGAAAGGAAAAGAAATGAAATGATAATCATTGCCCAGAAAAAGGGGAAAACTAGCTGAGCCACCTGGGACACCAAGAGAAGCTTGACCGTGCAACACGCGAATAGGCCTACTGGTTTGTTCTCCGCCTCTCGGAGGCTTATCGCGAACTCGCGACTCTCTCTCTCTCTCTCTCTCCTCCTCCATCTCTCTTATTGTCTCCCTTTTTCTTTCCTCTCCTCTTCCCCTTCTCGGCTCTTCGACCATAAACACTTTGCCGGTGGCTCGTGCATTCTCGAGTCCCACATTCCTCCGGATCTCGCGCCATCTCCAGTTGCGCCTCTCACCCTCTCACCCCGATCCCCCGATCCCGTTCTAGACTCCCGACTACAGCATAGTATCCGGTGATACTGACCCATTGGCTCCTTTGAAGCCTGTCATTCCTCTTGACAATATCCACTTCCTTATCTTGCGACCTGACCTTGCGTCCCGATACGCTGCGAGTTCCTGGCGGGGGTACCGTTGAAATCCTGCCTCGCGCTTCGATGTCACTTGAAACAATGTGGTGCAGTGGCCCTCGATCATAATCCCCATTCCTTTCTTTGGACCAGGGGAATCTTTTGCGCGTGGATCAATATACATTCCTTAGAGGTTTGGAATAAGACCGTGTTCAGTGCATTGGTTCTAGACGCCAGACCCTTGGACAAGGCGATTGATCTACTTATTGTGTTGCTTGATTGGATTTCTTGACGCAGGCTGACTGCCTACTGGTCTGTCCAACCATCCCCCGCCATTCCGAGCTGCCCCAGAGAAATACCAGACCGGCGTGTTTATCCGATCGGTCACAAAGCGGTTGCAGTCTATCGTCCCCACCATCCCTCTCACCCCTGCCACGTTGTCGTGTATAGATGCAGTAAACATCGCCTGTGTGTCATGTCCGCCAACCCTCCCACCCAACCTACGTTGCCGGCCAGTCGGAATCGCAACTCTCTCCTCTCCAAGTTTCGCTCCCCACTCGGTCAAAGAAATCGAGGCATCACCGACTTCTATATCGATCCGGATGACCCATGGCGCTCCTACTTTCCCGGTGATGTCATCAAAGGTACCGTCGTTGTGACCGTTGTACGACCTGTTCGCATCACGCATATAGTCGTATGTCTCCATGGCTATGTCAAGGTGTTCAAAAATGCGATCCCGGCAGGAGAAGCAACCCCCGACTTGGGATTTTTAGGACCAGGGCGTGGCCGACGAGGTGCAGAATACTTGGGCAATGGGTTAGCAACCTTGTTTGAGGATGAAGTTGTGCTCTGTGGCGATGGACGCTTGAAGGAGGGTATCTACAAGTTTCGTTTTGAAATGGGACTACCTCCTTATGCGCTTCCCAGCAGCATCAATGTGCGTTTGCTGATGCGACCTCTCTTATTGAAAATACACTAATTCAATGGATACTTGCAGTTTGAACGTGGAATCATCGGCTACTCACTTACCTCTACCCTTACCCGACCGACCACCATGAACCCTACACTCACATGTCGAAGACGGGTCAATATCCTAGAAAACATCGACATCGCATCTTTCCCACCACCTAGGGCTCGTATAGTCACACTGGAACCTATCTCGAAGCGCTCAAAATCAAGAGGGAAAGCCAAGTCGACAAGTTCCGACGCAACCGCTGGGCCCGATACATCCTCGGTCGATACCCCTGTTAGTGGTGCAGCACCCTCCGTAGATACCAGGCCACCGCTGAGCCCCTCACCAAGCAATGTCAGCTCTTCCAGCCGGCCTAGCGAAAGCAGCCAAAGCTTTCGAATCACCAACGATCTTGGTTCATCAGCAAGCACGGGTGGACAAAATAGCGAGGGTCGCAGTGCGACCCCGTCTATCTCAGATAAAACTATCACCGCAAAGGCTGAGCTTCTGCGCGCCGGCGTGCTCCCCGGCGATACCCTACCCATCACAGTCACGATCAACCATAGTAAACAAGTGCGCAGTGCGCATGGAATTATGGTCACATTATACCGTCAAGGTCGCATCGATCTCCATCCTGCAATTCCCATTGGCACTACGGCAGCCGGAAAAAAGCCGGTATACGAAGACTGCTATCCGCGATCACGGACAGGACTTGGAGGACTTACCTTGGGAACCAGTCGGACAAGCAGCACTTTTCGCAAAGATTTGTCGCAGACATTTGCCCCGCTGATCATTGATCCAAATACCATGACTGCAATTGTAAAGACTTCTATCCGAATACCCGAAGATGCATTTCCCACTATTACGCGCGTACCGGGAGCCATGATCAACTTTCGATACTATGTGGAGGTCGTAACGGACCTCCGAGGTAAAATCACTTCACCCGATCGCTTCATCCCGCGTTTCAACATGGTCTCCGGTGGTACAACATTTTCGCCCAGCGGGCAGGTTCTCAATCCAACCGATTTGAGTGGCGTTACTGCCAACTGGGCCGGCAACATCTTGGACACCGATTCAATCCGCCGTGAAAAAGGGGTGATCTCAGTGGCCTTTGAAGTCGTGGTTGGGACGCGTGATTCCAAACGAAGGAAAACGACGAAACGTACATCATCTACTGCTGGTGACTCGACCGCGTCACAAACGGCAGCTCCTGCATCTGCAGTTCTAATTAACCCTGTTGATGGAGAGGAGTGGCCAGAAGCGAGCCCAATGCCTAATTCTCAAGAGGAACATGGGACCCAGGATGAATATTTCCCTGAAGAGACGGATTGGGCAGAGTACCCTGAAGAATACACCGATCATTTCCAGCCAATGGACTCTATGGTCGCGCCTCCAGAAGTCGAGGAGTCCGTTGATGAGAAAACGCGGGTACGACGTCATGAGGAAGCTCTCTTGCCTAGTCGACCGCCCGATGAAGATGAGGCAGGGCCATCTACAGTACCAATGGAAGTCCCGACCGCGCCGGTTTTACCAGATGATCACCATCTCCAAGACTACCAGCATGTACCTACACCAGACATCAGCGGGGCACCGCATGCTGTCCGCTCTGCCGAATCTCTGCAGACCGTTGTTCTGAACGGCGATGGGCCCAGCGAACTACGTGCATCAGGCGACGATAAACAAGAGCTTGAGCGTCACCGACTCCAAGAGCAGGCGAGCGCACCCCAAGACGAGCCCAATACTCAGGAGCCCAACGACGGGCCCAGTGCTCCAGTCTTTGATGAGGATGACCAACTGGTCGGCGGGACGGCGCATGCAGACGAGTCGTTGCCTCGATACCAGCGATGATGTTATGTACATTTGCATTTACGGGATGTTCTGGAAGATACCACTATTCGCATCGTTAATAAAAAGGCGCTAAAGGCGTTGAAATCTGTATCATATACACTTATTTATCAAAATCGATTTTCTCTCACTTGAAACCAACGAGTTTTCCAACGTTATCACAAATGCCTGGACCTCTCTCACCTCAGAAATCTTTAGATTTGTAAAAACGCCCTTATCTCACGCCCCGAAGGGCTTGGCACCCGCTTAGCGACACCTGGAGGACTTCAGCCTTGCCCCTGGTCATCTCCTTTCTCTTCAAAATAATCTCATCTGTCTTTCCAATTCTCACAATGGCCTTCAAAAGCGGGTCGTTCGCGACTTTCCTCATTGTCTGCCGTAAGTCGATCGCGTCGCGAACCTTCCCCGGACCCGGCGAAGAGGCCACGAGACTGTAACAAACTAACCCAATTTCTCCAACCAGCAACCTGTTTCTTCCTGGGCATTATCTTCTCCCTCTTCCCTTACGACTATCCCATCCTGTGGTCCACCGTGTCAACCCCCACCTCGCACTATGACTATCTCGAGGCGCATCTCCGCTTCTTGCACGCCTCGCCCCCGCTCATCCCACGCATCTTGCACATCGTAATCTTCCTCGGTCTAGCTGGTCTTCTCACCAAACTCTACAAGCCCTCTGAATCAAACATGCTCTTCGACGGCGCCTCCCTGGTCCTCTACATGTGCGGCGTGACAGTCTACATTGCCAACATCGTCAAGGGCCTGCGCCTCGCCTCTGCAGGCCAGTACGGTGCCGACCTGGGTACCACTGACGACGAGCACGAGCAGATCCTTGGTCGCGAGGACTCACTTAAGGTTCTTTCCGCTAGTAATACCATTCTCGCGCTTGTCCTGGTTGGAATTCTGGTTCTGCAGGCTGGACAGTGGTATGCGGAGCGCAAGGATCAGCAGGAGGATGAAATCGCTACTAGCAAGAAGAATGAGAAGGATACCAGCGATGCTACTGCCCCTGCTTCCGGTTCGTCGACCGCGACTGCTGGAAAGTCGGGTCGGCAGGGAAGTCAGCGTAAGAAGAGCAATTGATTCTAGTTGTTGATTGTTTCTTATAGCTTTCGTTCGTGTTTGCCTTGGGATGTGGGTACTAGGTGGTGGGGTGGTGCGCCTGATTACTTGCTTTGCTTGGTAGCCATTATTATGTCTAGTCGCCTACGCAGACGGGGTATCGCTGTCGCGAAGAAAATCATTGAAGATGCCTTTTTTTTCTTAAGCGTCGAGGGAGTTGTGAGATTTGACTTTGGTCTATGTACATATGCGATCCATAGATATGGTATGGTGCGTCCATACAAGAACAAGATGGTAGATGAAAATGCAGGAATATGGCCTGATATGCACCCGAGTATGGACAGAACAGAAAAGATAGATAAATGATCATAGATGTATGGAATGTGGACATATGGTATGGCACCGCAGAAGGGGAATCATTGCGCAGGTCGTGAAAGATGGTATGGTATCATTTCATGCATGAGAAATTCAAGTTCAACGGAACGAGAACGGGCTCCGAGGGAGATCGGGTGAGCGTGGGCTCAGCGCTTTGGCGAACAATTCTTCGCCGGAATCGTTGCTTGGAGTGCGCGTGATTACGCCCATAGATGCAAATCCGCCGTGGTCGCTCTTCTGCTGGGCTTCTTGCAGAGCCGAGGGTGGGAAGAATGCAACCGGCTTAAGAAATTCGGGGCCAGAGGGGTTGATGTGAGAGCTTGGAGTTGGGGTGGGATTGGTATCTGGAGTTGGCATGGAGTGGATGTGCCTATGCGCGACGTTACGGAATGAGCTGAACGAGGAGACAGCAACATCGGGAGATTGAGGCGAAAGAAGATGGGCGGTATTAGGAGTAAAACCTGGTTTTGATTAGCTTTGATTGTATCAAACATAGGAACAATTGGGACCAAGGATACATACCATCGTTCACGGCCAGGTCTCTTGAGCTTGTCTGTAATTTGAGTCCCTTGAGCTTGTCGCTCAGCTTCCTACCGCTGATAGGCGACACCGGTGTGGCCGGGTAAATGGATGATGAATTTGACGAGTCATGGCTACTGGCAACCGGGTCGACAGCTCGCGACCCAACTCCAAAGTTTTCCTCGATCCACTCCTTTTCCTGGATGGCCATGTGCAGAGCGATTCCTTCGATGTTGTTGCGAGTTTCCGCAGCAATCTCCGCTTCGAGCACCCGGAGGCGTTTCTTTGCCCATATGGTATGCAATACGCCCTTTTTCCCCGCTGCACGCCCAGTAGCCCCCAGCTCCGCGGGGAAGATAGCGGGTAGGGGATTGAGCCGGAGCGCATCCCGCGGCTTCGAAGGCGGAGAGTCGGCAAAATCAGTCGCGTTTGATGGGGTGGACCGCGGCTCATAGTAAAGCGTGACGACAGGCGGGATGGTGGTATTGGGCGGAAGCAAGAAGTAGAAACGGCGTAAGCTATCACTAGGTCGTTCATCTGCGGGGAGTATGGAAGTCTTTCCGGCCCAAGACACATTCCACGATCCGTCGGTCGAGGATCGAGTGAGATCATCATCTTCCCACTCAATCATTAGGATCTTGGTGCCATCATTCCCTTTACCCGCCTCGAACTCAAACCGGGCTAACGCAATTATTGACAGGCTTCCACCCTCTGGGCCACAAGGGGTCTCGGCCTCAGCAAAGCTGTCTGGTGTGAAAGTGGGGGCCGCTTGAGCCATAGCTGTGGGCAAGGCTGGAGAGAGATACCGTACTTTCTGGGATTGGAACTCGGTTGATTCGGGGTTTGCCTAGGGTGACGCACGGCTCAAGGGGTATGGGAAGACAAGAGATAGAGTAACAGTCTGAGTGGGAGGGAAGTGAATCCGCACCTGAATGAGGGACAAATGACTTTAGGCGGGCCGATCACGGGATTTTGGAAACCTCTCTGTGCCCTTCATTTTCCTTTGCCTGCCCGCTTTGCATGGAATACCTAACCGATCTAGACAGGGGGCTTTTCCTCTATTGTCATTCGCTGGTTTGTTACATGGGCATGTTACAGGACTCTATCGCTGGCTTTGTTCCCCCACCTCTAAATTTAGAAGCAAATTAGCTTCACAGTGAGTAACAACTATCTTTTTTGATGAACATCTTCCATCGGGGGCACCCACCTTTTATGTCAATAACAATGGATCATGACCTTGGAAATCCCTCAGAGGTGATATCAGGAATAGACAAAAATAGAACATGGAGGCCCGAGGGCGCATGGTCGAGGCGAGTGTGATAGACCCCGCACTCATGCATAGAGAATGGATGCATTCTATTTATATCCATCACCAATCGAAGGCTTTGGTTCAAGATCCATGTAGCAACTTGGAATATAACCATAGTCATATCTTTAGCCTCAAAGTATCAATAGCGAACCATACTATATACAAGATAGTTGTAGCATATGAAACGTCTGAAGAGATAAATTGTTAGCGTTGTACTAGCCATAAGCAAATGAAACAATATCGGAAGAGGAAGAAAGAATTGCGTTATACCTACTGTGTGGTTAAAGTGAACGGCAAGTTGATAAGAGCCGATAGACTACGTATCAATCTAGGGTTGTATCACCAAATTGCAGCCCGTCCTGATTTCAGTGTAGACAAGCATGCATGCTATCGATAGCGATTCTCCTGATTTAGATTCTTTATTCCATAAAGGGTAGCCATCCGAGTCAACAAAGGTATGGGTATCATACTGTATGATACAGAACAACACAGAACGGCTTTCAATTGGGAGAGATACGCACCAAGAGTGTGTTAGAAGAGGAGAAACTTCAAAAATAGACATTTTTGGACAGGATAGATCTGACATTGCAGTTCCGTCACGAAGTTCTCGCATCGGACACCTGTGAATTGATCGTTTGGTTCCACAGGCTATGGAATCGGCGGCAACATAGCCTGCCCGTTGAGGGAATAAGGCACTAGTTAAAGTGAACATGCATCCTATTCATAGCTCAACGCTGCAACTGGTCGGCTTAACAAGAGTGATGGGATAGATCGCCGCCCGAGACGCAGGTCCTGTAGTATAGGGCAGAAGATGTGCAATCATGAACCCCTCATTGCTAAGTTTAGCAACTTCAGCTCCCGCGAAGCGGAGACGAGAGGGATCGGACTTGACAAGTCTTCCTAGACCAATGACAGAGAGAAATTGTTGAACCGGAGGTGCAGATATCATGCGTTTCAGACGTTCCGTGGCTTCGCCATCGAGCCTATTGAGTCCTGTAACAGGGTTGCGCTAGCTGATGAGGGCAAAACTTTTCTTCCCCTCGAAGAAAAGTACCATTATAGCTTCATGGAGTTCTATTCTTGGAAGGGTGGACCTTTGTCCTGACCACCCATGATTAAGATAGGGGCTCACCTATGGGTATTCTTTCAATAGAAAGGTGTACACAGGGGTGTAGCGCTCTTCACCGGTGGATTTTCAAGCTGATCTTGCCAGATCTGAAACGATTGGCGCAAACGATGGTCCGAGAAGTTACGAAAAGTCTAGGATTGATCAGTTTTTGCCGGTATCATGGGCTAAAAAAGCAATGTGTAATAGAACAGTAATGATGATGTGATATAGTGACCGGAATAAGAAGAGAGGAAATTTGCATCCAGTCAAACTGTAAGTCCTTTGCTATTTTCCCTGGGCTCGAAATGATGTTATAGTTGGATATATACTGACTATATTGTTTACACTCTCTCCCTATGTGATATATCTAAATTGGATGAATGGTCCAAAAATAGCCTTTCGGGATTGAGCTAAAACTCAATCCTGCCATAGGGTAAAATTAGAACATTAGCTTGGCACACAGTGGTGTTCGATCATGTATGCCTGAGGTTTTAATGTACACATGTACTCCGTACTTCCAAGGAAATTAGTCAATTGACCCACAGATAGCCACAGCGGCAAATTTCCCGTTATCATTGGCCGGGATTTCCCCCTATCCTTGACATCCATGGATGCAGCCCAAGTTTGGACGTCTAATAAAAGAGTCTTCACCCTACTGTCAGTACAAGGGTACTGCATGGTGGCACACCGAATTTTGCCCCGAGATCAGCATTATCAATCTCACTGTCGCTAAAGAAAGAAGCCCACCAAATAATCAGGCTACGGAAATCTAACGTCGGTGTGGCCGTACAATTCCTTGTCCTAGTTTAATGCTAACCCAGTAATGCTAAGTCGAGCCCCTCTTGACATGTGATATATATGTATACTCCGTAGGGGGCCTATGATGGGAAGGATCTCTTGCCACGTTACACCAAACAAAGTTGTCCATATTCCTTGGAAGGTAGGTCAACATTCACACTACGATGGGCCCGAGAGGCTTGTGGGGCCAACCATAGTCGATAGCGGGGCTTGACGGGCCACAACCCGCCAAAATGGATCCACTAATACGAATAAAGGATAGCGTGGGCGCTTAAAGATTGCAGCGATTCATATTACCAAAAGGCCCATACATGGGACAGTGCGCAAGCCTTTGAAGAAGAATGATTCAAATGCTTTCCTATGCACTCCCAATGGTCAGTTATAACTGAGCGCATCACTTACTCTAAAGTGATGGGAAAGGGGGACAGCTTCCAAGGTTTGTGACTGAATCTTAATCCTAATATTCATGTGATAAGCTCTGCGTAAATGTACCTGTATTTATTGGTAACCAAGTAACAATTTTGAGCAACACTTGAACCGAGCGTAGGCCGGGGGCCATACTTATTGAACTGATTGAGTCACTAGATGTAAACAAAATTAGAACTAGTTTCTCTGTTTCTGTACGAATTGGGTCTATTTGATTGAGTTAGAGTGAATATATGAAATTGAAATTGTATAGAAATCATTTCAGATTTGGGGTATACTTCCGTATTTTTGGGCCCGCTCTGTCGGATACGAGGTATCCTGGAATACCATACGGAGTACGGAGTAGAGGGGCAACGATACAAGATACAAAAAAGCAAACGCGTAGGCAGTCTCTTTTCTTTCACATAAAGCGGGGAATATGAGATGATCTGATCACATAAAATATACCAAACTACAACATACAAAATGCTTGCCGATCTATCTGGGATAGGGTTTAAGAAAAGAATTGCTACGTACCATCATGATACACAGAAAATAGTCTATGTATCTAGGGGTTGTAACCAACATGGTCTGGCAGTCATACACATACGAAATGTGTACTAGTAGTTTTTGAATGAGGCTGCTATACTGTAATGCGTACATTCAGGAATACACTAACACATCTGCCTAGACAGCTATGCTCTAAATGCCAAAACGAATTACTAGTGCTATCAGACGCTATTGACTGGTGATTATGCGCTCAGTATCGATGCATCTACAATCCTGCGAGTCAGTTCCTAGTAATCGATCTGTTGGCGAGTTTGAATTGTATGTTGTGTGGTACAAGGCAGACAGTAGCGCGCCCGGGCTGATTCGTGACAATGAAACTAATCACTTGGCGCTCTCAGCCTCAACAGATAAAGGTTCCAATAAAGATTATACAGACCACTAGGGATGCTAGTAAATGTTGAAGTCAAGTCTTGAGATGGTAGGGGGCTGCTCAATGACATTTTGGATGTGTCTTAAACAACTTTGGTGGCGCCAGGATCTGGCGCCAGGTTCCTAAAGGACTGTCTACGAATCCCATGAAGGTCCACAGCAATAGCATATATCTATCGATATATCTTGAAATATTAATTTGTACTGGATCTTGGCTTACATATTAGGATCCTACCTCCCAGCAAACCTATAACTCCATCTACCTTAGGGCGAACAGGCTTGCCAAAGAAGGCGACTTAGAGATATTGATAATCCAGATGGCTAAAAATCACGGGTTATAAAACAGCCTATGCTTTGAACAATAACAAAAAAATCTCCGATACAGGGAACATATCAGAGATCTATCGTCCAGACCAGCGTGTAAGCCGGCATAGCGCTAGTGAGCATGTTCCCTGCCCCCCGCAGTTTTTGGATGTTTTGTTGGTTTTTCCCACATTGTCATTAGCTACCGTTGAATGCACTCAACACGTGGAGATGGCCAGTAATCAGCCATAGTGAGATACGGGCGATAGATCACCCCATGATAGGACAGACTCGAGCAGGGTATTCTCCGCCCTACAGGAAGCCCCGAGGCCTCGACCCAAATTAAGCCCACGGAAAAATGAGGCTCACACCAAGCTTCACGGACCTTCGTACAATACAAAAGTACTGTGCTTAGGAATGATTCGACTTTTGAGGCGGAGTGCTATCAGGAAGATAGTGTATATCTCTTCATACATAATACGTCACCGTGTATGATCATATATCGCATTTAATGAATTTGCGAAAAGATTTGAAGAAAAGAAGTAGTAAAACATGAATGCAGATCGATTCGCCGTAAATGCTATGAGATTGATCTGGTGACCAATTTTGATGCCTAATATAGAAGAGCCAAGACAAAACAGAGCCCAAGTCGTGCTCCCTCAAACTGCGAGTGACAGACAGTACAGGATATGATTTCCAACTTGAGCATTCGTTTCCTAGACAAAGGTTTGTGATTTCGCCCACACAAACAAGAACGCCATAACTGCAAATTTAACAACCCAACGCCATGTCCCCGATTCCCCCGTGTCTCCGGCGCTTGTAAGACATCCACTTTCACAATATAACATATAAACGAAAAAAGCAAAGCCGAACCATCAAGGGTCAGCTCATATGTTTCACCATTAGGCAATAATGTCCGACGTGGCTTTCGGAACCCAATGAGATTTCATAAAGAGTCCCATCTCCAAAAGGCGCATCGTAAATTGCACATATAATCATAATTCAAGATAAAACACCACACATCAGGAATGGAGAGAAAGATACCAGCTCAAATATCTCGACATTCTTGAGTCTTGCGTCTCTTTCCCTTTGGCGGAGGATCGAGTGGGGTACGCTTGTAGGTAATCGTGCGGGTCACAACTTGTCTGACACTAACTGCCTTTGTGGTTGCACTTCTTGGTGCCTCAAGGTACCGGAGCTTCCAATCTGACGCGGAAAATGGCGATCGAAGACTGGTTGCACTGCGAGGAAGTGCACTCCATTGTGACGCACTATAAGGACTCGCGCTGTACGGAGTGGCACTGCACGGGGTAGAAGTTCGCGGGGAGTCTTTTGAAGAAAATGTCTTGAGAGACTGGGGAATGCGTAGTCTTCGTAGCGCAGGTGGAGCTTTGGCTGACTTCAAAGTGCGAGGAGAGGGTGGCGGGAGGGAGATGGCTGGCGTGGCGGGCGACTTGACGGAAGTCCGAACGGAGAGTGCGGGACTTGTTGCAGTTGATGACTGTGAAATTGGCGACGGGTCGCTGCCTTCCATTGAGAATTTTGGAAAGCCTCCAGCACTCACCGGACTTGTGAAGACCGGTGTGAGTGCATTGAGGAAATCAGTATATGCCAGTGGGGGTGTGATAGGTGTTGCGCTTCCATCTTCGCGTTTGATGTCATCGACGGTGAGGGTCTCAGAATCTTTGTGTATTTCTGAAGGGAATATGAAGGTTTTTGGTGTCTTCAACGGATGCAAATCGGGCTTTGCGGCTGGCATCTTGATCAATAGAGTGTTTCCAGGTCGGAAGAAAAAAAGCGCAAAAAAGTGTGGTGTAAGCTGCTTCACTTGAGAAGGATGTACTAGTGATGCAAGGACAGGGCGCGACCGGGTCGCTCGCGTCTTGATCAAAGTAAAGCGACAAGACGTCTAAGTATGAATAGAGACGAAGGTCAGGATGATGATCAAGAAAGCAGAGTCAAAGAGGAGATTAAATCAGTCTTACCAAGAAGCAAAGACTCAGGAGGGCCGAGGAGATCTTTTTCTATGAGACACGCAAGGTGGACGGTATTGTACAGAACCGTAACAGCTGTACCGTACTAGACGGTATCAGTCAATACACCTGTGATCGACTAAGTCAAAACGGGTTAGCGTGGCCAATTCGCATATTTGGCCCGAAGGACTCACCAGGCCTGCTGTCGGAACTTTAACAAACTAAAGGGGGCTGAGTAGAACGACAGGATTCGCCCCCAGCTGAACTGCAAGCCTCAACGATGGTTGGATTTGGATGAAGTATTTATAAAAGTGGCCAGCACTAGAAGTATAAAACGAAAGAAAGAATGCAATGTGAAAGATGACTCCAAAAAGACAATTGAAAGAAAAGAAGGATAGATGGTTGAAATCAACTAGGAGGACTGCTCAGGTCCCATTATATACACCATCATTCCCAAATAATAACCGCTTCCATAATCAAAAAGCCTTGGAATAAAACAGTGGCCGCATTGTCGCGCGCCTCCTGAATCAAGAGCGGTCGCCTTCTCCTGCTCCTAAAATATCCTCCACGCGACTGAGGCGTTGACCGGCGGCTTGGTTTCTTCAGCAACCGTGTACTTGCGGTACATTGCCCCCACCTGGCCCGCTACTATGTGAGCGCGCGGCATTTACGACATGGGCGGCTCCATGCTGTACAGTTAATCGGAACTTTGAGGTACGTATAATTGGTGGCGGGCTTCTCAAGTCAACCCGGGGTACAGGAGCAATCCCCAAGGGAAACACATGAAGTGTTTCATCAATCGCCGGGACCAGTAGCTTCAATAATTCTCCAATCACATTATCTCTGGACCAGCGGTTAGTCTGCAGACACCAGTTCTGCAGGATCTTGTTTACACTAAGCTCCTGATGCGACCCTTAGAAGGATTATCGCACATCATCCAAGATTTGGCTCTTCAGGTGTTTCATGCCAACTAGAGATTGCTGCAGGACATAAGCCTTGTTTCATGATATAGATCTCGGCTTGGATAGAATGGTATGTACTAAAGGAGCATCTATTTCGAAATTTCTATGGCCCTGATTCAACAGCGGGAAGCTATGTTTGATTCTTTACCACCAACTGACCTTAGTCCAAGGCTCCTCTGCGGTCGAAGATAAAACTACCAGCGAGCACCTTTCATATCATGAAACGGGACTACACTGGTAACGTAGGAGCGGTTGGATCGACTCGGTGCCATGCTGTCTGTTGGGGCCCGGGCGGTTGCTCTTGAACAATGTTAGGCTGAAATTGTGCATGTGATATCTGATCTCTGCGCCCACAGAGGAAATGATGAAGCACAAAGGCACCTCTTCATCCGAGCCAGGAGAGAGAGAGAGAGAGAGCCAACGCTACCTATCAAGGAATTGCACGTGTCTACGCAGATTGGACACACTCGAGAAAGAGCCACAACTTCTCAAGGAAAATTTCGACTGAAAATTATTTCATTCTGAATATGTGAATAATTGAGAAGGTTGAAAGGAATGATTGGAAGTTTATCGAGTCCTAATACCTTTTGAAATTTAAAACGGTTGGGAATCGAAACAGAGAAGATCAGAGATCACGAAAAAAATGTATGTTTGATTCAATCCAGCTTGAACTCAAGGCAAAGTCACAAAAACGTAAAGAAAGCCAGGGGATATAATATATTGCGAATTTCCAAGCGCCCAAAAATAAAATCAAAAACAATCATGCTTTGCCATGCATGCCCAACTATGTAGCATAATTGAAATCCCGATTGTTCTACTCTTAGATACATGATAGAGCCCAGGGGGTATCATTGGATGAGTTCAACGCTTTGGCTCGAACCAGATAGACCATAGAGATTGCAACTGGTTCTTGCAATATGTTTAAATCAGAAGATAACGCCAACCGTTTCGGTTCATGACATCTCGCCAGTGAACCTGTTGCCTCTTGATTTCTCGCGTTCCACGTGGCGAGAGAGGAACAGACTGCCCAGCATCCTGCCTCATCTCCGATGATTGAAATCCTGACTCAGGTTCGCTTTCCCCCGAAGGGAAGAACGGACCGACAGGATCATCGGTCAACCGCCAGTATTCGTTCAGTAACTGGTACATGCGGCCAATACTTCCCAAGTCAGCAAGATCACCCAACGCAGCCACTCGATCATTCAAGAGCTGACGGAATGGACTGGAGGGAATCGAGAAGGCACCGGCGATGAGAAGTGGCCATACAAGAGAACGATCGAAGCCGAAAGGTCCCAATGGAACATAAGACATAGCATCTGTCAGTGCATTGACAAGATTAATTGTGCTGGCCTGATTGCGATCAGCTCCAGGAATGAGGCTGCAAAGGTAAATACGGGCAGCAATCCGGAAGATGGCAGTCATCGTTTTTGTCAATGCATCGGGGCGAATTGCTCCGGTCCCCGGTGAGTACGGGCTCGTCAGAGTTGTGTCCGCATCCTCGGTATATTCCAACTGACTGCCCAAAGCGGAGACGTGTGTGCAAACAGCGATAGAGTCAATGCGTCCCTCCATTTTGAGTGATTCTAGACAAGCAACCTCGGAGATGAGGTACATGATACGGTCATCGCATCCCATGAGTTCCCGGAGACCAGAAGATGTCCCACTTAGGTGCTTGGCGCGATAAGAGTGAGCAAACTGGGGTGTTTTGCCAAGCATTGTGGCACCCAGAATGTCAATCCAGGAAGTTAAAGACATGCTAAAGGGGGGCATTGTGTGCATCGGACCACATGAAATTAACTGGTTGGTTAAATCCAATTTGCTGACCAGGTTCGACGCAGCTTGGAAATGGTCGTTCCAGGGGATATCAGGGAGATAATCATCGGGCGCGCCAACCGAGCAATGAAAGAAGATCATGGCAAGAGTGGCATCCAGGATATGCTCATGATCGGCGTCCTTATTCAGTGCTTTGCACAATTCGGAGATGGCTTCGTAGCGATGACGCATGATATCGTGGTCGATCTGTTCACCATGTAATCGACTTGTTGTTTTGAGGTGGATTGCGGCGACACTAAGACAACAATGGAAGTAGGACTTGTTTGTCTCCAAAGACTGAAGAACAGACCGAGCCCGGGCAGAACCGCGCTGATGAACTTCAAGGATTGGAAATATCATACGCAAGACATTGTCCACAAAATGATCCAGAAGCGGCCGGTCATAGTCATTGACGGGGATATTGGCTTGTAGGGAGGCCTGAGATTGTCCAACACCTGGATTACCCAGTACTGTATTTGACTGTGAGAATTGACGAGAAGAGTCAAAATATTCGTCTTGAAACCACTCATCTGACTGGAAAGTAGGAAGTGTGGTGTGAAGTTGTGGCGGGCCCATCGCATTGAAGGTTGAGACTGAAGAGTCATGTCGCAGAGGCACATCGTTCACAAATGTTTGGCGTTCAGTCTTGACATCAACCTCATAGGGATAATGCTGAGTATAAGATATTGGTCCAAATCCAGGGTTTGTAAAGTGCGCCGCGATATTGGTATCATATCGTTCAGTATAGATAGGGCGACTGAACTCGTCTCCAGAATTCGGCGACGAGAGGATGCGGTTCATATGCTCTGGAGAAGGAATTAGAAATCAACCGGTAAACATTGAAACAAGAAATAGTTAGGTTGACTCACCTTGAAGAGACCCGCTTCGTTCCAATGACTTGGTCTGCTTTATCTTAAGTTTGATCCGTTCCTTTTGTTGTCTTCTTTGCTCTGCATTGGTCCACCACACAGGTCGTTTATATTCACATTTGATGCAGAGATTTGCACAGGCTTTGCAAGCGGGATGACCCTCATCACACTTTTTTCTTCGTAGGCGACAGGTGAAGCAACCTATGTAAGTTGTCGATGTTAATAACCTGAACGCAGCCCATAATAAAGTGTGGATTTTCATACCAGAGCGAGATCTTTTGTGCAGTCGTCCCGACTTGTCCGTTTGCCCATTGGAAGACATATCCGCAGAAGGAGACTTCGTGTTTGCCGAAGCGACACGGGAGGTATTTGAGGCTGGCATTTTCGCAATATTATTCTCAATATCCAGTATTGATGACAAGAACAGGTCAATCAATGACGAAAGCGATCGAAATAGTTAGAGGCGGGGTGGGCGGCACGGCCGGAGAAGGAATAATATAGTTGATGAGGAGGACCAGCCACCTTATTCGTAACTAACAGAAGTTGCAATGGGAAAAGCTGAACCGGCAGCTTATACAATGTATTAAGGGTATAATATAATGGAAGATGGAAAGGAAAGTTGAAAAACAAACTGATTCGAGGCGGGTTGAAAGGATATATTTTATCTTGAGATCTCGGATGCGGCGAGTTATAAGTCTGAGCTACGATCAGCAGCCCTGGCATGCATGCTTCTAATTTTGTTGGAAGCGGTCGAGGAGCCTAGTTCGAGCCGGAAGAATATGCGAACATCGGGTGGGGATTACAGCCCCAGCGGCAAATCAATTTCGAGGGACGGGTTGTTGGCTGGGTCCTTAGACTAAATTTGGGACAAGACAAGGGTGCAAGCACGAGAATTGACGGACGACAGGTATCCAGGGCCGATCCTCTCAAGCGGCGCCTGCAGCTAACAGATAATGATCTCTGGTAGGACGACCGGGCCCGCCATGATGCACGAGAGTTGCAGTGGACCTGAGAATCATCCCTGCTAGTGCCCAACTCTTTCGGGGTAATCACCAACTCTCAAGCACCTCACTGACCACCCAGTGCAACTCTGGGCATGGTGTATCCCGACGCTGATAGGCCCTTCACCGAGAACTCATTCCATTTTTGCTTTTTTGACGTCCAGACTTTCAACCAGTCAAACTTCTATATTTGGCTAATGAAAATCTAAAGATGATTCCAATTCTACAACGTATAAACATTGATAAGGCACATCACAATTAACCAACAAGATCTGAGAATAGTAGCCGCGGGCTAGATTATCTTGATGCTGGTGAGAAGCGGGGTTGTTGGTTTGTTGGAATTAACAAGAAAAAAGAATCGACATCGCCAAAATGATAGGTGACCAGCTCATCTTTGCGAGTCAGGCAATTTCCACACAAAATCCCAAATTGGTGGGAATACTCGAATAGTATTGGTTGAAAAGTGAATGGTTGGTGAAAACCATGCAGATTTAGACTGTGATGAAGAAGCAGCTCTTGCATGCCAAGCTTCTATATTCAGCTCCCTATTGGCTGTTCCACCATAAGCCCTAAGGCCAACTAAATTTTAGTGTCATCGGTGTTGTGCAGAACGGTGGACTCATAGCCAACCGTGGGGCCGGGCCGGGCAGTGACTGGGGACGCTAATGCGCCAACCTCGACGCTCGGACTGTGATAAGGGTACATCAAGCAAAGAGCGCCTTAATTAGCAACATTTAAGCGCCATAATTTAGGCTAATTATACTGTTCTTGAAAATGGGACAGCATATGATATCCTATTTCTGATAGACCAGATGAGTGAATTACCCCCTAAAGTTCTATTAATACTTAGATGCGGCATTATTAGGGGAAACTATAGACTATCTGTCCCATAATTAGTATCAATTCGAGCGGGGTAATCAGAGCAATATGCAGTCTGAATCCTTCAATATCCTCATTGATCCGGATACTACTCTGTATCTCACTACGATCTATCTATACGACTTCCGAATCAGAAAAGATCTACTTCTTCCTCCGTCCCAATGATGATTTTGACTAAATTTACTCTTCTAAATTTGGAATGAATAGGGTTAACCATGATTCTTTGTGTGCTTAATTTAGACACATGTAGTAATAATGGGAAAAGACAAGCCGTGACCTACGCGACAATTGATTAAATATAGCTCATAAAATGAAGCCTATTTATGACAATATTGGTTCAGTCAGCTCCCTTCGGCCGAAACTAGCATATTGGTACCACAGCCAATATTCAATTGCCATTTTGATTGCGGCCATGTGTCACCCTTTAGTTACCTGGAGTCAATGCTATCGGTGTTGATCATGTCTGCAGGTACCCGACAACCAAGTCAGGTCATCTAAGAGGATATTTGAAAAGGAACTTTAGGAACAAAAGCAACCTTGGGATGTGAGCTGGTTGTTTGAGTCATTGCCTACATTTCGATTCGATTTCAAGGTTGATGTGTTACATGTCTAAATTATTGTGGTGTGTATACACAGCAACATCAACTTTCACGTGAAAAATTCTAAGACTAATCACAAACCTTGACATAGGGGACTTCGTAGGAACAAGGTAGAACATTATATGTTGCCGGGGTAATGATAATTAGCAGGAAGTAGTATTTTTGAACACCCAAAAGTAATATAAATGTACGGATATGGACCAAGAGAAGTTTGATGACTACTTACGCAAGGTATGGACGGACCTGCTGGGGGGGGCATTGATGCGGGCCAAAAGTGTCACATGGCCATAAATGACCTGTTCCACGGGCACGTGTACGATGGGAACGAGGATGTCAATTCTCACGAGCCGAAGTCAACGATCGAAGATAAAATTGATTAATATACCCCGTAATCGAGATAGAATAAAATGAATTATATAAGGCGCACTATGTAGATACAGTTTGCATGATACAAGATAGAAGCATCTCTGGGATGCTTACGACCAAACCCACTAACCCAACTAAGAACGACTCTACGGGCAAAAGATTCTTATAATATAGATTGGAGAGAAGCATTAGAGATCATGGAGTACTCGTGGCTAGAGTGAAGTGCATACCCGTATTACACATCACCTAGCATGAATTGTTACCAAGAATTTTGCACTCTGATTTGCATTCCAGCTGCATAGTCCCCCGAGAAGCGGAAATTTGCGATCCGCAGAAGTAATATCAAAGTGCGGTCAGTGCTATGGGGTAGAAGGAGCGTATATTTCATATTGATCGAGTACATTTCTCACCAACGCCACTCAACCCATCTGCAGAGTGAGGAGTAAGGGGATTCTCAAATACAACTGAACGTTCCCACCGAATAGTTGTTGCATTATTATCACAGGTTAGATATTGGAAGGATGTAATTGTTCAGGATATCCCATGTTGCTGACCGAATAAATTTATACCAAGGCCTCACAGGACTACATCTCGGCAATAACCCTTTAAAGGGAGTTATAGCTGGATACAATCGACCTCAGCACGGAATAATCGTTTACCGAAACCCTGGTATGCAGGAATACGCGGTGTGATTTAGTATGGCTTTAATGGACTGTTATATGAGCTCCATATTGAACTACAATGTTGCAGAGAGTGATCTTTACCAGGTACTAGCGACCCCAGGTACCTGGAAATTAATATGATTATCTATTCCCATCCAAGGCCAACGACAGATGAGCTATACTTCTGCAGTTACTTCGTACTATAAATCTCATGGACCATGACGCACTGTACCCGAAAAATTTCAGTTGGTATACAGAGCTCAAGTCACACAATATGTGATGTCAATCTTGACATACACCTAGCCAAAATTTGCCTTTCATTTTCTACGTCGGTGAGAAAGAAATTAATACTATTCAAAACAACCTTGCATCAAAGATCAAGAAATCTATTGGCCGCTTGGATTGTAAATAATACTTACCAATCGCTTCGGGAACACAGTCCGAAAAAAAACCGGACCTGTAGTGTGATGGGCGGATGAGTACTTGCGGGTGATTATTGTGACTGCACTGTGTGACGGTTTCCTCGAATGGAAAGGCCCCAAGCTATATCCCTGATTGGGCAAAAATCCTAGTTAAATATACCTGCGGAGTGAAGAAAACTAATTTAAGAACATACGCTTGTATCCTTTAGATGTTGTCTTCAATCAATTTGACCAGGTTTTGGTCTCCAAACAAAAATAAGAACAGGCGGGCATGGCGACAACCCTGTGACCATAGACTTTAGGTATTCTGGCCCCAAGCCCCTAAAATGTGGAGGAAATGCCACTGATTTATAGAATTTAATCCGAAACCCTTCTACGCGCCGGGAAACATTTTAAGGGATTCCTAGCCCGTAAAAGTTTTGCCAAGAATATCATCACAGCAGTAGCGCTGTGATGAGGCAGCCTCTCACAGACCGCTATCACCCGCTTTTCCCAACCCCTCATGCAGGTTCAATGCGGACTAGATTGCACGTCCAACGAGCGTAAGAAACAGCTAGACCTACCGCATGAATTCCCGTCTTTGGACACTATCTCCTAAGCTAGTGTCCCAGGTTAGGTTGTTGGCCACCTAGATGCATCATGGGCGCCTCGCGGTGCTTACCGCTGAGCCATGTCCCCAGTCACTGCCTGAGCTGCAGCTGTCATTCGCTTGATTTATAAAATCATCCGAAACCCTTGGTGCTGAGAATTCTTACTGGTGGCCCACAGACGAACGGGTAACAACTCCCAGGTGATAATCTGGTACATAAACTCACCCAACACCCAATTTACTCATCTTTGACCTTGTTACTCCGCACCCATTATTATTTTATCCTAGCGTGATAAATACTTGGCCCCACATATACTAACATAAGCCGCCTAGTCCTACCAAGTCCTTTGGGTTGGTTATCCCCCTGTTGGCCTTTTCACTTCCAACTCTACTGGCGATACTCCAACTAGATTGGCCTCTGATATGACAATATGGTTAGTTGTTGGATTTTCCAATGAGACCCCTCAAATGTCTAATGTCGAGCATAGGAGGCCCAATATGCATATGACATGAGGTACATAGTGAACCGAAAAGAGGAATCTTTGCCACTTTTCCCGCCTAAGACTGCAATCTATCGGCCGTATTCGGAGGTTACAGAGATTTTTGAGGATGGATACCGTGGCTACTCAGATAACTCACCCATGAGAAGTGTGGCTTCTGTGAGTAACATGCATCAAATCCCTTGGAATATACCGTGAACATTCATACTGATAGGTTCTTCTTTAGTTTGGAACTGAAAACACTGGGAGCATATCCACCGCCTCGACCCCAGACAATGTCACAACTCCTGACTCGACTGGACTGACAGCTTTTGATTTTCATATTGATGAAAACGATACCATGGGCCCAAGTGGTCCACATTTGTTCTGGTCATTGAGAGACTCTGACCAGAACTCTATCATCGACGCAGATCCAATGGTCGAACAAACTCCTATTGGTACAACGGGCCCTTATCATCACAAAGCCTCGAAGTTTGATCCTTTCCGAAGGGACACACCCGTCCCGAATCGCTCAAACCCAACTCCCGAGCCCCATCATTTCCAGAACCACACACCGTTTGCTATGCAGACCGTCCAATCTGGCCAGATGACTATGCCTCAGGATTGGACACCTTTAGAGGTTGTCGAATGGATGCAAAGCCTTGGTCTTGAAGATGATATCGTGAATACATTTTTGGCCAATGACATCTCTGGCTCTATTTTGTTGGAACTTCAAAACGAAGACCTCAAGGAGCTTGAGATTGCGTCTTTTGGCAAGCGACGCAAAGTGATGGGTTACATCAAGAACCTTAGAGGTAGCAGCATGTTCATAGACACAGACACGTCTTCGCGCACAGACACTACATCTTCACGCACAGACACTGCATCTTCACGCACAGGTACTGCATCTTCGCATACATACACTACCTCTCTACGCTCGCGCAACTCAAGCATCACAAGCGATATGGCGTCTACTCGAAACACATCAGTGATGTCAGGCAACACCTACAGATCCTGCTACACTACCGACGAAGAATCGAATAATGGGATACCTTGGGCTCGCCGCCAGAACTATGATAATGATGCCTACAAGAGAACCGACCTTGTTCCTGATGATTCTGTCTCTATTGTTGCGATTGAGCAGGTTCTGCCCAAGCCACACAAGTGCAAAAAGGGAGAAGATTGCCACAAATGGCAGAAGCAACAAGATATGCTGGCCCGGCTCGCTGACGACCTGCCATTTGAACATTTTGGCTCTCGTCGTATTGTCGCAGGGGACCCTGGAAACCCGAAGACAGCCCCCAACCTTCTCAAGTCTCCCAAGTCAGAGTTTACCCCATCGCTAACCGCATCCTCTGATATAATGGGACCCGGTAGACTCTCTGCCTTCCAACTTTCCCAGGAAAAGCTGAGAGAGGTCAAACCTAGGGATCCACAGGAGAACGTCAGAAACTTCCTGAACTTCCAGAGTCTCGACCGATTACAGACAGAAGATCAGCCTGCAACTCCCCCGAGAGAATTTGCCCCGTTCTCCGAATCAGAGCCTTGTGATTCAGCAAAGATTACACCTACACTCAGTGAACATCTTCGACACTTGCCCAGGCTCAGAATCCCCAGCATGCACGATTCCAGTGACGGGTCTGTGTTCACCGAGTCTCTCTTCACTACTGAAAATACATCAGCCATACGCACTGTCACCCCTTCTATCCTGTCCAGAAGGAATCAATTCGACGACCGGACCGCTGTCCCTGACGGACAAGATCTCATCGCCCGTGAGGTAGCACCCTCCCCAGCAGACTATTACCGAGTCGATCCTTACTATCGGTCGGAAAGCCCACTTTCTGATGTGGATGCCCCAGTCACTGCAGTTCCAATCGGACCAGTGTCACGAGAGGACTCACAATCAGTGCCTCCAAACATGCGCTTCGGCAACGGCAGAGATGTGGTCGAAGAGCCAATTGCTCGGCCATCCTCAACCATGGTAGAAAGCCATCGGAGATTCCCTTCTGTTCAAGGTGTCACCACTTTGAACCCACTCAAAGAAGACTATGCCATGAGTCCAATTGAAACCCCGGACGACCTACAAAGAACACCCCGTGCACCTCAATTCCGCAATAACACATTGTTCCCTTCTACCAGACGTGGGCAAGACGAGATTACTCACAGTGGGTGGATGAAGAAGCGCAAAACTACCAAATTACTGTGCCATGACTGGGAAAATCGTCACTTCACGCTGAAGGGTACTCAACTCTCGATGCATGAAGACCTTGCATCTGCCCGACGAGATTCAAAGGCTCTGGAGCATATTGACGTCGATGACTTCGCAGTTGCCTGTTCCTCGAATGCCTCAAAGTCCAAGTTAACAGCAGCATTCAAGAAAGCTGTCCTCAAGCGTAACGAGAACCCACAGGATGTGTCGGCCTTTGCCTTCTCTCTAGTCCCCACACCTAATGGTAACGGTTTCGTTGATCGCAAGACAATGTTTTTAAACAGTGGCAAGTCACATCACTTTGCTGTCAATACCCGCGATGAGCGTATTGACTGGATGCGAGAGCTTATGCTGGCCAAAGCTCTCAAGCGTGGTCGGGACAATGGGGCTGAACTCACCTTCAATGGAGCCAATATGATATGATATGTTTTTGTTGTTGACGCATCTTACGATCAATTTTCCCTCATGTTACCCATTATGTCTCCCACTTTCACTTTGTCTTCGTGATTTTCGTGTTTTAATTACCATGAATAAGCAGAATACTCCCATATCATCTGAACTCAGGGGCTGGATGGTTTTTTTTTTTTTTTTTTTTTGGATAATCTAACGATTTTTTGCCACGAATTTCCTTTGTGTTGTTACGCTTTTACTTTCATTTTATTGTTTCTTTGTCTCTTTGTCTACTAGTAGTTAGAAAGAGAAAAATACCCAGCAGACGTTAGAAGGCTCACGCTAACTTCGTCATCTCAGGAGAGTTTATCAAGAATGAAATATATCCAAGCACATCCGCTCTAACTACACAGAAATATATGTAAAATTTGCTAAAAGCGTAAGCTCACCGATTTCAAAATAGCACCCTCCTGGTGCTAGCAAAGCATACCTGTTTTTTTTTAGGGGTTATTATTTTGGTTTCTCTTTTTGGTATTTCAATTTTGGCCTCTTACAATATCTACATTGGTGGTGGTCAGTGTGATGACATGCATGGGAAAGCAGATATCACAGTCTCTAGCGGTTAACCGCCCATTGTGAGTGGCCAAGACTTGAAATGCAGGCGCTAAATCCAACCGTTTGCCAAGGTCAGCATCTAACAGGCTCAAGGTTGGACCTTGATTCATTAGCTTTGAGAAATCCTAATTAACACGATTTTTATAGGCCATAATGATTACAATATATGGAGTCCTGGTACTGAAATGCGTTTCAAGTAGCGCCAGGAGTTAGTGGAGGCGCTACAGAGTACAGAAAGCGTTTGCTTGCGGCCATCATTTCTCTTTGCACGGTTTAGTTTATTGAAGATCATGCAGGTGCCCCCTCCAAATCCCACGGTGCGCTCTAACTCCATGAGGGGTGGTTCAATACTATAGGATCACCAGCCGATCAGCTTGCCCTGAATTTTCTCGGTGGGTTTCAAAACGCACACCGCGTGCCTCGAATCTTTTTCCTAGCCACGCTCTTTCTATACCGTTTGATTCTCACTACGAGCATGACTGCTTCAGTTTAATTTATACTTTGATTTATGGATATACTGTCCAGTTCATGTCCAAAATGATCGATCTCCCAGTGATTAGGGGTCGTCTTACCCGAGTTGCTCAGTCTATCCGAACAGTCACACGCTGCATAGGTGGAAATAAAGACTCCCAAGAAAGCGTACAGCGAGCTACGTTGCTTTTATGTGAGCTGCTTGATCTGCTGTGCCAAATTCGAGATCAACTGAGCTGGGCGGAAGAGAAATGGGTCGTGGATCCGTCACGTCTGCATACCATCGATGAAGTCATCCGTTGTTTTGAGTCGACCGTTGGGTCAATCGAAATGTACTTCCAGCCGGGGGGCATCAGCACTCGCTCTCTAAGAAAACGTTTGTTGGAGATTAGATTCATTCCCAGGTTGGAGCATTTCAAGGCTATGATGATCTTGACAATGCAACCAGAGTCTCGGTATGTGTTACCTACCTATTGGTCCAAGCAGTCCATACAGTGCAATGGGATATGAATCGAGACTAAAGTGAAGTTTTTTTTTTTGAAAAGGGAGAAGTCCCGGATCGAGGCAAAACTTCGAAGTGTACTCCGACAGTTCTATGAACTGGACCCCGGTTAGTCGAGATATACATGTCTCTCAGATTGGTTCTTTGGCTAAAACACCGATCTTTAGATTCAATAACAGCCAGTACACCAAATCCCGATGACTACCACAAAATTACGAGCCGGGTGACGACCCAGGGCTTCATGAGGCTAGCAGACTTATGCAATAGACGGCACGATGGAACATGTGAATGGATATTTGATAATGATACGTATACACAGTGGCTTTTTGGCTGCAGCAGAACGCTTTATTGCATTGGACCAGGTATTCATCTCTACCAAATCTTGGTCTATATTCAACCCAATGCCAGAACCGGGACTAATATAATGAACAGCCGGTGCTGGAAAGACCTTCCTCGCGTGAGTCAAATAGAAAACGAAACGAGGTCAATTCTAACATTGTGGCGTTTAGATCTACCATCATTGACAGCCTGCGGAATACATTCACATCTCCAGATGTGGCAATAGTTTTTATTTTCGGTCATGATGAGACGGACGAGGACGCAACCTCCGTGGGATTTCTCGATAAAATACTTGCCCAACTGGTATATCGGAAGCGGACGCCTTGTCATACCTCTGTTTCCTTATATAAGTCTAAATCTTTCGCCGAGGGAAAAGTATCAGCAAAAGCATATCAAGATGCTATTCGTGCCGAGGTCAACAGATTTTCGCGAGTTATATTCGTGATTGATGGAATTGACATGCATGTGGAAAGTGAGCGAATCTTGAATCGTCTTCAAAAGCTACCGGATCATGCACAGCTCCTTGTCACCACACGAGAAGCAAAGTATGCATCCAAGGATGAGCATATATCCGTTATGGCCGCCCATACGGACCTTGAGACATATGCGGGCACCCGCATTGAGCAGGACGAAAGACTGTCCGCTCTGGTGAAGCAATATCCCCCTGAGTTGAAGTTTGCTGTTATTCGTCAAGTTGCTCTGAAGTCACACGGCTTGTCAGTCACACGCTCCCTGGGAAACATTGATTTTCGATGGTCCAATCCCCCTGCTAACACTTTGCTTGATCCAGGTTTCTATTGGCCCGGTTACACATGGATCTGTTATCCCGATGCAATGATGGGACCATGCTACAGAGGTCGCTTTCCCATCTTCCCGAGAGTTTGAACGATGCGTATGGCGAATCCATGACACGAATCGTCAGTCAGAATCCTTTCGCCAGTCGTTGTCTTTACTGGACATTATATGCTCAGAGGCCTTTGACGGTCTCGGAGTTAGAGTTTGCAGCAGGATTTGAGCTACAAGGAAACAGCGCTTCGAAGGAGCCCTCCTCTTCTGAACATACCATGCTTGATGAAACTGCCGGCTTATTGACTATTGATGCAATGAGTGGCACAGTTCATTTGGTTCACAGGACGGCTAAAGAGTATCTAAGTGGACCCGCTGCTCGGGTGTTTTTCCCTACTGCCAAGGTGAACATTGCAGATGTTTGTCTCTCGATAATTACCCCAGATGAGGTGATTGATGATTGTTACGTCAACCAAGGAGGAACTCCTCACAGCCCCCGAGGCGGGCTGCTTAATTATGCCACAACTTATTGGGGGCACCATGCTAGCGAGGTTGGCGAAGATGAACAAGCAACGCAAGTTCTCATCCGAGCATTCATAAACAAGCTTTGCTGGAGACGACCCCCTTTTACAAAGTCTTGGGCCGTCGGATCGCGTGTGCCGAAACAGTTGGGTTTCGGAAAATACTTTCCAGACTGGACGTCTCTCCATGTGCTTGCTTACTTCGGCATTATTGAAAAAGCGAAACGCTTGATTGACCAAGGTGCCGATCTCGATGACTGTGATAATGAACTTGGAGTTACCCCTCTACACTGTGCTGTATACCGAGGCAATGAGGAGATGGTTGAACTACTTCTCAACTCCAAAGCCAATATCAATGCTGCTTGCAAAGACGGCCAAACTGTTTTACACATGGCTGCAGAACAAGGGCACCGTAAATTGATCAGGCTTTTACTTCACCGACGAGTAAAGTCCAAGAAAGCGAACCAGCAAGGAGAAACAGCTCTCCAGCTAGCTATTGGGACGACACATGATGAAGCAACCGTTCCATTCTTGATCAAAAGCCGATTTGACATGGATCTCCAGAACACTGTCACTGGAAACACTGCGCTGCATCGAGCAGTGGAGTTGAGGCGACCGCGTATTCTTGCCTTTCTTCTGGAGAAGGGGGCTAATATGAATGTCTTAAACAGGGTCGGCATGACTGCCCTTCAACTTGCCTGCAAAACAGACAACTGTGAAGCCGTATCTCTTTTTCTTGAGCGTGGCGCTCAACTAGAGATTCGTTCCTCCTTAGGACTCACTGCACTACACATCTCTGCATTGCAGGGAAATTGGGTTGCATTTGATCTTCTGTTGATTGCGGGCGCCGACATCAATGCATGGGATAGCGAAGGCGATTCCTTGCTTCACATGCAAGCCCGAGAACCTTCGACGATTTCTATTGCGGCACACCTACTCGCACAAGGTGCGGACATAGAGGCATGTAACTCACAGGGCTACACTTCATTACAATGCGCTGCCGTGTCTGGAAACAAAACAAAGTTCATTTTCCTAGTAGATCAAGGGGCGAGACTCGATATCCAAACTGCAAAGGGAGAAACTATTCTTCACATCACGCCCCCTCTCAACCAAGACTGTCTTGACATCGTGGAAACACTATTAGAATGTGGTTTCAGTGCCAACGCAACAACACGCAGTGGATTAACACCTCTGCATCATCTTGTCATCAATGCATCCAGCTCACCAGATTCCTCGATTGAACAAACTGCCAACTTCCTTTCGTTGCTCCTGTCATACGGAGCCAATATCGATGCTCCGACGGCTTCTTATGAGGCTGTCACAGCATTGCACTTAGCATTGATGGTCAATATACCACATGGATCACTAGTGTCGCTGCTTATCGAGAATGGTGCCTCGGTTGATACAAAAACATCTGACGGTAGAACGCCGTTACACTTGGCTGCGGAGCGAGGCCGCCATGATATTTTCCAAATATTGCTTGATGCGGGCGCGGATATCTCAATCAAAGACACCGAAGAAACCCCAACGGACGACAAGGTCAAAGGAGATGGTCAGACTGCAATAAGCCTGATTGGTACGCATTCGGTTACTGTCGATTGGTCTGGTACTACGGACAAGCTACATTCGTTACCAGCGATGCAGCAACGCAATAGCCCGACCGCCACTGTAAACTCAGTCGATAGCGAATCCGAACAGTGTCAGATAAATGAAATCGAGGGATCGAGCTTGATCAGTGAGGACTACTCAGTTTGGGGATCCAGAGCATCATCCACCTCCATGGATGTTTCGTCTATCATTTCTTCCTCTTGTTAAGATAACCCCTATTTCTACCTTTTGTCTTCCTTTCCGTTCCCCTTCTAGTGTCTTTCTTTGCTGAGCGTTGATTGAATCAATTTCTGTTTCTTGTTCTGTCTTCATCATGCGTACATAGAAGGCACGTTCGGGTCTGGTGGAACTATTCTAAAAGTTCAAATATCTTACTTCTGTTATCTTTTTGGATATCAGTAACTAGCCATCTTTGCCATCGTAAAGTGGTTATATCCATACAGATCGATATTGTAATATCAGAGAAAGTAAAAGCTCTGTATATCTGCCATCAAAATAGACAAACACTTGACACTTATGATTTTGCTTCAGCCCATCATGCGAACAACTAGATATGCCCACCCATCGCCATAAGCAGAGCTCCTCACCACCTCTTCAATCGGAGCAGACATGGGTATCACAGCACCATGTAATACGGGCTTCGCAAGAACAGGGGTTCTCCGACTGGGAAATAGATTTGGTAGCAATGTGTGCAAGACAGTCCCGATCGTTTGAGGGTTGGTGGTGGAGCCGCTCCGCGACCTCAGCATTTGACTTGACTGCATACTCGATGCTGGTATTGAAGGAGGAAGTGGCGATTGTACCACTTTCAGGGAAGAAGACTCAGCATCTGGTGGGAGTGGTAGGAAAATTCGGATCGGGACGTTGCGGAAAGGTTGTGACAGCTGGGGAAGAAGGATACTTGATATGCGCTGAAAAGAGAGGAGATCGACTGTGGTTCTTCGGGTTAGAATAGTCTCCACCATTGATGCAGTAGGGGAATGCTTGACTCACCTTCCTGAACAGCATTCCAAAGACCCGATGAGTCTTCCTTTGAGAGACTCATAATGCCTTTGGCTGTACCATTTCGTAGGAAATCCGCTTCTTTCACACTATTTATGAAGGCGTCGTTCATGACCATTCCATCAGCATCAAGCCGAACAAGATCATGCGGCCAGTCGCTAAAGTGCACTATAAGACGCCAGGGCAGCGATGGTCCACTATTGATGGACTCGTTGCCTCCAGCGGCAATCTTTGAAGCTGGGTCTGCTCCTGCATAGAGGTCATATAACAGCCCGACTGGGTAGTGCCATTTCAGAGGCACACCCTCAAACTCAAACCAGCCATCATGAGACTGGGAGTTTGGCTCAATCAGAAAATTCGAGAAGAAAGCTCGGAGCTTAGGTAGCAACGAGGGAAGATATGAGATGCGCGGATATGCGATCTAGCAACTAAGATCAGCAAGTGTGAATATCGAGCGAAGGGCGTGCATACAAGATATGGATCGGTCTTGTCAAAGATTCGGCTTTCTGATGAAGCTAATACAATTTCCAGTGGCAAGCGCCCATCCCAGACGGCCTTCTGGATAGAACCGAGAGACACTCGGTTCTCCATCGCGATAAGAGACGAGTCGTTTCTTTATTCTAATGCTTGTCTTTTCGCTGATTTTTCTAGGATGTGGTTAGCTCGTACAACTATCTAGAGCCTAAGAAAATACACTTGATCTTCACACACCGTGTCGAATTACAGTACACGCGCTGATATTCGCATGTCTTCAATTGGTAAGGCTCGCAGTGTGGAAATGCCCCGCTTTAGATGTGGTCATGACCCGAGAAACGTCGTATCCACAAGGTTCCAGAGATACCTGGGCAATCTTTGAAATTGATCAGTCAAGCGTTTGAGTTCCAAGAAGATACATACGGTTTGTGTTGACATAGCGTGACTTGAATCACCCAAGGTTGACGGCACGTGTTGCTGCCTCAGGCAAAATATTCTTTTTTTTCTGCCTCAGGTTCCCCATCTTGAGAATTCCAGTAACAATGACCTGGGGCTGATGTCCTCTAGTCTCAATGTTCAGCATTAACTTTCCAATACCCTATGTCAGCTGATCATACAGTAATTTTGTGAATTTGCCGGATTGCCTAATATCGCTTCATTCATGAGACCGTACCCGAAGTCCTTTTGTGTGTCAAAAACCTTCACAATCACCAGATTGACCACAACAAACACTACTGTGGTACTTTGTGCACATTTCTCACCCAGCTTTGGCGCATGCAGACTTTTTATCTCACCAAGATGGCCCCAAACCTGATCTCCGTCGAGAATGTGATTTAAGGACCCAAACGTTGAGATTTCCACCATCCACAACCTGCAAGCCGGACAGAATATGCACAGAACAATCGAGTCACCTCGCCGAGTGGATTCCATCCAATATACTTTGAAGCTGCCTCACACATTTGGAGCTTCATGCATGATGGTCCTATAAGGCAGTGACTGTGCCAATACTACATTGAGTCTTAGCCATAAAAGTACTATCTCAATCAGCCAAAAGGGTGACCAATCGACGGATACAGGCAGAGAATTCATTCTATACACGCCTCACATCGCTTTCCACTCTCAGCTGACATTGCTCCACAGAATTGGGGCCAAGCCATGCCAAGGGTTCTATTGAAATTCCATCATTATAAGCCGAAAAGTCTGGAAACTGCTGCCGCGGAAGCTGCTTAGCCAAACACTATCCCGGAGTCCACTCTTTGGGCAACATGGACCACCACAAGCCGTGTCCTTGTAGCCATCAAGAGAAACAATGCTCTGTGGAAATTCCGAGCTCCTACAACTTTCACCTCGGGGGCTGCTGCCAAAAGGGTAGGCAATATGAAGGAATCAGGATGCAGGGTTGCTAAGACATGCCAGTCATCAAACTCCAAGGCTGAAACTCCTGCACTATTCTGGGTAAGGTGCCTTCAGTAGTCCGTATGTAACGGTCCAATTTCCGAAAGATCACCTAGACTGAGGACGGCAATCATGATACACCATGCGTTCTCGCCCCCCACGCCACGTACCCCTTATCGATTCTGCGGCGAGAGCTACACTCATAAATCTTTTGGACCATGGGTAATAGGCACAAGCGCGAAGAAAAATTCGTGAAGCATTAGATATCTTGCTAAACTTATCGGGAACTTCTTGTGCAATAATTTGAGCTCAGGAGCACAATTTCTTGGACGCACCTGAGATACCGCTGACGGGCCGGGACAGCTTGACGACAAGTCATTCATTGAAAACTTAATATCACTTTCAGATAAAAGTTGTTCACCATTTGAACGTCGATTTTCATGGTACATTCATGTATACCAAGGCCGGGCGGCTACGCTACGGCATCCTTCCAAGCCGGAACCGGGCCGAAAGGAGCTCGTATAGTTCCTTGTCCTCAAAACACCACTGGCAACATTAGGACAGTGTAGAAAGCGTGTAATTTTATCGGATTAGCATTATCAATCATATATCCCTATTTTTGGGTAATTCGAGCCCGATGCTCCATGTAAATCCCGGAGTTACGTTTAGTGCAAATTTGCATTATGGTGAGTGATTATCCCGAGTCATGGGGAACCGCCACTTCCGGGGGACACTATGGGAGGGATTACCGGCAAGGACATTCCCTATGCAAGTTGAATAATCCCTATTGGCACAGTGTGGATGGAGTACTACAGTTGAAAATTCTTCTATGTTCGTCTTCGGTTAATATCCCGAAATCGGGATCAAATAGACTTTTACCCCTTCTTCCGTATGCCGGTGCGTTAGGCTCAGGGCTCTTCGGACAGGGAGCTCGGCAAACTTCCGGCTCCACACATGGTTAAGGGTTCTCCCCGATGATATTCTCGCTAGAATGACTACGGGGTATGGATTTAACGCGGGACTTCGCTGTGCCAGTTTGTCCATACTGCTACAGTTTGCACCTGAGTTCCTCTCCAACTAAAAAAAATAATACGTATGTAATTTGGTGGCGATGAGCTCACCGGCATCCCTATACAATAATAAACATACTTGAGCGGCTAAAGGTGTAAAAACTTGTCTCCACTGCAGAAGCATGTCACAGGGGTGTCTAATATCTACTGCATCCTAGAAAACCTCTCGAATAAGGTAGTTCACCCTAGGTGATTTCACCGCAGTAAGATTCCGTGGTTGATATAACTTCTTGATGGATCTGTAGAAAGCTTACTTGTCGGCTGAATGTTTCCTCCGGGGAAAACGCTACCCCGGCCAATGTTCCCACTCGAGGAAATCTGCATCTGTAATCATCGCCATCTCGCAGCCTCCCGTATGAACCCCATATTTCATTGCCCCAGTCTATGGGGTTTAGCCGACATGTGTTGTGGGGAGCTCAGTTGGGGGAATTCCACATCCACAGTCCATTAGGACGGCAGATATTACTTAGAGTCCCATTTTAGCACCTGCTGAGACTCCCTCTTTCCTCCATCTGCCTTCGAGCAAACTTTTTTTGTTCTTCTCATCCCGACCTTCCAATCTACTTCACAGCTTGAGCTGTCATCTTTTCGGTCATGGGTATTCTCACACTTGCCGAGGATCGGCCAACGCCCAAGTCTGTTTACAACTGGCGTGTATATGCACTCGCCGGTATTGCATCATGTGGTTCCAACATGATCGGTTATACCAGTGCCTTCATCGGTACAACTATCACACTCGCCTCTTTCCAGAAGGAGTTCGGCCTCGACGAAATGTCTTCTCCAGAGAGAGCTCTAATTAGCGAGAACATCGTCTCACTTTTCATTGCTGGTGCCTTTTTCGGTGCTCTGGGAACATACGCCCTCGGCCACTTCATTGGCCGCAAATGGAGCTTGGCTGTTGCCGCCACTGTGTTCTTTCTCGGATCTGGATTACAACTTGGTGCCAACACTGCTCGAGGCCTGGGCATTCTGTACGCTGGTCGTGTGCTGTCCGGTTTGGGTACCGGCATAGCCTCGAACATCATCCCTATATATCTTTCCGAACTAGCGCCGCCTGCCATCCGAGGACGGCTCGTCGGTCTATATGAGCTCGGCTGGCAGATAGGCGGAATGTTAGGTTTCTGGATCAATGTGCGTCTCGTTGCCTCTCCCCAGTCTCTATTTTCCCCTGTGCCATCTTCACGTGCACATACTAATCTAGCTATGGCAGTATGGTGTCGAGCAACACATGCCCCAAGATCACGAGCAATGGATCATCCCATTCGC